TTAGGTATGTACAACATTATTTTAGAGTGGGGGTACATGCGAAATAACCTGGTAAACATCGATCGTGGACATGATGATCAAGAGTGATAGGTTAAGTCGATTACAACGTTATTGTTGGTAACTAACATTCTCGTTGTAGCAATGCATAACGGTATTATCTAATGGATATATTAGAGCGTAATGCGTAAACATCACCAGTGAGCAATCTATACTATTTACAATCAACGGTGATATCGATAAACCCCGAATGAAATGTTCAGACATTTCTGCACGGCTAAAACAGTTTTATCCATATAGAATCACATAAAAACTCAAAAAACTCAAAAATTTAAAATGTCTATAACTAATTAAAAATTCGGCACTATTTTGAAAAATTTGCCATGCATAATAAAGCTAATATGAGTATTTGGAAAACAAATTTCAAGTCATTAAGATTATTTCGAACTAATAAAAAAAACAAAGTCGAAAATTATGAAAGAATTGTTGCAGGAAACGTTCCCGTTTTTTCTAATACATTTTCCCACAGTTGCTAGAAAAAAACCAAGACAATGAATTCCTCAGTGCACCAACTAGACAGAATTAACTTCCGAAAAAGATGATACATTTGAAAATCAAAGTAGAATTTCCGGTAGAAAAAGATTCACAGGCAAAAAAAAACCACACATTACAGTAAAAAACCAAAGCTAGGCAAATTAACCATTTTAGAACTTGAATAGAGCGAGGAATGTATTGGTTTACGCTGTTTATTTAGGTTTTTTTTTTTTATACTACATAAAAAATTCTATCAAAAATCTCCGAAGTATCAATTATAGCAGTGGTTCTCAACTAGGGGGGAATTCCTCCCCGGGGGAGTTTAGATACTGCACGGGGGGAGGGAAAGTGATGATGAAATAACGAGAATTTCGTTGTTAAAATAAAATCATGCTATTTTACAATCAGTAAAATTGAAAATAATAAATTAATTTTAGATATGCATAACGTATAATATATATGTAGTTGTTATTTTATACAATTTGTTTAAAAAAAACTGAATATAAAAAAGCCAAGCGACGATAGCAAACTATTTCTAACGAAAAAACGATTCTAAGTGGAGTTCAGTTAATACTTAATAGTGATGCATTATCAAAAATATAAATGCCATATTATGGTAAAATAATTAAATAGGCGTCATATATTTTCTTTTATATTTGTTTAATATAGTATCGATTTACCAGTTTTTCCAAATTTTTTCCTGATTTTCCATGTTTTTTCCCGGTAATTCACATTTTCTCGGAAAACTCTAGGGAAAATCGAAAAATGACTTTTTTATCGTACCCCCAGTCAGATTTCCTTTCAGAAAAAGTGTTATCATTGTAAATTGAAGCAAAATTGCAAATAAAAAAATTGATTTCAGAATAAAAGAAGACCGTACAATTTTTAACCAATTCTACCTATATTTCGTACATTTTCCCGTTTTTCCACCATTTATTTCGATTTTTCACATTTGATGAGAAAATTCCCGAGAAAAACGAAAAATGACAAATATGACCTCAAGATATTTACCTTTCAGAAAAGGGTATACATCATACATATCGGAGTATACTTTCTGGTAGAAAAAGTGTTCACATAAAAAAATAAATATCTTTGTAAAACCAATATATTTTTCACTACACTTAGAATCTTAAAAAAGGTCATCTAAACTCTAATTGTTTAATTTAATTTAAGGGAAGAGGGTGTGTGACATTTTTGAAAATGTACAAGGGAGAAGACTAGAATAAAAAAGGTTGGGAACCACTGAAATATAGCAACTTTTTTAAAAGGACATTTTCCTGGAGTAGTACTCTAAGGAGGTAATTTTTTTGATTTTTTCAGCGGTTTTCACAATAAGTAAGAAGAACCGGAAAAAAAGGTAGGGAAAATGGGATTAATTAACAGAAGGTTCATTATAAGTTAAAGGGAAAACAAGAAAATGTTTAGTTGAATATTGTAATATATTTTTTTTTTTTTTATATGAGAATTTTAATATTAAATTTTGACGAAAACCGTAAATATTATAAACCTTTTAAATATGTAAAATCGAATTCCGTTAAGAATCGTTTTTCGTTGACAGAGATTAATCGTTGCGTACAAAATACAGATATTCATTAAATTCCCCTCTATACCTTACCTTCCTAACTTCTCACCTACATCAGTGGTCCATCGTGGGAAGTATGTCCGTCTTTCTTACTTTTTTTTTATCTAGTTTAAGTTGAGTTATCCTAAAATAAATTAATAAATAAGCTAAGTGTATGTTTATTTAAACGTATATGGACATGAATTTGGGTAATTAAAAGACAAGTTAAAAGTCAAGCAAGAAAATCAAAAAACTACTTTCCTACTCACGCTAACTAGACAACATTTTCTTTCGGAAAAGATTTTATACTTGAATTTCGGGGTTCAAAATGTCTGGTAGATAAACTAAATAAAAACAATTTTAAAGGTTTCAGTTTAAGTATTATCCTGTATCCTAGTTACCAAAGAAATTGCCCACCTATAACACAGCTTAGCGTGCGAAATGTGTTATAATATTTAAATAAGTAGAAAGACGTCCTAGGATAATGGAGATGTGTGAAGCCACTGTTATAGATAATTTAATGTACTATATACCTGTAAGCAACGATAAACCATTGCTTACGAAAAAACGGTTCTGAGCAGAGTTCAATTGATAATGATGCTTTGTCAACAATATTTATGTCAGATTCTGGTGAAATAATTAAATAGGCATTATATATCTTCTTTAATAATATTTGTTTAATGTTGTACCGATTTTGCCAATTTTGCTAAGTTTTTCCCGGTTTTCTCATGTTTTATCACGATTTTTCAAATTGTATGAGAAAACTTTTGAGAAAATCGAAAAATGACCTCTTTAAAGTACTTCTCTAGTAAAATTTTCTTTTAAAAACATTCATATCATTAAAAGTTTGTGCAAAATTTGAAAGAAAAGTTGTTCACGAAAAAAAAAGAAAGCTGTAATATATTTTAACTAATACCTAAATTTCTTATATTTATCTGTTTTTTTTCGGGTTTTAAATTTTATGAGGAAACTCTTGAGAAAATCGAAAAATGACATCCTTAAAGTACCTCCCCACGCCGATTTCCTTTCAGAAAAGGTGATACACGTAAAAATCCGAGCAAGTCTTCTGGTAGCAAAGTTGTTAACGGATATAAAAAATAAAAATAAAATATATCTTTGTAAAACCAAAAACTTCTTGGCTCCACTCAGAATCTAAAATCCGCTGTTATGATCGATTTCAATACGTACTTACTTAAATGTTAATTAATTCTATTTTGCAATCGCTATCAAATAAAATCGACGATAATTCCGATAGACAATAATAATCCTTATAATATGAATTCAATTAATACGATAAACGGATGATTACTTATGCTTTAGGAACGCGTCTTAAATGTCGAAACCCGCATTCTTACAATATCATTTGCTGTCAGTATTTTTAGATTAGGAGCATAGCGAGGAATGTATTGGTTTTATAGCTTTTCTATCTGAATTCTTGTTCCGATTTTCAAGTGTAGTACGTTTTCTGTGAGGACATTTTGTCTAGGTGGTTCTTTAAGGAGAACATTTTTCATGTGGATTTCATGATAGTTTAGAAAAACCTTGAAAAAACGTAGGGAAAACGAGAAAATGTACGTACTTACACGACGTAGAAAAGAAATTTCGCTCCGAATCGTTTTTTGATAGCAGCGGTTTATCGTTGTGTAGAGGTAAAAATTAAACTTCCCTATACATCCAACCTTCCCGACTCCTCACCGACAACAGCGGCCCACCCATCGTGCGAAGAATGTGCGTCTTTTTTAAAAAACATTTTTTGTAACGCGGGCAGCATTCGAATATTACCGTACTACCCTGTATAAATGCGGTGTGGTTTATACACCGCGCGTCCCGTCCGCTGCACCGCCGGCACCGACACCGGTCCCTGTCCGAGCGCGGCGCAGATATTATTGTCATTTGCCCACCGCGTCGTCGTGTGGGCGCGTACCGGAGAACGGGTGCGCGCGAACTCGACTTTTACCCGTCGTAAATAATATCGTTGGCCGGCGGCGGCGTGACGAATGCGCGCCGGTGCTGCTGCACACGGCCGGCCGGTTCTGCGGGCATCGCGTAGCGTGTTTTTTCGGCACACTATACGGGGCGCTCGTCTTGAACATCCGGACTTTTGAGCGGCGCGGCACGCTGGCCGTCCGTCCCCGCGCGGCGTCCGCAGCGGTCTGTCGACCCGAACGCTCTGTATAATAATGTCGCGTACGCGACGTACGTTATTTACCCCGTAGTTTTACGACGACGACGGCGTTACGTCACAAACGGCAGCGGTGTCGGGGCGCGTTGCCTTGGGAACCCGCGCCCGCTGGCCGCTGTGCCGACAACGACGGCGGCCTTGACGATGGCCGGCCGCTGCAGCGCGCATCATTTACGAGAGCGCGGTTACGCGAAACATATAGGATGGTCGGTCGTGTGTACGCAGTCGGCGGGCCGGGCAGGGGCGGCGGTGAACGGGGCGACACGGCATCGGGGCGGCCGGCCGAACCGGCCGGGGGTTGCGCACAGGGACGTCGGGCGGCGCGACGGGGACGTGAGCGAGCGGGACGTAGCGCGCGCATCACAGACGGCGGCGCGTATATACCGTGTGTCGGGTGAGAGCGTGCCGGGAACGAAAAACCGAAAAAACGAAACGAAACGCTTGAGACGCGACGACGGGGTGGGCCGCTAGACGTAAAACGTAAATCGATCGTGCGCGCGGACCGCGCGAGCGGGACAACGCCGCCGGAGCCGGGCGCTTGCGCTCGGGTCATTAGCGTTTTACGCGTTGCAACTGTACTGTATATACGTGAGTACTATATAAACTATATCGGCGGCGGCGACCGTGCACGACGACGACGACGGCGGCGGCGGCGGCGTTTTGATAAAAATAAAAAATAAAATAAAAATATATAAAACACTCGACTGAGCGAAAACCGCCGCCGACGCCGTGGTACTCCGCGTAGTACCGCCTGTGCAGTTCGCCGAGTCTCCGCCGCCGCGCGTAGTCGTCACCATTCAGTGTAGCTGCTTGTCGCGAGTAGGTCGGTCGGTCCGTGTCTGCAGGTGGACGGGACCGCCAAAAATCCGCGGTGATAGCACGCGCGTTATCGCGATAATATTGTGGCACCGGGAGCCGGCCGCGGTGCGTGCATATCGATAACACGATTTTCTACATTAAAATAATTTAACGGTACCGTACGGTGCAATATAATAATATTGCGAGGTACCCGTTTTATTTTAGTGGAATCGTATAGCGGTGTTATTGAGCCGATGGTGACCGATACGACGCGACAATATTATTAGGGGGACCACCATGTGTGAACGGGAAATTAGAATGTACCGGGATCAGCCGTCGCCGCGTCGTCTTACCGGACCGGCCCGTGGGACGTGACCTACCCGACGGCAGCGGCGGTCTGACTTGTCGTCCACGCGTTCCGGCCGCGTTACCCCTGTATTACCTGCTGCAGAGACGACGAAGACGACCGCGGCGCTGGTGGTCCCTGTGCGCGGTGAGTATGCGACCGTTCTTACGCGAACTGCCACTGATAGATCGGCGAAGTCGCCGGCGGTGATACTGACGTTTCACCGCACAGCATGGCTTCAGTTGCCGCTTGGCTGCCGTTTGCTCGGGCGGCAGCTATCGGCTGGGTACCGATCGCTACTCAACCGCTGCCACCGCCGCCGGTACCTAAAGACCGGCGGAAGATCGACGACGAGAAACTACTGATCAACGTCTCGGGACGCAGGTTCGAGACGTGGCGCAACACGGTGGAAAAGTACCCGGACACGTTGCTCGGGTCCAACGAACGCGAGTTCTTCTACGACGAAGACTGCAAGGAGTACTTCTTCGACCGGGACCCGGACATATTCCGGCACATACTTAACTACTACCGGACCGGTAAGTTGCACTATCCCAAGCACGAGTGCCTGACCAGCTATGACGAGGAACTGGCGTTTTTCGGCATACTGCCAGACGTCATCGGCGACTGTTGCTACGAGGACTACCGGGACAGGAAGCGGGAAAACGCGGAACGGCTCATGGACGACAAGCTGTCGGAGAACGGCGACCAAAACTTGCCACAGCTCACCAACATCCGGCAGAAGATGTGGCGGGCTTTCGGCAACCCGCACACTTCCACAGCTGCGCTCGTCTTCTATTACGTCACCGGGTTCTTCATCGCCGTGTCCGTCATGGCCAACGTGGTGGAAACAGTGCCATGCGGCCACCGGCCCGGCCGATCCGGCACCCTGCCGTGCGGCGAACGCTACAAGATCGTGTTCTTCTGCTTGGACACGGCCTGCGTCATGATATTCACCACCGAGTATCTGTTGCGGTTGTTCGCCGCCCCGGACCGGTGCAAGTTCATGCGCAGCGTGATGAGCATCATCGACGTGGTTGCAATCTTGCCCTATTATATCGGGCTGGGCATTACCGACAACGACGACGTGTCCGGCGCGTTCGTCACGCTCCGTGTGTTCCGGGTGTTCCGGATATTCAAGTTTTCCCGGCACTCGCAGGGTCTCCGCATACTCGGCTACACGCTCAAGTCGTGCGCTTCCGAACTGGGATTCCTGGTGTTCTCGTTGGCAATGGCCATCATCATATTCGCCACAGTCATGTTTTACGCTGAAAAGAACGTGGACGGTACGAACTTTACGTCCATTCCCGCCGCGTTTTGGTACACCATCGTCACCATGACAACGTTGGGGTGAGCAATTCGAATTCGTTTAATTCATATTATCTAATGTTTTAATATAATTGTTCACTGCAAGAATGTCGTATACTATTTTACTGTGTTATTGAAGTCAGCGATAGCCGCTGCGTTACCAAAACTATAATTATGACGCGTGCTCTATGGATGCCCGCGCGGTAATGCGAAAAAACAGTCGAATTTAAAAAAAATCGGATTAAAATACGTGCAATGTATTATAGCAATAATATTATGTGGTGTGTGCCTAGGCGCAAATAGCCCAAATATTTCGAAGGGGTTTAACATTCCATAATGTCGATTACGCATACTTGGTATTTATTTGGAAGGAACGGAATTTGGTGGAACTAAGCTCCCTCCCCCCGAGCCCCTCTTCTATTTGCGTCTATGGTTGTGTGACCGTCAAAAACTAATAATAACCAACCGGCCCGAGTATTAAAACGAATTCAAAACAATTGTAACGTGTCTGAAACGAGTACTGATATGATGATATTTACTCGGACCTAATATGAACGTAACTATATGTAGTCAAAATGCACGTTCGAAGTGCCAAATTTAAAGCTGTCTTGACCTTTTTTTTTTTTTTTTATACGAACCGAGTGTTGTTTTGTCATTTGATTTTTAATAATTAAACTGTAATGTCATTTATAGCCGTTTGCACACTAAATAATTGTATTTATTCGACGAAATATTTTAACAATATAATACCGTTTAATTTAATCTAAACAAAAAAAAAAAAAATAATAAAATACTAATTCACTTTTTAAATAGTAGAATTTCGTGCGAACGTTTAAAGGTAGCGGCCGTTAAGGTCGAAGTTCGCACCGTTTCATTGAAATCTCTTTACGGTACGTCACAGTGGCGCGACCAAGAGGATGGACTCCGGATGCGGATCTCCTCCATTCTCCCCGTTTGGACCGAATGAATATAGATTCGAATATTTTGGTTTCCCAATTAAACAATTTAGTTTCAACATTTTAAAACACGTTATCTTTAAAAACACAAATTCGGAAAACAGATTAAACGGATTAGCTCTACTCAATAGACATATCGATGCGTTACGGTTATGGTCAACGAAATTGTATACGTATTAGTATTGGAAAAACGGCGTTCAAATTTTTTACTGTGGATATTGTAGAATATTGTGTGCATCATTTTAAATACGTAATGCCTAAGACGTAATACGAGTGCTAATCAAACAAGTATCGACTCTAATAATATTACTCGAAAACCGAGCGTTATAAAGAGCAAAACGATTGGTAACCCTGGCTTCTATGACTTCTTCTGAGCATATCTATTCTTGTAGAACTTCTATAAAAATCTTCGTTTTAATTCAACGTTTTTTTTTTCGTTTTTCATGTTTGGCGATTTTGTAATGAATCCAAAAGAAAAGAAACTTGTTGCCACTCGGTGGCGCATCTGTAGTTTTTTAATTAAATTGTTTTGGCATATGCCATGAAATGTTGTATCCCTCTGAAAATAAAAAAAAAAAAATAAAAAAAATGCACTGAAATCTCTAAAACTCTCAAGTTGTTCTTCTTTTGGATTTATTACACAATCGCCAAACCCGAAAAATATATTTTACAAAAATTTCGCTGAAATCAAATACCAAGAAGTTTATAGAGAATCTATAAAAACAAATGTGCTCAGAAAAAGTTATAGAATTAAGTGATACTATTGATCCAATCCTACAGCTCTTCAATGCTCGGTTTCCGAATAATACTACCGACCTCGGTACTTTTTGATCAGTCCTCGTACGTAAATGTTAAATATCACAAAAATAGCATTTAATGTTATTCGTTTAAAGTTATACAAAATATTGTATTCAGCGGACATTGCACATGCGAGTTGCAGATTTCGTCCTTATACAACGACATAGTAAATTTGGCGTGCACAGTATTGTGTTGTGTTAGTTCAAATATTAGAATGAATTGACCTGTATTGTCAAACATAAAGGTACGAACATCATCTGTGCCACGTTGCGCGTTATTTTTTTGATATTTAAATTTTTATAAGAGAGATATACGAACGTGTGAAATATCACAACTTAATAATACTTATATCTCACTTGAAAATTAAAAAAAAAAAAATCGAAAAAATAGCGCCGACGTTGCACGGATAATGTTCTTATTTAAGTTTGATAATTTAGGTCAATTCGCTCTAATATTAAAACTAACAGCATAAAGTTGTCCCCACTGAACGCGAATTTGCTATGTCGTATACATTTGTAAGACGAAGACAGCACACGTGTGTACAACGTACTCTTAATACAACAAGTATTAAATATACATAATATACTACAATATTATAACTCCACTCAGAATCGTTTTTCATTAGTTCAATCGTTATGTACAGATATACATTAAATTCCCCTCTATATACTACCTTCCTAACTCCTCACTTACATAAGTGGCCCACCCATCTTGCGAAGTATGACCGTCTTTTTTTTTTGTTTCTATGTGATACCTAGTTATAGTATTTATGATAGCAAAGCTGGAATTATATTCTCTTAAAATTCACAAAAAAGCAATAAAAAAAAACCAAAACATGTTAAATAGCAAAAATGATAGAAGGATTTAAAAGTCCCCTTCCCTTCAATGGCTCTAATTTATTAAATTACATTTTTGTAGAGTTAGAAAATTGTATTTAAAAAGTTAAAGCTCTTAGATGAGGGGCTTTTGAATCTTTCTATGCTTTTTAAGTGCCTTTTTTTACGTTTTTAAGTGGATTTTTACAGAATACAAATCCAGTTTCTAATCATTAGTTATCCATAATATATACAGTTATAACATTAGCATTTTGTTGTACAATATATTAGTTTTTTACTCCTTCCCCCTCCTTTCTTGAGAAATTCAAGCTGCGCCAGTGGTGTATCGTATTATGCATTATTGTATAATATTGAAAACGCGTCCCGTTAGCGAATGCGGTCTGTTATTTCGATTTTTTTAACGAATTCACTAAATATTCGGGAAGGCTTTAAAAGGACGCCACACCCACATCTGCTATCTCAGTGTAACTATCGAGTAACATGTAAAAACAATACTTACGCAGACTAAGTGAAACTAGCTTTCCTCATCGAACCTTATCGGGTTTTTGTGTTTTTCTAAATATGCAACTCGATATGAAAGTTACAAAAACATTTTTTTTTTTTTTAATTTTTAAACTCCGTTTAGCTATCCGTCCAGATAAATAGAGTATTTAAGATTTTATCATGAGGAGGAGGGCTGGGGATATACATTCGTGAACACTTCATTAACTCGAAGTTGCTTCGAAAATTTCGTACTTCCTTGTCCCTGTCGAGAAGTAGTGAATTTTTTTTTTTAAAGTCGATTAGGTCAACTGACTATATACAAAAAGAAAAAGATTTTCTTTTTTCTCATCAAACAGTACATTTGGCAGACTCGAGTGAATTTAGGGGGCAAGCTGACCCTTTAGACCCCCCTTAATAGATTTATCACTGTACCCCCGTCTAATTTTCATAAATAAATAATGACAAAAATAAGGATTTAATTATAGATTGATATTATTTAACAATATTCTATATCCTTGTATAATATATTAAACATGCATAAAATAAAAATATAAAATATAATTTTCTGTTCTTCAAACTTGATCCATCCAATCGTATTTATTATTATTTTTTTATATTTCAAGGAACGTCAATCTATTCCGCACATCCCCTCTTGTAAATAAGCTACCGATCCTGTAGATTCACAAAACATAAAATAAAGTCTCATTTACGTAAATAAATTTCGTATATCCGTTAGACACTCTTTACTTTACACGATAAAAATGGCAACTGTAATTGGCTAGAACATAACTTAGCCCGCTAAAATTGTACAATGCCTATGTTATATACACGAAAAATTATTATCGAAATCCCATAAAATGAATCGATTAAAATATGAGCAGAGTTTCTTTTTAATATTTTTAGATAATTCTAGAATCTCTGAGCATATAATAAGGCTGCCTTTTTTTAAGAGAAACTTTAAAACCCCCATAATATGCTCGTTCAAAACTTATTACCAGTGATTTAGAACTTTTAGCGCTTAAAAACGCCAAAAAAATCACTTTAAAAGTAAAAAAAGGTAGATGAGTTTTTAAAGTCCTCCCCTTATTAACTAATATTTTTGTAATGTTACATAATTTCCCTTAATAGGCCACTAGAGAGGGACATGTTAAAACCCTCCAAACATTTTTAATTTTTAAAATATTTTTTTCAGTACTTTTTTGACGTTTTTTTGTGGATTTTAAATGCTAAAAGTCCAAAGTCTTGCTTAATACAGTACCAACTTAGGTCCGACGTCAAACGGCAGACGATAAATGTTATTTTTATTTTAAACGTCGACGAACGCATACATTTTTAATATCAAACCACTGCGGATTTATAAATTTGAACGATATTAATAGGTTCGACCGGAGGAATAGAACGAGTGGGTCGTGTATAGTAGTATTCTGCACGCTTTATCTATTTTTAGATTACTTAACATCACCGGTCATCTTGTCTGAACTTAAAATTATCATAATAATAATTAATAATCGCGGATAGTGTTATGAAAAATCACAATTTTCAGAGTAAAATACTTTTCTAAAATGCGTAGGCGTACTGTACGAAATACATTATTGTAAACTCGAACAATATAATTCTGAAAAAACTGTGTACCAAATATCATTACCAAATTATACGATGTATTTGTGACTGCTCAAAGAAAATATAATAACTATTATCGATATATTTGACATACACGTATATATTCTACAGAACAGTGATAACTTAATTAAAGGGGAGATATGGAGGAAAGATCTCTTCAGAGCCTTTGTATAAAAAAATACCTTAGGCATAATATCGAAATTTAAGTTCCTGAGGCCTATACAAGTATGATAGTTTTTTAAATAATTATTAAATTTAAATTTCACTGTTAATATTATTATAACAATAATCACTAGTAAATTATGAAATTGATATATCTGTGGATATGATAATCATCCAAATCCTTTATTTTTGTTTTTAACGTCTCAAGTGTAATATACATATCTGTAGTTAAAATTTTTAAAGTAAAATGTATTTTACGTGATTTGTGAAAAGTCATTAAATATCGTAATTAAAGTTTAAAGAAAAGACTTGTTTTTCAAAACAAATTTAAACCATTAGAAAGATTAATTGAATTTAATTTAAATTTAAATACAGTGAACATATTTGTAGCTAAAAAAATGGCGTTTTTTTTGTACTTTTTGTTCACCCTCATCTCTGCTGTCAAGAGCGAAGTAGTAATGTGATTCCTAATTACGCAACTGCTACAGAATATTTTGGAATAGGTACTTAATAAAAAAAAAAAAAAAATGAATAATAAAACGTAAAACGTTTTTAAATTATAAAAAACTAAATTTTGACACGGTTTAAAGTAAAAGTATTCCGTATAATTTGTTCGTATAAGTTACTACTAAAGTCTAAATTCTGCAATAACGCTGACGAAACAAGCTTTAAACCTGAGCTTGCATTTTTTACCTATATTTTATCCTGTGTATAAGTCTAAAATCATTTTTTAATAGTAATTGATGACATTAAATATTTTAAGTAGCCATTATTCAATACTCGAAAACCACGGAAATTATTACGATCGCAATTTCGTGATTTTTAATTTTTTCTTTTACCGAAATTGAACTTTTATTATAGTAAATTCGTCCGCTTTTTTTTCAATTGGTATGAAAATTATTTGGAAAATCAAAAATAACAACCTTCCTTATTCACCAACTAGAACCGAAATTCGATAAAAAGGTCTCTTGGCATTTTTTTATGGGAGCAATAAAATATTGAGCCCAATTTTGTATTTTTTTTTTATTAGCGTTTTAAGTTCAAATTTGTATGGAAATCGTAAAAATCACAGCATTTCAAAACATATTTAATCGAACTTCGCTCAAAATCGTTTTCCATAAGCAACTATTCATCATTATGTTAACGATATAAACTAAATTACACTATAAATACTGCTTACTCTATTTCCCGCCCAACAGTACTATCCAACCCAACGGTGGAAGGCCCATCCCTTGTATCAGATTTGCATATTTATTCCATAGTCCTAGACAGGCTTTTGAGGCTTTTAGCATTCTTCTATACCAAGCTCTTTCATCTATGCCGATCTATTGCGTTTTCCATATCCGTTGAATCGCTGACATCTGAAATATCATTCGCCGTACCCCCTCCAACTACTGCTACCACCGCCGGGGATTTTCTCTAGGCCTTTTTTTCGGGTATCTATCCTCATAAACATTTCCTATACAATTTAAAAGGCCAATTCGCTGGATTCGTTTGACCCTCGGAGAAATTCTGCGTGTATTTCGTTTGTTGTGTACAAGTAAAACCATCACAGAACGGCGTTTTTCGTCTCTTGTATTATATACACCCCGTTTTGATTTCGTACGCGAGCCCGTGTGTTTTCAGCGAAACTTTTCTTTCAAAGGTCAATTATATAACGTGTAGGTATACCAATACAAAAATCGAACGGTTTAAATTTAAACTTTCAAGTTCGATTATAAAATAAAAACATGTGTACACACCTATGAATGTACTGCGCGAACTTCAAAAGAATCTTAAAAATAGTTTTGTTTCTTCTTCTTTTTAATATTTTACTATCGTAAATTTCTATTACGTAAAACACTGCAGACACATCGATCACGCGTCGTCCGAATACATATTATGCATATCGATTTTAATACCCGATAAATCTGTTAATATATTTTATAACAATCGTACGGACACTACTTTGGAATCGGGCCATTGGTAACAATAATATTCCGCACAGCCAAAAATTGCAGCGGCGCTACGTTATAAGTATTTCCTATGCGTTTATATTACAATACAATAATACGATACTATGATACACGCGATGTATATAATAAAACAGAAATTCTTTGTTTTATTATTTCTTCCATTCTTCACTTCCCCCCTCCCCCTCTCGATTTTTATTACCACGGGCTATATACTCTTTTGAATTGTAGGGTATTTTTTTAAACTACAGAAAAAAATGACGCGTACGTAATTTCGTCAACAATAGTATACATTATAAAATACCATAACGGTATCGATACGTTATTTAATCCGTGATACTCACATTTGCGGTGCCCATTTTTCAGTATGACTTCCTGTTTTTAAATTCAATTTGGTTTTTTTTACTTTTTAATTGGAAAAAATAAAAATTTTAACGTGTTAAAAAACATGAATATATACTATACAGATTGTTGTTCAAAACGAAACCTATACTCGGGCCACTGTAGCAATATGAGGTGGATTAGATAAGTTTCCAAAATATTAAATGAGTATAATAATTAACTGTAGGTATATCTATAATTATTTGATTCCAATCATAATTTTAGAGTACATTTAATTATAAATTTAAAAACATAAGTTATAAAAATTGATCAATTTATTTTTTGACTGGACACACTACGTAATATTATACTCGGATAATATGATTCAGTATCCTATATAGTACATAGTATACACACTACTGAGGGTATTTCACGAAATCGTTAGTTGCTTCTTCGCATTATTAACTTAAGAACAAATTAACAAATTCACAACTGTTATGCATAGTCTTTGTTTTATCTATGCGGTACGATCCATATAAGGAATCAAATCTATAGATAATCTTCATCTTTGTTTCGGGATATATCCATTCGTTGAACCTACTGGAATATAGATCTCTGAACTTGTACTGCGCTAAGTTATGCAAATAATTTTTAATGACATATTTTTCCGGGCCTCCTTCGGGGTATCCTTCTTTTCGGTAACCGTCATAATAATTTCTATGCTTTTTTGTTTAAAAATAATATGTTAATTCATACTGAGCTAATAGTTTGTAAACGCATTTTAGATTTTGAAAATGGGAGCTAATATTGTATGAGTAGGACAGGCTTTATAGTTTTGAAAACGTGTTTTTTCCCAATAATAAAAACAATAAAAGTGTTCTGAAATATGCAGTTAATGTTTACATTTAATGATATAGTACAATATACTGGTATGTCGTTAAATGTGAAATCGGTTGTACTGTTTGTAGATTATTACGGTTATTATAGGACCGTCCAGGAGACTTATATCTAGATAATAACATTTTATTTGTTATCTTATCTAGATGACGGAATGTTCGATACCTTTGTAAGGGTTATCTAAGAGAAAAAATAATCATCAATTAAATTGATAAAACGTATGGGTACATAACTACCAAGAGAAAATTTGAAAAAATGTTCTCGTAGTGAAAATTATTTAATATTTAATTGTATACGTTTTACTTTTAGTTAAAATGTTGAAGTTACTTTTAAGTGATTTGAACACCATTTGAATTTACAGAATTATTTAAACCGTTTTATCTTCTCTATGATAATATGTTCTTAATATTAAAAAGAAACTATAATCTTGTTTTTATTAAGCTAAATTCTACCCGAAATAATTTTATCATTTTGTTATTTTAATTTGTATTTACGGAAATCACCTTTCGTTTTTAAAAAGATATCGGTTCGGAATTTTGATTCAGAAAGCGTCTATAAAGTTTTCGATTGTAGCACGATTTCTGGTAGAAAATTTGTTTACACGCAAAAAATAAGAAAAAACACGCACACACACACACACACACATCGTAGTAAAATCGACAGTGCGTTACTGATTCCTAGATTCGCCAAAAATCTAAAATAATGAAAACTGTATATAATTATTATTTTCGATATTTTCGAAAGATAAAATGATCAAAATCATAACATAAAGATAATAATATCGATTTATACCGTTTGAAAAATATACGCGGTACGACTCTATTTGCGTGTCGTAAGAACGAAATGACAATCGTGTTATGTTTTAGTGATACAATAATCGAACGGCAATAATATTATGATAATTCTATCGCTTCTCGCGCGGCTGTGGTCTTGTTTGCATACATAGTCCGTCTAAAGCAGTGGTTCTCAAGATTTTTTTTATTCTATGCCCCCTTTATAGATTTTAAAAAAACCTCTGCCACTCCCCCGTAAATTGAAAAAAAAATGGATGACGTTTTTGAGGGTATGGATAAGCTATATATAAATGTATAATGTATTATGTATAATATTGTATAAATAATATCAAATTATTATGAAGTAATCAATTAATTTATGTGGGTTGTATAAGACGTAAGTGAATGCGAAATACAAATAATTTAACAAATACATTTTACTTATAAATGCGGTCCTGCTTGCGCCCCCCTAGCAATGTGATCACAACCCCTCTCCCAGGTTGGGAACCATTGGTCTGAAGCGTCGGTCGCGTATAAAAACCATCGCGTGTTATTGCAAATTGCTCGCGTCGTATGCGTTTTTAAACAACTATTATACGTCACAACGTCCCTATGAAAATTTACTAATTTAAAACGGTCGTATAATGGCGTTTGCATTACCCGTGGTGACTTTAAATAATTAGTAAATCCCTGTAAAATGCCACGCCGCTGCCGTACCTACCCACGCGGTTGTGGCGTATTATAATAATATCGCCCAAAACTTAATTTCATTATAATAATCGTTGCGCGGCCAAAATTTCAGCCACTCAAAATATGTTATTAATCGCACTCGCCAGGGCCCCGGATTACAGCCACAGTCCTAGGGGAGCTATATGTATACTACGCTTGACGGGGAGGGTGAGTGGCCCTTTACTTTGTGCAAAAAAATTTGTTTGTACTCAGTTTTATTCAATTTTATTCGACGTATTTAGTGTCGACTCGAGGGCCGCTTGTTATAGGTGTACACGTAAAATTAAACATTCCGTGTCAAAAAATACATAAATGTATACAACTCGTGTGTAGGAATTCGTAAATTTACAATTGTCTGTACACACGAAAAGACAAATATACGTGAATTATACGTGTCACGTGGAATACGTGAATAATCAACATAAATATCCGTGTGCGTAGATATCTGTGCAACCATGTCACGGGTGCAATAAAACACACGTTCTATTAAGACCTCTTTGTATAGTATTATTGACGACAGTCATTATATTATCAGTGGCGCACAAAGGGATTTTGAGAGCACATGCAGTAACTTTTATAGTATACCAACCCGCCTTGGACAAACGCTGAAAGTACACATTTTACAAATGTTTAGATAATAACATGTTTCTGTTTATTTTTTCTTAGCGGCCTTTTTTTGATTTTTTCGGGTTTGGGTGCTGCTGTCTATCAATGGTTAATCTACAATATTTTGCCACGGGCTTTACAAAGCTAATCAAATTCATATTCAATGTTTTTAAGCTTAATAGAGGAAAATCGTACGCTTTCTCTAATACGCCTAGGATATTGTACCTTGTACCGTCCTAGGAAAATAACGCTTTGTCATAATCGTATTGGGAATCACGGTTAAGTTGATAGTAATGGTCTAGACGGGAGGTTCAAATAAAGCTCTTCGGGAAAATACACGAAAATAATTATCGTTGTTGCAAGACTGTAGATCTCCTTAATCCAACTATGGTTCTCCCCCCCCCTTATTTATGTTATATTTGTTTTTAAAACAATCAATAACCGATTAAATACAACAGTATTATCAAATAAACAATTTCTAAAAAAAAAAAAAAAATAGTGAATCAATTTGAAATGAAAATGTGATAGAGGTTTAATGTAAATAAAACTCCCGTAAGGCACATCCTTAATGTTAACGTCATTCATGCATACAATTTAATTCCTTTTGGTTCTTGCTGCATTTAGCGGGCATGTTGGTTTGTTCAATGCTTAAAACCACCCAATTTTCGTACACATTTTGTACGGCCATTATTTATAATTATTAAACTCTCCTTGAACTTCGTAATAAAAAACTAGGTAACTTTAAGATTTATTGAGAAAAAAAGTGGCTAATGTTACAGACTATATACCGTCAAACATTATAGTTAATGAATGTATGTTTAATAATTTATGTGAACATTGATTTGTTTATTTTTCTATGTTTTCTTACAATTATATTATACAAACTGCTGCAGTAGTTAAGTAATATCTATGTAAATATTTCACTATTGAGGAAAAGATGCAAAATTAGTCTTTATGCATTAAGAGTTGGCAATGGGCCCCTACACGAGTATGCTCGGTAGGGTTCATTATTTACAGATTAATCAAAACTAAAATAGCTAAAATAACATACTCCTCCTACAACAACATGCTAAAATTGAAATTGAAATTTAACCCGATTTGTATCATCGCTTCAATTCGCCTATCCAAACGTCTCGAAACGGTTTTCACATTCCGTACTATAGAACCGATGGTGTACTTTATTTTGAACAATTTTTCTATAGATTTCTGACGAAGCTTTGCTAAAATGATTGAAATACCGACAGCAAATTTAATGACGGATACGCCGGACAAAATCGATATACCTATAGCTGGACGTGGAGAACTGAAATTTTCGAATCGGGCGGACAAATGATTGAGACATTGCGACAACAATTAATGGAAGTGTGATTTTTAAATTCAAATCATATACGAGGGGGAGAACTCGATTTTGATTCTGAATTTGTTTATTTTGATTACCTCAAACTCGTTTTCCTTTTCAATATGTTCACCAAGCTTCATTGAATATTTGGAAATCATAAAAATAAATATCATATTGTATGCATTTCATGAGAATGTTAATTGATAATCAATGCCACCATTTAGTTGAGTACCAATAAAAATCTGGAATATACACGTCTGGATCTGAACAGTACACATCTGGAATTCAGGTTTTTTTTGTATATCGAAATCAGTACTGTACAAATTTTGAATTTCATCGAAATATTTCCTGTGTATTATAGTTGACATAACTATTATAATTCGTACATTAACATCATTTCAGATTTGTGTTTTCCAGGTTTTTACGCGCGCCCCATTTGGCAATATTATTACCGACAGAGTTATTCATTTAACGAGATTAAACGGGTTGACGGGTTTATAAATGTCAGTTTGTTTTTGGTTATTTGCTTTTCTTGAGTCTTGTTTATACATATACAATTTTGTACCGACGCTCGTAGGGAACTCATATTATAGCCGGTAACATTTATTTACGAATCGAGACAAAAAAAAAAAATACGACAAGAGTATAGTATTTTAATAAATTACGCGATCATTAAATATTTTAAATCCGAACACGATTTTATACGTAAATAATGAAATATGTTTAAAAGCTGTACCAACGACTGTACATGAATAATAAATAATTCGCATTCATGGGTATATAAAACGAGATAATACACGCGTGAAATTACGAAACTTATGTTTTAAATTTGATATATAAATTATGCCGTATGTACGACGGACAAAAAAATAAAATAATATACATATAATACCTTTTCGTATTACATTTTTCGACGATCAAAGTTTGTGAAAAAAATGAGCCGTAGTTTTTAATTAAATTATTATATAACTGAAGGAAGGAAGGAAGGAAGGAAGGAAGGAAGGAAGAAAGGAACGTTAATTTAATTTAATATTTAATGACTTTGATAATATCATAATAATATATAACGTGATATGGGTACGAGATACTGAGGGCCACAAACATTAGGTAGCCGTACGAAAAAAAAAAAAAATAAAAAAAAAAAAAAAAAAAAACTGATGAAATATTATAAAGACGGGTGTTGAATATTATATTCGACTTGTTTTATACACTGCTGTGCGTATAGTGTTTATTTTATTACGACAGTCGGCACCGTAGGTACGTATAACATAATAAGCATTTTGCTCTCATTTCGAATTGGAAGCGACGGTGACGACGACGACGACGACGGCAAAACGCGTGTTTTTTAATTTGTAAAACGATCCCGAGTGGATTAGATATATCATAATACTATGTTGTTTTAATACGGGACGCCACCGTGTTTTACAGAGGAAAAAAAATACTTATTAAATAAAAATTAATTATACAAATACGGGGGGGGGGGAGAAATGGCTGATACTGCTGCTGATGATGGGATCCACTGTTTTAGGAGAAAAGCTGTGGGAGGTAGGGATATAATTTAGAGTAATTTTGATTTATGATGTCTGTACGCTACGCAACGAAAAAAAAAAAGATTCTGAACGGATTACAATAATATAGTCGTACTTTAGTTTTTGTTATCGCGGGTTATAACCCACGGTAAAACCGATAAAATTTTTACAAAAAAATCGCCAGTTTTCCCCGTTTATTTAAATAACTTAAAGTAAAATCAAAAACAAAACGACTTCCCCAACGTGCTGACAAAATCAAAGTAAAAATTTCGAGCAAGTTTTATGCTGCGCTCAGATTCTAAAGAAGAAAAAAGATTATTTTTTTTGAAAATGATTACGACGATACCATAATTATCATTAATATTAATGATAAGGGCTCGGGACATTTAATACATAAAATCCACAAAGAAAAATACTCAAAAACTTTGAAAATAAAAAATGTTTGTTGAGTTTAAAAAGTTCTCTAAAACTTATAAAATAACTTGTTTGTAGTGTTAGAATATTCAATTTAATAATTTAGAGCTATTACAGGAGGGATCATTAAAATCCATCTATCATATTTGCTTTTTTTTTTTTTTTTTTTTAAATATGTTTAAGTGTTTGTTTGTGGATTTTAAATGCTAAAAGTCCCGAGTCCTGGTAACGATTCGTAATAATTAATAAATATCGTTATGAAATCTGCAGATTATATAGTATAATATATGTTAGGGATTTGGCGCATTCGGATAATTAATTTGTTAAATCTACTTAACAATAATAATTTTTTATAAAAAAAAAAAACAAAAAAGTTGGTAATATTAACAATTCCGGGTATTTTTTAATTAAATTAATCCAACGAAAAAATTACATATTAAGAAAAAAATGATTATTATATTTCGTTTGTATAGTATTAATAATAATAACGATTCGATAAATAATATAATGAATACAAATTCATCGTAATTTAAACCGAGTGTAATATCACTTATTTGGATAAAATATAAATTGTATGTATAAAAAAAAAAAAAAAAAAGTATGGATATCATATTGATTATTATTAAATTTTTAGGATTCCGTAAATACCCGACATTATCGTTGTTTCTATATATTGAACCACAAACCAAACATTTTTTTCTAAGCAGCCCCGTTATCGAATCTTGTACTTCTTCAACGGTTTAAAACATTTTTATTTGTTTACAGATAGTTCCTCTAAATTAAAACGACGTACCCTTAAGGAAGCTCAGTATTTAATTAATCTGGCGTTCTGGCTCATATATATTTTATGATACCATATCAAATACAATGTATACTTTTGTACATTTGTTTTGTTTTTTTTTTTTTGTTTTATTTATTCCAACATTACACTATTGCCTCACTGTGGGTGTAAATTATTAACAAATAAAGTCGAAATGCCAAAAAACCGAACCGTTAAAATGTCTCCATGTCCGTATGTCATTGCAAGCATAGAACCCCGCGAACGGTTGATGCAATTCTATACAGCAATAAAGTGTCGTATGTGTACCGCCTGATAAGATTGTTTAGTCAAAAGATTACAAATCAATTTAGGGATTTAAACTGATGAATGGGTGATGGACGATTTATATTTAGCGTTAAAGTCGATAATAATGTGCCCCCCTTCTAATTTCCTAACTAAGTCATTAAAAATTCTGAAAATCCTCAGTAGCTCTTCATGAAAACTTTCAATGAAAATTATCCTAAACGAAATTTCGCGGTTGAAAGCGAAATCGTATTTTCATACATTTAGACTACTATGCTAGAGTAAAAAAAAAACAAACTTCCAGTAGTACAATATTTCCATTTTGAATTCATGATTTGATTTCGTATATATATTTTCTCTGTTTTGTAAAAAAATGATTTTTAATTTTTTGATACTTAAGTACAAGTTTATTTTAAGAAAATAAGGTAAACTGTAAATTTCAACTAAATTCAAAATAAAACAAATTTTTCTCACAATAATAAACAAGAAATTAAAGAATTCAAATATCGTCCTTATCACGTAAAAGGTAATTAAATGTTTTGAAAATTAAAAAAAATGTATTTTTTAAAAATGTATATGCTATTCAGTGTTGGTTTGGTTCATAAAAGACATGAAATAAGGCATTTAAATGTTTGTTCAATAATTTTTTCACTAGGAAACTTTTTACAGGACGGGGATGAGTTTTTAAAAATATAAAATTGCACGAGCAAAAATAAGTGAACTGTATTCTATAATTCAACGACGCAAAACGTCATACTTGTCCGTAAAAACGGTCGAATCCCTTCTCCATAAATGGATTGTGAACAGTGGATTAGCGATATAAATGTCGTATCGTTAAGGCGGTCATTAAAAGACAATACTCAATATTGTCACATTTTTCAAAATAGGATAAAATCTTGAAAACCCCTTGAAAACCCTTTAACTATATTTATATAGAACGTATTCTGTATTAAACGGAATACGTATTAAGTATGGATATAACAAATACACCATCATACTACGGAACCCTAAATTGATGCGTGTACTGATTGACACGCACTTGACCGGTTTTTTTTCCAACTACCGCGAAATAATCGTCATGTTAACAAAACGCGCTGTACCTATATACGTTTCACGAGTATTTGCACTTTATATCGGTTATATTTACGATATTTTTGAAAAGCGAGGGAGAGAATTCGACATTTTACTCTTTTTCCTATAAAAGCACCTACCGTCCGTTTCGTTTTTCTGTTATATGTATATTTATATAAATTTTTTTTTTTAATATTTCGTCATTGCTCTTGGCGAGAAATTCGGTTTTCTGGAGTACACTTGTGATAATAACAATTATTATAAGATAACGATTGTAATAAATAATTTAATTAACTATATAGAAAACGTGTATTATTAATGACTCGGCAGGAATATTAATGATAATAAGTACGAGTATCCAAAAAAGAACCGGGGAAGTTTAAATCACTGTAGATAAAACTGAAATGGAGAAAACAAAAACTTTTTAATTATGTATTGTATATATTCTTTATATAGTTATAAAATGTGTCCCGAAACATTTTCCAAAAGAAACGCGACATTAAAATTAAATTAAAACTTTATAATAAATCATAATTGAATTATTATACAAAACGATGTAAGTATTCCAATCAAAATAAAATATTAATACAATATAATATAAATCTTGAACTTATAATATACAGTTACCTCCTCACGTTGAACAAAAAAATCAATATTAAACCTAACGATTCATTTTATATTTATTACCTATTATATGCGTGTATTCAGTCTAAATTAATTACTTTTGGGTACATCATTGATTTAAAATAAATACAATTTTATGTACTTACACAATTATAATTTTCGAAAAGAAAAATTGTAAACCTCCTTCGAGCATATTTTAAATCATATATTCTATATTAACAGTGAAAACCGAACCAGTATCCGTTCGACGATATTCGAGATAAGCGTAGGCTTATATAATATCGTTATCGTAATTATATTATAATATAGCTACGTATATACGTGTACTGGAACATCCTTTTATACTATACCATATTGATTGATTTTGTGTTTTGAAGGCTTTACTCTTGGAAGTCAAAACTATTGCCTCATCGCTCTCTACCACACGTTTGTTCCTAGTCAGCTTTAATTTCTTTCAATAATTCACTGACGCTGTCCTTTCGTCTTCTTCGTGGTCTATCCCTTGATTTCTTTTCTCTCATCATATTTGTCAATGTTCTTTTAAACATGCTTCTATCAGCCCTCCATACATGGCCTGCCCATTCTATGCTTGTCCCTCTAATTAATTAAATCACGTATTTTCTGTTATATAGTTGGTATAATTGGGCGTTAGTATTTATATCGAATTTCTTTACCACGTTGTTGAACACGGATCAATAGATTTTCATAAGAACTTTCCTCTCAAATACATGTAGTTTTTTCTCATCTCGTCTCGTAGTTACCCACGCGGTATGTGGTACATTTGTATGTCAATACAAATCGCATGTAGCTTAATAATTGTAAGCTTCTTATTATTACTGATTGATTAATTAATATTAATATTGTAAAATTCATAAGTTAAATTATTACTTTTCGTGTAAATAGTATTGAGTAGTAACGGTTGTACGATGTAGCTCGGAGATACTAATTTTTATTTAAAAATATGACTTATTCTTAATTATAACGATCTTCTTTTCTTGTTTCAATATGTGCTACTTTAGATCTGTAATATGGATACGTTCGCGATCCGTTCAATCGCGCTAAAGATGAGATCAATTCGGATTCGGTTATTCGTTCAACCGGTCATCCTGGTATTGAGATATTATCAAGCGATTCACAATAGTTCGAATTTGGATTTCGGATGAGGGATCACATAATCCCTTTTAATTATCCAATTGACTGAACTGCTTTGGTTTAGCGGCTAAGTGTAAAATGAACCGAAAGGGTCGTTTGAGCCGATCCGAAAGACCTGATTTATTCGACTGACCCGTTTTTCCTATCCCCAGTCTGCAGGTCAATCATGCCTTCCTCCGAAGACCTTTAAGAATCTTCCAAATTGAAATATGATAGCCTTTGCAGAAATTCATTTTAGCACCATTCCAATTCATTAAGTACAAAATAATTCATGTTTTGACATAGTAGCGTAATCATTGAAGGTATCGAGGTGTATGATCTTTAAATGGATGTTATCTTGTTTACTGTTAATTACTGTTAATATAATTACATCTAAGGTTTTCTTTATTCTTTGATTACTATAAGATTTCACAAAATTCCGACCAATGGCCATATTTTCAATCGCATTTTAATAATCAGTAATAATTACTATCGGTAGATAATGCATTATTTTAATTTTAAGGAGATCGGATACCAATATTTTATTTCTTTATTACACATATTATCAGTAAAGCAATTTAGATAAATTTTCAGTTCGGTCGATTTTATAAAGTGATATGAATTTTGAAAAGATATATTTGAATTCAGCGTAAGATCTATATAATATTATGGGTCAGTCCATTTATTTCAATTTAGTTTGTTTTTTTTATAAATTTTAAAATCTTCAAATCTTCAAAATTTTGGATATTAGAAACTGAGATTCAAAGAAACAGTTTGCCGATCTCATGTACACTTTACGCTAAATTCAAATCTGTTTTCAGGATTTGTATCGCTTCACTACGTCAATCGGACTGATAGTCGGAAAATCGGTTTATATTGCTACGCTGCGTACCTATGTTTTAGACAGACAATGAGACAAAGAAACAAAATATTGATATCCAATCGCTCTAACTATAAATTTTACGTCCGCTTGATAAACTGTCTGTAGTCCTTATTCTCTTTACAGTAACATATTATATATAAAATTTTGTTGAAACGAACTGAAACAATAAACGCTTACAGAAAATATGAATTTGTTTTATCGAAATTACCGTCTTTATTAAATTATTCACTATACCACTATAATATATAGGATATGGAATATGGATACATAATTTAATATTATATAAATGTTTGCTCGTATTATATTATTAAATTTTACCTTTGAACTTCAATTTACATCATAAATACCTATGCCTACTACCTATATAACTACTTTATGCTCTTAAGTCTTCGAGCAAAGATGTAATAATAATTTGCGTGTATTATAATCTAAATGTTTCTAAATATTCAAGAAATTATACATCGTTTTATTGAAAAATATGCGTGTAATTTAATTTTGAAATCAAAACTCAAATATAGTTTTATAACTACCATGTTTACTTATAAGGCACTGAACTGAACAAGCTTTTTAAAATTGTCAACGACAAACTATTGTTAACATCTACAATTAACAATAGTCTTAGTTCAATTAGTTATAACTTTTTCCATTATAGATATTATTGTTTAATATGGGGTACAAGGCTCATCCGAATAAAGAATATCATATTTAAAATTCAAAATGAACTCAATCCTAAAATATTACCCAATTATGGCTTTATAAAATGTACTACAAACCCAAACTGAAGATATGATTATTATTGAGGAAACAATTATTTAATATTTCATTAAAATATTTTATACTCTTAGTCCAATCACTATAAATTACAAACTGTTTGATGGAATAATCGCATTTAATTTTGAAAAAATAAGCACACAAGGTATAATCTGCATATAGGTTATAATATTATATTGTAAGTCTTCATCCGCTGTGTGGTTTATATTATTAAATTAATTTCAGTCTACTCGAGCGTATTTTTACATCACAGTATTGTGTACGATGCGCTTTACACATCTCAAAAAAAAAAAACTGAAGTAATAGGAACTATAATAATATTATACCCCATGTATAATTACACGCGTCGTAATTTTTAAATTTAATTAAAAATTGTATACAAACATCAAAATCAAATATGTGATCGTAATATAAAGAACATTTAATTTTTTAATTTTTTGACAGCTTACACAAAATATGAACACTGGAATTATTTATCAATTTTATTATTATGATAACTTATTTAGTTTTAAACAATAATAATTAGTTAGTAATTTTACATTTTTACTAAAAATGATTACCTATATAATTGTTATTTAATGGTTATTAATAGGAAAAGGATATATATGTGCATTTTAAATTCATCAAAAAGAGCTTAGAACCATAAAAAAAAGCTATAGAAAAGCACCAAATGAATATTATAAAAAGCAAAAACAATAGCGGGTTTAAAAGTTCCCCCTCTAATGATTCTAACTTGTAAAATACCTAATATTTTTTAAAATAAATAATACTTTGTGCTAATTGTATTTTATTAGCTAGAAACGTTCGAGTTAAACATTCTACCATTTTCGCTTTTTTAAATATTTTAAAGTGATTTTTCAGCGTTTCTTTGACGTTTTTAAGCGCTTGTTTTGTGGTTTTTCATGAGCATAAATCCGAATATTAGTTTATATAATAATATACACTTATTTTAATAAATTGCACCTTTAGAGAAAGACCTCTAATGTATGCAGTTTTTTATTTTGAAGAAAACAAATTTTGAAAAAAATATTTATCTCGATTTCAGTTTTTAAGTTTTACCATTGCAACTTCTCGTTATTTTTCGTCGTTTTATGTACTTTAAAATTACGCGCAATATAATATTAGGATATCTTCTATTTCTGAGAATTTACAGTAATGATAGTTTTTAGTTTTAGATTCTAGTGGAACACTGCCATATTTTATTGATTTGGGGCATTATACTTACACAAAAAATGGTAGCAATAATTTAAGTTATAGTGGTTAAAATAAAAACAATACAAATTCGAAACAGCCACAAACCAAAATATAGCAGTGTTAAATTTAGTCTTAGCACCAGTACTAAACAAAACCGTCATCAACGGAAATTATAGCAGTTTTCAATTTTCAGACTATTATTCAAATATGATTTATCATACAGCAATACATCGATATTGAATAAAGGACGTAGCGAAATCGTGAAGATTTTATTAAATTTAAAAAGACTACTCAGAGTCTTACAGTGCCGATCGCATTTATAGTAAAGTATAATCCGCGTCCGATTCGAAAACCAAAGAGTTGTCCGAGCAAAAACTTTAAACCACTATCCTACCGAAAAAAAAATGTGCTTGCAAAAAAAAAAAAATATAGTAACAATACCAATTGTAAAAATTACGTTTCTCGCTTTGTTTAGGATTTAACATTTTTTTAAATTTCTAATAAATTGTTAAAAAGAAAACTCGATGTTTAAAAGATTTTTAACACTTTTAGGTGTTTTAAACGCGTCATTTCGAACAAATCAGTTTTAGCATATCATCCGCGGGCTGACAATAATAATCATACAATAATATGTATTGTTATAATATTTGATGTACGCATGTTTCGTACATGTACTCGTAACGAAAGACCCACTAAATCTGAATTAAACGTATAATTTAGATCATTGCAATGTGGGTTCCCATATTATAAATATTATGTCGGATTAAACTTTGGCGATTAATTATACTTAAGCGTATAGCTTAATGTTTTTAAATAAAATATGCGTATTTATTATATTAAAATAATACAACAAGGACGTTATTATTATTAATGTTCAAATTACTGCAGCTATAAACCGCATTTAATCTGATTATCCGAATTTCATTATTCATTTACGGAGTTAATGCGGAATAACACGCGCGTTATAAATAGGTACCTATTATAATAATTATAATTATTATTCGACGCTACGTAAATTCATTGTGAAATATTATTATTATTTACGCAATCGCATTAATAACAATGAGAATAAATAAATTAGATATTATTTCATTTAACACCTCGAGCATCCTTAAATTACATTAAGATTTAACGTACATTAATTAACATTAATTTTGTATACCGATTTCTTTATTCAATTTGCAACGTCTTCATAATTTGTCTATATTCATTAATATAATTTTTAATCTATATTTCAACCTGTACTTAAACCGTAAATCTCAATTTTATATCGAATTATTATTCGAATTAATACCTTATAAATAAAATGTTCTTCAACGGTATCGCCGACATCGAATTAACGAAAACAATATTATTTTAACATTACACCTATTAATTTTAGGTGAACAAAGATGTTTATTTTTTTATGTTGTGTATGAAAATTCTACCAGAAATCTTCATTATTTCTGAATGAAAATTTTCCTGTGATGGTACTTTAGAGAGGTCATTTTTTGATTTTCTCAAGAGTTTTCTAAATAAATGGGGAAAAACGGGGAAATAGATACGATTCTAAACAAATTTTATTAAAGAGAATACATAATGTATATGTAATTATTTTGCCATGTGACATATATATATTGTTGACAAAGCATCACTATTAAGCGAACTTCACTTCGAATCGTTTTTGGTTATTAACGGTTAATCGTTGCGTACATTAAATATACATTAAATTTCCCCTCTATACCTTCCCAACTTCTCACCTACAACAGTGACCCATCCACGTACCAAGTATGTCCGTCTTTTTTAAGTATAATAATTTAAATTTAATTCTACCTAATTCGATTATGATATAATATACCTTTGGTCTCGGTGCCGTGTAGGGAATGTATCGGCCTACCTAGTTTTAGAATTTTTACCTACCCAAAATTATACAAAACGAATAAAATTGGCATAAATTTTATTCAAAATAAAATTTAATTTCCGAGATTTGCTCGGTAGTTTTCAGATTTAATCCGGACTTGCTGACTATTGAATCTCGAGTGTAGGCACAAAACTAACTTCCAAGTTGAATTAATAGGTGTGAGAAAAAGAATTGTATATGTAATATACAATTCACCTTTTTATTCAGATGTTGTATAATACTATGTATGCTTTATACGATACCGACCAACTGTTTTCAAATTTTCGTTTTGAACTTTAAATACCTACGCTAAAGTTTTTTTCGTTTTGTTTCGGTTAATACTTTTCGTGGGAGTTTTCGGCACCAATTTGTATCCTACCTAAACTAGGAATGTAAAAATATACGTACAGTTAAGTCCTTTATCACCACGGATAAAATCCAAGGAATTTAATAAACGTACTTTGTATAAAGTTTGAAAACTGTATACAAAAGTTTTTAAACTTAACAATTCTACAGAGCTCCAATCATAATCCCGTTTTTCTATTCGTTATGCGATTAAACCGATGTTTTCCAATTTAAAATAGTTAATAATGCAATGGCCTAAAATCTTTAATATTATCTAATTGCTGAAGTATTCGGTTTTTTTTTTTTTGTTTAAGGAATATTTGCTTATGATCATTTTTTCACGAGCTCTCTTGAAATCCGAAAAAGAACCGAAATACTTCAACAGACAAAGCGCCACTCTCTGAATATTATTATCTTTATTTGAAACCGTGTATTGGTTTTTACGTTGCTTTTGAATTTATTTTACCTACGCAAATGGAACACCGTCCTATACATCAAAGCCAAAGAAATACGCTGCGTAAAACGAATGTCCTTCGTCAAAGCTTTGTATTTTTTTATTTTTTTTGAATGAGCGAAGTGAGAAATGTATTAGTTTTACTTTTTTTGGTATTTTTTTTCTGCCTGTAAATCACTTTTCTCCAAGCTATCTTGCTCCGATCATTAATTTTAAGAGTAGTTTCTGATAGCAAAATTTTTCAAGTCCTTGCTTTTTAAATTTTCTTTGGCTTTTCTTAATCAAATTTACTTTAAAAATTGTATTATAAAGTAATTTTTTTTTTAAAGAGGAATACGGTTATAACATTTTTGAAGTAATATTAATATACTACTTCAAAATACATATTACTATATAATATCTATGTAGTTTAAACTAATAAACTATTATTTTACTTCAGACTTTGTTATTTTATACTTGGCGCCTACATATTTATTTCTGGTCAGTAGAAAAAACCACCTAGTAGCAAATTTCATTTAAGTCGTAGCAAAATCATCATTCTTTTTTTTTTATAAGTAGTGCACAAAGTGTCGGCATCCTAGATAGCATCTTAGTTTCAAGAAGAACGTGACTTTTTTTTACATTTCTCGAGGACGCAAGTGTAATTATTATTTTGAGACTTTAAACAACATCGAAGGAGATTTCTATAATGTCTTATCGGTCCATTATAGAGGTTGTAATTCGATTTCTAATTTAATTTTTCCAATAATGGGAAAAATCCAAAAAAAAATATGAAAACCGAGAATATTAATATCAGTTTTCTGTTAGATTTGGTCAGAATTCTGAAAAAATCGCGCGTAACAAAATCTTGAGAATTTTGATAGTAGTTTAATAGTAATTTGGACTTAGTTCCGGTTCAGTGCAAACTTACCTCCAGTATATTTATTCTGGTCTTTACAAAATTAGCTTGTAGGAATATCTCAAAATTCTACAGCACAATTTAATTATTTCGTTGAAAAAATGGCTCTTTTTTTAAGTTCTAGCAAAAAGTGTCAATTGTCGAATATTGGTTGTGTCGAACATTTCGATCAGAAATCGTGTTCTAAAATTCAACAAAAGAGGTTTTATCTATTTGATGAATTATAAAGGTTTTACTATGATGTGTTTTTAATTTTTAAAATTGTATGCCTGTGAAAAATTTTTCTATTATAAAACTTGCTCTGAAGTATCAAATGTAGCAGTATTTCTGAAAAGATATTTTAATTTTGCGAATTTTCTACGTGACTTTTATTGGATAGGTACTCTAGATAACATTGTTAGACTAATCAATAATGCTTGAAAATTTGACCAAAGGTTCATTATAAGTCGTACTTATTGGTAAAAAAAAAATTGAATGTTCCTAGTGTAGTATTTATTATTATTTTTTTTTTAAAAGAATTTAAAAATTAAATTCTGACGAAATTCATAAATATTATAATATTAGCCTATTAAAACATATTGTGTACCTGAACTTCGCTCCAAATCGTTTTCCATTAATAACGGTTTATCGTTGGCTACAGGTATAAATTAAATAACTTTAAACATCCCACTTTCAAAACTACCCACCTATAATTTTGGCTTACCCGTCTCTAGTGTCAGCTTTTTTTTTTACATTTCTTTGTAATTTTCTTAAAAATAAGGGAAAACTAAAATTTAGAAAACAGAAATATTACGGTTTCTGTTATAATTGATTTTGTTTTAATCCAATAAAAAAAAACATAAATGTCTTAAGAACCTGAAATTTCTACCGGGAAAACACTCATAATAGCACTTTAAACAATTGAAATAATTTTCAAAACAGTATAGCATTTTTTAAGTTAATTATGACTATCCGAAATATTCGAATATTCTGAGGGAACTTTTATATTTATGTATCAATTTTGTTTACCTCTCAAAAATGCTCACATTATAATACGTATATGTGATACAAAATATTATGATGACAAAGATAATTTATTATAATTATAGTTTTTTTTTTTTATTCGTTTAAAGCGGTTAAATTTAGGACAAAATTCGTTTTATTATTATTATAATATATTTTGTAGCTACAAACTGGATACAATTTTCAACATAAATTTATGAAATATTTCAAATCATATTTTATTCATAGTCGTTGTTAAAATTTACTCGATCGGTGATGGGCCATTTTTGATTTTTTAGAATTCTAAAAAACCGGGGACATAGAAAATTTGGAATATGCAGTAGCAAAATTGATCAAAACCTTTAGTACTAGTTAGGACCAAGTATCGGTTAAACGTTCACCTATGTCCGCCATGTTTGTTTCTGGACTTTAAAAAATATCAGCCTATAATCTAAAAATAGCAAAATGTATCAAATCTGTAGAAAAATCAAGAACCTTTTCTTAATTTGTAGCAAAAATTGCCGGTGTCTACTCACCGGATTGTACATTTTAAAAAATATCTTAACGGGACGCATCTCGGAATTTTTGTGTCTGACTTTTCGATCAGATATATTGATCCTATCAAAAAAATAAAAGAAGGTTTTAGGTAGAATATGTTGTTTTCTTGATGACTCTAAGAGGTCATTTTTCGAATTTATTGATACGTTTCTTAATAATAGAGGGAACCTAAACATTAGAAAAACGGGATTACTTACGAAACAACAGTTTCTGTTAAAATCAATTTTATTCCTTTGTAATTCTGTGAAAAATATTCTTAAAAAAAAAATGATATTTTCACCGGATATTACTAGATCTGATACATCTTTTTTTTTTTATCATATTTTGGTTTAAATTTATATTTCCAACATGTAGAATCTAATGAATCAAAATCAATTTTCAAATTTTAAATCATAATTCTTAAAGTTTTGTCCGGCTTTTAGCATTTAGTTTACATCAACTAAATAATTAAATTGTCAACAAATTGTTTACATCGAGTTGTAATAATATTAATTATGATGATTTCAGAGTTGAGATTTTAATGTAATTTTTTTGCGGGTGATTTAAAACGTGTAGCTCTATAAGTGGAAAATATGTTTCGGGTGATACCGATTGTTTTAATGTAGGTAATTGTTAAATTTATGGCATTTGTATTTGACTGTTTAAGGCAAAATTCAAGTACACTTTCATGCATTTATTTTATTTTTCGTCTTTTTGTAATTGTACAAAATATTTGTTAAATTTTTTTTCACATTATTCAAATTTTTTTCGAGAGAAAGGAAACATTTTATCGTATTTTTTATGTGTTTTATTACCCGTACACTCTTCGCCATAATAATAATGTTGGTATACGAGTAAAATTCTAATAATAATCTTTTATGATAAAAGCACGATGCAGGATCGTGCGATTGTAAAAGTAATTGCGATTATTTGGCAAAAATATTCTACAAATATATCAACCAGTACACCAAGGAATATAATATGTGTACGCATGTTTAAGTCGAAAAAAATTATGATAAGTTTACGTAACAGTTTTATTAGGTTAGTCTAAACAAACTGTCATAATGTACGATATGATGCGATGGTGTGCGTATAGGTACGCGACGACGAATAAATCATTTTGATATTGATAGAATTATTAAGCGCGCGACGCCATATCATAAATTATCGCATTCGCGCGGCGATACAATTCAGGCCCAACGTGTACATTGTACATCTGCGGTGTTCGCGAGTTTAATTCACAGTATTAAATAGTGTACTAATAAGTTAAAACAGCGGCATGATAATATTTTTTAGAATGTTAATAATATACAATTGATAACCTTTCGCGGTTTCGATGTTCGACCGGTTTTCGTACGCTTAATTGTTAACATACGACAAATGCAAAACAGCAAAAGCATTCAAAAGTTCAGTAGCAGCAATATTAATAACACGCTGTTCCCGCCGTGATGAATACGATCCATATAGTCTGAATGTAAAACCCAAATGATGTGTGCCGTTTTTCCTGCACGCCGGGGGACACGCTGCGCTACGTACTTATTGCTGAAATGACTACAAAATTGAGGATTCCGAATTGTGTCATTTTTCTCGCCGTGACCCGATACAGTCATATAGCTGATGTAAAATCGTTTTAACAATACGCAAATCATCGTCGATAAAATATCGTATTGAATCGCTAGAGCCCTCGCGATAGGAACCTATGCAGTATTGGTCACCGATGTTGAGTCGTACCCCGAAAATTGCACGATTCAATAGGCGTTGATCGAATTTTGATCGATAGATGATACAAACTAAAATAAAAAATATTCATGTCAACTCGTGTGACCAAAGTTAAATATTGAACATTATTAAATCGCAATAAATTTGAATATATTTTGAAAAATAATAATCGTGATTGTGTAAAAATTAGCCATTCGCGGTTGCATTTTCTGTTTTTCTAACGGATGATTATACATTACAATAATAATTTGTTCGCGTAAGAGTAACACGAACGGAACTGTCTTTAAAAACCGCTTTATAGAAAAAACGCCTAGAATACAATGTGTATGAGACCACCATTTTTTAAGAAAATATCTTTGGCGTTTTACAATAGTTCTCTGAATATTTTACTGATTATCGAAGGGACAAAAAATCAACTTCAACATTTATTTTATTTTTTTATGATTAACGTTTAAAATAATTCATAATTCAAAATATGGTCATCTACATTGTGTTTTATCTCTAAATTTTTCGTTTTTTTTTTTTTATGTGGACACATTTTCGCTATATATATTGCCCGTTAAAAAGACCGAGACGACAAATTATTCAACTGTGACGAAGAATTTCGTGTTTTCGTACGTCATGGTCTCTAAAACACATATACTTACTCTTTTTTTTTGATTTGAAACCTAAATGTACCGTGCAATTTTCATATAAATCGTACATTCGTATACATATTGTTAAATTTAATTATATCGATTTATCTCAATTTGATTATATACATCTTGGACAGTTTTACTCAGGTTTTTTTTATCGGATGTGTACATAACGTGAAAAAATAAAATTATTTGATGAAGGTTTTTTCTTTTACGATTTCTATTTATAAATACCTAGATTATAAAAATACAATTAAGAGAAGTTTAAAAAAAAAATAAAAAAATACCACTTAATCCAGGTAATACAAGGGCTGCGCGATTATTCTCATTAATCGATTAATAATCGATTATAAATAAACTAAATAAATTATTAATAACAATAACAAATCTATATCTAAGTTCTTTGTTCTGTGAAAATATTTTAATTATCAAACAATTTTGTTTGTTTTTTATGAAATAAAAAAATAAAATTTAATTTTGAACACTTTGGATCACTCATAGGCCGGGCCACCAGACATTTGCCGGCAGGTCACACCGCCCTTGAATATCAGTGTTTTTTCAAATTATTTTTCACAAACTACAAATTACATGGCCAATAGTCAACACTCAAACTCAATACAATCAATCAGTTTTGAAGTTAAATTTAGTCTTGTATTTGTATACACAGTTTTAAAATAACAAACCTTACGTATCAGTAACTATATTAGACAAATAAAAAAAAACAAGTTGATATAGGTGCAATCACCCTGGGTAAATTGTTTTTAGATGAATTGTGTCTATCATTATAATCGATCATAATTGATTGTTTAATTCAAGTGGATTATAATCGATAAAATGTAATAGGTGTCGATTATTTGAAAAAAAAAAAACAGCCCTAGATAACCCAAGCAATGTTGACGATAAAAATATATAGCCTATATGTTGAGTCCTGCGTTTATATTTGTATTTATGATGCCTGGATTTTGTCTAGCGATTCGAATAAAATCTCAATTATATAGGTGCATGCGAATTTAAGCTAAAAAAAAAAAGTTGTAAAAGTGAAAACTTATTTTTTATATAAAAATAATATGATGTTTGTTCTTAAAAAAGAATAAGTTTAAAATAGTTTTGGCACTATTATTACATTAAACTGTGGTATTTATTCATATTATATATACATATAAATATGTGCATGAGTAATATCTACAGAGACGATTTTAGATCCTGCTGCAGGGTCTAAAACGCGCGGGAAAACTATTAGTTTCACAGCATATTAGAAATATACACTTTTTTGAAATACGTTTTTAATGTAATCATATTGAGCATTTTTAAATTTTTAGATCCGCTACGTTCCAAATCTGAAAATGCTATTGATTTTACTACGATGCGATCTTATTTTTAGTTTTTTTTTTTTTTTTAGCTTCTGATCGGAGCGAGGGGTCTTTTGTTTCAGCTTAACGGTTGAAAAATTTAGCGTCATGTAGCAGTTTTTTTTATAAGCGTTTTAATACCAAATCTCGACGAAAATTTAAAAAAAACAATATTTAAAACATGTATAACCAAATTTCGCTCAGGATCGTTTTTCACTAGCAAAGATTTATCGTTACGTACTGATGTAAATAAAATAACATTACCTCCCAAACTTCCTACGATCAATATGCAGTGGTACAGCCGTCGGTCAACGGTATCGACTAGTTTTGTTTTTATATAATAGTGTGAGTATTACCATCGATTAGAAAATTAACGTGATGTAATTATTTCAATGAAAATTAAAAAAAAAAAAAAAAACCAATTATATTTTTGTTTTCAATTCATAATCTATTGAAAACAAAGGATTTAACTCCATTAATCACCTCAAAAAATTAACAATAAAACCACCTGTAGTATTTTGTATTTACAAATCATAATACTATGTTGTTTTTATTATTATTATTGTTATATTTTTTTTTTTATCAGTTTCACGTGTATTGTGAATACGTCATGTTGTTTGTTTTTTTAACGATTTCTACTATAACGGGTACTTTTACACCCGTGTATGAGAGCTTACATTGCTCATTCTAGGTGAAAGATGGCCACGCGTATGTAGAAACTTACCCAATTCGCCTGCTATAACATTAGACTATTTATGTCCGTGTGGTTGGCAACGGCACTTTTTACAACAAGTAAAAAAGGGGTCATGACTATAATACAAATTCGCTATATTTTACTATAGCATTTTCGGAATTTGCTACTAATTGGTTTTTCCTATAGACTGGAAAAAAATCCATGGCGAAGTTTACTCTAACCAAAAGACTCGAAATTAGTGTCAAAATAAAATTAACATACGATTATAGCTATGGTATTTTTATAATCATTTAATTTTATTTAAAAAAATTCCAAATAAAAATGTTTAGTTTTAATTCATTCGGCTGGTTAAGATGGGCCATCTTAGATTTTTGTTATATTCTGGAAAAACAGAAAGGTAGAAAATGTTTAAAATGTCGTATTAAAATCTTACGAAATTTTTGTTGCTAGTTTTGACTGAGAGACGTGCAACGTCAACTTAGAACCGGATTGTAAAAAAAAAAAAACGATTAAAAAATTTGAAAATGTCGTTGCAATATGTATTAAATCTGCAGAAAAATCATGATTATTTCTTTAAATTGTAGCAAAAAATGCCAGTATCATCTTGTCGAACATAACTTTATAAGAAGACATTATATCGGGACGCATCTCGGAAGTTTTCGTCCCTCACTTCTCAACCAGACATCTTGGTCATATCAAAAACATCAAGGGAGGTTTCTGGTAGAAAATAATCTTTGGTGCATGCTTTAAAGAAATCATTTTTCGAATTACTTTGTATATTTCTTAATAATGGAGAAATACGAAAAAAAAAAAAGAAAAACGCTGGAAACCGAGAATATTCATGATATAAAATATTTGTGGTTTATTGTAAAATATATTTTTTAAATTAATATTAGCTAATTAAAATGTTGATTGAGTTTCTTGTTTTTATACATCAACCTTTTAGCTTCTAAAAAATGAACAAACATTTTGTAATACGTTTTTTTTTTATCATAATTACTATCATAAACACTTCACAGTTTAACGTTGTCTTTGATTTGTTTTTTTTTTTAAGCGTTTTAAGTCTAAATTTTGATGAAATTCGTAAAAATTACTGCATATCGCGTATTTTGCTATTATTTTTAACCACATTATTCTCCGTTTATTCGACTAAAACCTTTTTTTAGTTTCGTAAAAATATTTACATATTTAATACTTAGCCCGTTAATGGTTATATTCAAATATTTATATAGGTACCGATTTATTACATACAATCAAAATAAATAAATATTTTACTTCAAACCATAACCTAAAAACTTGAAAATAAAACCATATTATATTAATCTCGTTTTTATTTGCGTCAGCATAGTTTTACTATACTATCGTGTGTATAAATGTGTGTGTGTGTTTTTTTTTATAATTTTAACTATACATTTATTAATGGGTTTTATAAAAAGGAAATTCGCAGTTCCGTTTTAACTGTATAATATTCAGCGTTCAAACGATTTTGAATGATCGAAGACTGATGATATGATATTATAGGTGTAAAAAAAAAATAATAATATATATATATTATTATTATTATTATTTTTTTTTTTTTTTACGTAGGTATACGCAATAGTTTTTCCACCGCTTGCAAAATTCTGTTCAAGCGAAATCGGCTATTATATATTTTAGTAATCGATACTGATTGCCTATTCGCAATAATGATTAATGACCGTACGGATTTTAAACATCACTTTTATTTCCGTGCAGTCTGATCAAATCAAATATTTTACCTACCTGTAACGTTTTTTCCAAACATTGCTGCAGTATTAGACTTTAGTTTTTCTTCGTTATTTTCGTTCTTTTTCAAACAGCTTATAGATACTTCCACTGCAAAACGAACGTGTTTCCATTTCTGTAAGTCTTGTGTCCAAGTTCATGTTGCGGGCGTATTTACAAGCCCGGAGTCAGGGTTAAGTCGAACGAGTAGACACACATATCTTATAAGTGTTTTTTATTCGAGTTGGAATATATTCCAACACTTTTTAATTAATTTACAAGTCTGTCTGGCGTGAAGGTGCTTGCGGTTGATAGTGCTCAGACTCGTCTGAAAAGGCGTTCTCGGCGACCGGCGTATATACCCAGAGCCCCCGACCTAAAGACGCTGAGCCCACGCTTTTCGGCGACAACATGTCATTGCTTAGTCGAGTGATAACCCCCTCACGCCTGCCCCTCTGCATCTGGGTCGTGCGAGAACGCGCCCATAAATATATCGCTGAAATAGTTTGTCCGCGGCCGTCCGTATTGCGCCGGAGCCAGAGAGTAGATAGCTGCCCTGTCAATTCGGTGCGCCCGAGATTGGCGGCGGCGGCGGCTGAGGTGGATTTAGACGACCAGTCCCCCGTCCGGAGAATGTCCCCGGATACCGAACAACTATCGCCCGTTCAATTCGGCCGCACGAATAACGTTGTGGACCATAATTTTTTAATACTCTATTGCTGCGCTGCGTGCAACAAATTATAACATGATAATATTTAAAGGGAACACTCGATACTATTCAGCGGAGTAGCTCTTCGCTAAAACTGCCCGGTCCCTAGTTATCATGCTTATGTCAATCCGTCTTTGTTTTGTTTTTCCGACGTTCTTTTTTCCCGGGAGGTCTAGTTGTGTACATCATTTCGTTGTTGATTTGGATCTTATTATTATACGTGACCAAGCCAACTCTGTCTCTCGCGTCGGATTTCAGCTATTATATTTGATCTTTTTGAATAATTCCCGGACTTGTTTGATCATATCATGTAAGTTAGCTTCTCGTTGTTGTTTTTTTTTTTTTTTTTTTGTAAGTCCATAGATACTTCGGAATTTCGTCTCCGTGACAGCTAATTTATTTTCATTCTCTTGGGTTGCGGGCACGTTTCACTCGCAGGTTTACTTATTATTATTACTGCTTTATGTTATCGACTTATGTAAATGCGTAAGCTTATAAAATATTATAATACATTTTTTTTTTTGTTTAATATCTAAGTATTTATAAGACGATGAATTATTCTACACCACATTAAAATGAAAAAAAAAACACGTTTTTAACGATTTTTAATTATATATATATAGGTATCCTAAAAAAAAATAAAAAAAAAAAACAATATGTACCTAGTCACTACATATTTGACAAACAAACATTTTTTTCATAAAATAATTATTAATAACTCTAAACTACAGCTATAGTTTTTAGTTTTTAGCCTGTATGTGTTTTAATATTTTCTCGAAGTTTAATTTTCGTAAAAAACTCACGTATTTCAAAATGGAATATAAAATATAATATAACGATATTATTACCGCGAACTATACAATTAATATTATTATTATTATTATTATTATTATAGTCTATAGGTACTTTATACAACTTTAGCCAACAAAAAAGATCCAATTTCCGTATAATTTCTAAAAGTTTTTAATTTATTCTCGTTATAACATGGCATAAGATTATCCGACAGCCACAAGAGTTATGGTCCCGTCTGAAAAACATTCGATATCTGCTAATATCGACTCGCGCGGCGAACGAAACTTACGAACACGAGGAGCAAACCCCGAAATATTTATATTGTCAAACTTTTAGAACGCCATAATTATTATTTATGAATTTATATACATAATGACGTTATTTGTTCATTTTTTTTTTTCTATTCAATATTTAATGATGAGTTATATTATTGTCGTAATAACATTCATAAAATCAATATAACTATCTATACTTTGTTCGTAATTATTAAATAAAAAAAATCGGAGGTATTTTCTATATTGATAAGCTATAGATACTCTATAGAACTCAGTGATGATTCCAAGAAAGACGAAGAGGAAGGTGATAGGTAAATCATCCCTCCTCTTAGTCTGTGTTCTTGTGTATACATGCAGTAAATCTAATAAATAGTGTAGGTACTTATTTTTATTCGTCCCATGGGAGATTTATTACTATAATTTCTTTAGCGACGTCTTGTTATGGCGGTGCCGCTAAAATAATTCTATTCGCTTATTCCCGGGTGATAATAAAAAAAAAAAGGCGATATGAGGACGAGTGATTAGCTATTTTTTTTTTTTATTAATAAATATATTTCACTCTTAAATAAATTATAAAAGATAATTTTATTTTTAGGTTTTTTTATATTCATATCTACACTGTATAGTTTCTGGTGATTATAGTACCACATCAAATTAATTTTCATGTCCCTGAAAATGGGAGGGAGGAAGTGAGATGTATTTGTAAAATATAGAAAATATTTTTCTCCCCCTCCCTCTTGAGGTGTGTCAAGAATCGACTTAGATAGAAATAAAACTATAATCAATGAATTGTTTTTTCGGCTTGAGTTAAATCTAGAGATGTGAGCTTCGTAAATTTACCGGGTGAATTTTACGGATAAACATAAATTTACGTACATTTTACCGTTTTTTTTTTTTTACTGTTCTTATATTCGAACGATTTGGACGGTTTTACAAGCCTAATAACATTTATTTTGCTACTTTTTAGTTTATACATAGACTGTATTTATTGAAATTTTGAAAATTGGCGGTATATCATTATGCCATGTATGATTGGTGAAACAGATTTGGCGTTGTTTAGTTCTATTAAAATTTGTGGTTGTAATATGTTCTTAAGTTTACTTATATTCAAATTTGAAACTTTATTACTGTTATTAGTCTACAAACAGTATTTTATATTTTATTACCCATTCATTTTTATTTGTTATTTTTATTCTTTTCGTTTTTTTTTTTTTTAATCGAGAATTATTTTATTAAACAACTGCACGCTGTTCATTCTTTATTTATACTTTGTATTTGTTTTACACTCGTGTGGATATATATATTATATATGTATAATTATATGGTTTCTTTTATTTATTATAAAAAATTACCCGATTTACCGATTACCGAAACGTACGTAAATCTACTGAAAATTTCTTTTTATCTGTATATTCGACACATCCAGTCGAATTATCATGTACCTATCGTAGTTTTAAATTATTAGAGTACTATGCGTATATTGTTGCTCCCGAAGATACGCGTAAGTGAAATTTAAGATTAAAATAATATAAGCTTATAAAAACACAATATTTGCAATGGCTTCCGCCGCAGTCGTTTCGGGACAAAATTTAAATCCGTACAAATCGAATTTATTTCTTCGGGCGTTGCATTTTGACCTTAATGCAGTATAATATTCAAGTAGTTTATACTCCATGTTCGTATATAATATGGATTTTTTTTTTTCCGTTTGTACAGTGTATTTTCATATTTTTCAAGGATACACCTTTTTTCTCTCTTTGGGGTAAGTTTTTTTTATTACACATCAGTACATCACGCACTAGGGAAATATAGGAGGAATCACTTAATTATTATACCTGAAAATATGCCAAAGCTATATTTCAATTTTTATTTTACGTATATATTATCGGAGTTATATTTCAATCGATTTACATTTCTATTTTTTTTTTATATACACATATATTTGAAAACACCATCGATATCGTACAGTTTTTTTTATTAGTTAATGCTTTCACGAATAATTGCATTATACATCCATTGCGTTTAAATTCAAACAATTTCCACCTAGTATAATATACTTAATAATATTTACAGCATTTAAAAATTAAAATTTAAGACGTGCGTATCGTGCAAACATTTAAACACGAATTAACAACCACGACCGCATAGACTTATTTTGGATAAATTAATTTTTTTAAATATTAAAAAAAAAAAATAAATGTAAACAACAATAGCTGTTCCTTGTATACTTTGTAATATATGACTCAAATCACAATCACTTTAAAAACTATAGTATAGGCAATTCGGTTTTCGCTAAACCCCGCGTGATAGATGTTTTTCAAGACGTTTACATTTCAATGGATTTATATGCGGAAACTTCTAAAAGTTTATTTGTTAGTTTCCTTATCGCATGTGTATATATTACAGAGTTTGCCTCGAGTTTAATGTGTTATCATGTTAAACTATAAACTCGTGCATGAGTAAATTTAATATATTCAATGCACATATATATATATTAAGATACTGTCTTAATTAAGATTTTAATATCTTATTTAAAATCGTTTACGTTCCTGCATACGGTCAAGTTAATTAATTTTAAACCAAACTAAAATGAAGGCTTGAGACCGCTTCCGGAAATATTGATAAATATTTTTGATAACCGGTAACCGCTTACCATTAATTTCTAATACAGTGGTTCTCGGTAATTATACTTCTATATTTATACCAACAAATGCTGGTTAAAGACCGTTTTTTTTTTCTGGTTACTAGTTGGAACCACGATAAAAATTAATTCATTAATTAATAAGTTGTAGCACAGTGGTATATTTTTAGAGAGCTCCCGAGAGCTTTTTTTAAAAAAAAAAAAAAAAAAAATAAATAAATATAAAGACTAATAATATTTTAATTTTTAAGAAATATTTAACTAGAAATCTTATTCCGATCACCAACAACAGGGGTGGTTTCCGACAAAAAAATATAGTCTAATTTGTGTATTAGACTAGTTGTTTTCATTTTATTTTTATTTCCTTTTGATTATGGGAGAAAACCGTAAAAAGTCAGAAAAAGGCAGATATTTACAGAACAATAAACTCTGTTTATTTTGATAATATTTTATTATTGTAATTCATTGAAAGCATTCTTAGTTATCTGAAATTTTCTTCGTGAACTTAAATTAGTACTTTTTAAGTAAGTTTTAATTTCAAAAATATTCTGGTGTTATTTAAATATCTAACCATATGTCATATAGCCCGATAGCCGTAAAGCGATAAGAATTTGTCGAGTATTTTTAACTGTATGAACACAATTTTTAAACTCTGATGGCATGTTATTTGATACAAGGTTTGTCAAAGGTTGAACTTTGTGATAAAAAAAAAAAAAGTGAGTCATCAATTCGTTTATAAACATTTTAAACGTTCAAACATGTAATACAATTTGTTTGAAACAATTGTAATTTTTTTTTTTTATATAGTTACATTTTCAATTTAAATTTATACACACTTTTTGATAAATTTTGCAAACTCCCCTGACTATCATTTGTCAATGATTTATGGTAGCATACAGTAATAAATTACATAAATTAATCTATACATAATTTTATACCTTTCTAAATTTGTATCCAGAATAGTGGCCTACAATAGATTTTTTTAATGATTGAATGTAAATAGTGCTGACTCGAAATCGTATATATAATTTGTTTCATTTGTTACATTATGCTAACAATATTTTATTTATTTTTTTTCAATTCAGGGGTCAAAGGGATCTAGATATAGTAATAAGGTTACCAGTTATTGGTTAAAATCTTACTTAATTATGTCGTTTATACCACTAATTCCCACTTTCAGCTTTTCAAAAATCGATTTTCGATTTTTGGTTCTCATTTAAATTGATTTGTTGCCACTTGGCACATTTGCAGTTTTTCAGATACAATTTTATAGCATGAGACATGTGAAATCTTGCATTTCTGTGATATGCAACAAAAATGCAGACAAATCTTCTCAAACCCCAAGAAAGTTCGTCTAATTGCTTCTTTTGGATTCATTACAATATTGCTAAACACAAAAAACCTATATTGCAAAATTATTGGTGAAATCAAAATGAAGTTTATAGAAAATCAAACCAATCCTAGTGCTCTTCAATGATCATTTTACGAATAATACTATCAGTCTCGATACATTTTGATTAGTCCTCTTACATATTTTGTTTGGACTAACGTCAATTATTAAGCAATTAATTTTCTAAAATTAAAGTGTTGCCAAATATTTCAAAACGTTCCGCAATACATATGCACGCGTAATAATCTCACTAATATATAATATTGAGTAATACATCCAAAGAATAAATTAGTATGTATTATTGTTTTATAAATAAGACCGAAAGTTTCAACTGAAAATCGAATTCGATTTATTTGTTAAAAAAATAATTATATACATTTATAATAATTTGTATAATAATTACGCAGGTTTAAAAAAAATTTAAATAAGAACTGATACTGGGAATTGGTATGTCAATGTTTTTAGGAGGAAAGTTGGAAAGGTAAGACATATAAATTTATTTAATTTACATATGTAAGTGACCATTGCTAATAAAAAAACGTTCCTGAGCGAAGTTTGTTTATACATGTTTTAAAATACCATAGTTTTTCCGTTAAAAATGTAAAAGATCAATAATTAACTTAAAAATCGGCAGAATATTTTGAAAATTTTACCGAAAAAAGGCTAATATAAGTACTTTATGGTCATTTTAGATATTGGCGATTATTTTTAACCGAATTACAAGAAAAACAATACAATCTAAAACAAAAATAATGAAACCTATAATGCCGTTAACTTAAACGTATTTCCTACGTTTTTTTCCAACTATTAAGAAAACTACTAATTTAAAAAATCAAAAACCGACTTTTCATACATCATCTAGACAAACATTTATTTTGCTAGAAAGGATGCTAATTTGGAGCAAGATTTCCGGTAGAAAGGTTTTTTACAGGTAAAAAATAAAAAATCAAACACCTTTCAGTAAAGCCAATACATTTAAACTCATAAACGGAAAATATATTTATTTTATTAACAAATAACGAGATTTGTTCGCAAATATCTCAGAATAGAGGTATTCGTGTAGTTTTATAATAAAATATTATAAATCTTTGCATAAAAAAAAAAGTCAGTAAATACGCATTCCATCAGTGTTACCACATTCGGTATATTCGGTGTAGAGCACGTAAGTTCTGTATATACCTACCTACTTATTCTAGTTTGACGTTGATTGAATAGCACAATACAATATTCTTTTATAGTATTGCGGAGTGCTGAGAATTTTGATTTCGATTTCGATTTATTCGAGAGACGTACGTGCGCACACTGTAGTCAAAATAATCAATCGACCACGTCATCGGGAAATTCGGTTTCTTCACAAAAACCCGAAACAATCATATTAAATTAGTGCGGGTGTGTAAATAAGGTTAACTTATTTATCTATGAGAAATTGTTGCAGGATTTAATAATAATGCACGTACCAATATTAAGTATAGGTTCACGCGGATTGTGTGGTTCATAAATCTCCGAAAACTAAAATCAATTTTCGAAAACTTTGGGCAGATTGAATACAAATCCGATAATACGTATAATAAGTTTAACTTCGTTGTAATACAATAAGAAAATATACGTTTTTCACTTTACGTTTCGAATTGTCATTACATACAACAATAACAATAGCAACAAAATCGTGCAGTATTCGAAGTTTCAATATTATTGTAACATTAGGTATGGAAATAAATTTAAGAACTTTATCGCCAACGAAGATGGCACAAACACTCCAAAAAATTGTTTATTTTGTATTAATGCGTAATGACAATTAGGTTTTGTGTTTTAACCAATAACAATTAATCTAAGATATTTTTTTTGTACGAATAACAGTGAATATTAGGTAGATAATACCTAATGTTAAATAGCACAAACATTCCAGATACGTGCGATTTCGGTGTTTTTATATTAAACAAGATTTTTAGATCAAATCGCGTTTAAACTTTAATCTTTTGGTCCGGCTTTCGATTCTATTGTATATATTCTTCCAAAAAATTAAGGCAATATTTCCTACAGACATAAGAAAAAAGTAGGTCGATACACGAAGTCAAGTAATTTTTCAAAACAGAAATTGAAGTACTGGAAAAATGTTAATATTATTTCAGATTATTCGTCTAAATGTATGAAAAAACAAATCGCTTTCTGTTGCTTTAAAGTTAAAATTTAAAAAAAATAAATGGCCTATATTCTTTTTTTACATCAATATTTCAATTGGAAACTATGTTAATTATTGAGTACACATAATCCAAGTACAATGATAAATCAAAAACGAACGAACAAACGCTGGAAAGTAGAAATTATAATATCGCAATGATACAACGAAAATTCAATTAAAATGTCTCTAAGCGTAGTTTTGGACGAACAACCACAACTTAATACTATTAAGACATATTTATAGAAACATTAATCAAGGTTATACACGCAAGAACGAAAGTTCTGTTTCCCCTTAATTATTCATATGATATAGCTCAACGTTTGAGATTAACTATTGTTCTTCACCGCGTATTATCGCAGTACACAATACACTCATTTCCACTTTTAACTATTGCTGCGTTTGTTATTGAGATGCAGTTGAGACAGTCGAAACGTAGCAATGGCCAAAGGTCTAATTAGTAAACGTTTTACATTTTCGTTGTGATAATTCATTAATTCATGAATGCGTGACTACGAAAAAGACAGGGATGTCCCCCCATGACCGTTTTTTTTTTTTTTGATTTTGACACGTTTATAGTGTAAGTACTGCGAATTGTTTGAATATTCGAACGGTATGTATGTACAGAAAATAAAAAACAAAAACGTTCTTTTGATAATCATAATTCGTGGTATTCATTGTCCGTGATACAGATATTATCCGATGTTACTGCGAAGTACGGTGAAACGATGACGTTATGTTGACGGAGTTTGTGAACTTAAAAAAAAAAAGAAGAGAACTGATAAAAGGAATATATGATAATATTATTTTTTTTTTTTTTAATTAACAAACATTATAGAACATTTATTTTAAGTTAGAAATAATACGAATCGATTAATTTTCACAGCGTGATGATTTTTACCGAACAGTATTTTCAGTATCGCAGTTATTCTAGCCCCTCCTTAATCACGTCTCTGATGGTTATTGTTATACTACGGAAATCAATCACGTTATGCGTCCAGTATTTAAGGGGTTGTTTACTATGTTCATTTTAGAAAAAATGAAAATTTACATATCCAATTAAAAATATTCAAATACAATATCAAATTAATTTACAATAACTACAAGACGCAAGTTATTACTTATAGCAAATATTATCATTTATCCTTATACAAGAACATTAATTTTGTAATTATGAAAATATATGTATATATTTTTTACATTTGATAAGAGTATATTATATATTATTTAATTTGTAGAAAAAAAACATTTACAATAAGCATATTCGAATAGAGAAAACAAGGCGTGTGAGACGGATAAAATAAATCATCAAGCAGTGACACTTTTTGGAAAGGGTTGTTTTATTTTTTAAAATATTATTCAAATTATTTTAATGTGTACACGTATGCATATAAACACTAATTATAATCACGTATTTTTTTTTTTTTATGGTTTATTAGGGAAAAACAACAAAATTTAAACGACGGAGAGGTTTTCCAGGGATGAAGTTGGAATTAGAGTTTTTAACGGGTAGATTTTGATGAGAAACGAGTCGTTTGCAAAATTTCGTACACAAATATAAAAAGGCATAATATTTAAAACAATATCAAAGTGGATGTCCGAGATGATGCGTGAGCATAGAAAAAAATATACGCGTATGTTCCCGCTCAAAGCGAATAAAAATACTTTTCAACGTAATTTCAGTCGTAAAATACCTATTATACAATTGACGATAGATGACAATGTTGATATTTTCAAGGGGTCCGCGTTTTATATCATACAATATATTGTATATGTGAATACCACGAACGGAAAAATAAATCTGTTAAAACGCGATTAGACCCTTTATATAGGTGCCATATATGTAGGTATCAATGTTTCTGAATGATATTTCGGATTTCCTTTTTCGAATATTGTCCTTTGTGATAATAATATTTTATAACGCGTAAATTTTATACCTCTAAAATCGTTCAAAGACGATCTGGCGCTTGACGTTGTGCCGCGTAAAGGGCCTAACCAGGACCGGTCGACCTTTGCCTTAGGCCTCTATAATTAGTTTGAACCGTGGCCACCGAAAACCGTCGCCGCTGCTATTTCCCGGCCTCGTGTACAGGGTGTATCGCAATATCTGACGTGTCGGACAGTAGGTATAGTCGATCAATTTCAACCCCAAGCAATATTTTACGGTTTTTAATTTTATTTTCCCCTGTCACGCCTCGCGCTACACAATAATAATGCATTATAATATACGATACAGTATTTAGAACAAATCATTTATTTAACGGTGAACCCAAATAAAAAAAAAAAAAAACGGCGAAATTTAATTTTATTGTTTTTATTTTTATTTTTATTATTATTATGAAAAATGTCTGTAATAAAAACTCTCATTTGAGGGTTTGGCGTAATCTATATTTTATATATATTTACGATTTTTTTATTTTTACAGTTAGTGCAAATGTGATTTTTTTTCCCTCGACCTGTTTATTAAATGGTAAAATAAAAATAAATCACTGTAGTGATCGATTGCAGATTTATTGTGATACCAACCGGACAGCAATAATCGTATAATTTGATAAACATTAATCGATTAATACGAAATTGAAAAACAATATTAAAAAAATATCGATTTTCAAAAAATTTAAAATGACTTTAAAAGAGAAGAATATTAACTCTTGGGGAAAAAAAAAAAAAAAAAATGTTTGAAGTTAATGATCATACCACAATATATATATTTTAATTTTTTTAACAATCTATAAAAAGCAATATTTTAGACGAAGGCCATTATTAGATTTGCTAAATATTGGGCAATTTTCGAGATAAAAAAAATTATGAATATCAAAGTTTTTTTGAAAAAAAAAGAGTATTAATAAGAGTATTCGAATCGAATGTCAAAAATAGATTTTGTTATTCAAAAAACGTAATTTGTATTGCAAGTGCGCACATCTAAAAGGTTAGTAAACTAAAACTTTTTCTTAAGTGTGTATTTCAGTACCCCTATCAGCTCTCAAAAACGAAATTCAAATCCAAGGTTATCCGGCCAAAATATTTAGTGTTAACTTTGAAACGTAATCACGCTGTATAATATTATGTATCTCAGATAGTGCAATATCAAATATCCTTTTTTCGAAGAAAATTCGACAAAAATGATCGTTTCCGGCACATCAATCAATTCAGCGGGTTCTTGTATAAACCTCATTTTTTACATAAAATGACATAATGTGTAAGTTTCTACACGGGTATAAAAGGCGGTGCCGAACTGAAAAGGTTTCGACCCACTATTTTCGGCAAAAAACCGGCCCATTTACCAATATTTAACTACCCAACATAAATTAATAGATTATTACATATATCTTAGCATTTTATTAGAATTAAAGAAATGTTTAATTAGGAACTTTTGTACTTTTTAATTAGAGGAATTTGTAGAAACTGAGTTTATTACAAAGAAAATGTAAAATACATCAATATATATAAAAAAAGTAACACTTCGTAACAGGTCTGGAAATTTAAGCGTATAATTATATTGTATTTATATGAAGATAATAATTTAGATTAGACTTACTAGATGAGTTTTTAATTTTTTACGAAATAGCTTTGAACTACAAATAATTCAATATTTCTTTTTCCGCATAAATTACAGGAAAACTTTTAATTCTTTTGATAATGATAAAGCTCGTAGACGGTTTTTTAATAATTTTAAATTTACTAAACACGCGTTCATAATTACTTGAGTTGTGGATAATGTTAGTACATAATATTACATGGCTGGAAATAGAATATATAAGCGTATATAAGTTTAGCGAATACAGACAATTAAAAACATAAATCAAGCTTTTTTCTTGAGCTCGTAAAACTTTTAGACCATATTATTACTATTCAGATTCTAAAAAGTAAAAAAAATACAATAATTTGATATTTCGGTTTAAACGTATAGTTGATAAACAATTATAACTTTGTATTTTTGTTTAGTTACCTGTAAAATAGAATATATAAGCATATATAAGTTTAGCGAATGCAGAAAATTAAAAACATAAATCAAGCTATGTTGTTGAGCTCGTAAAACTTTTAGACCATATTATTATTATTCAGATTCTAAAAAGTAAAAAAAATACAATAATTTGATATTTCGGTTTAAATGTATAGTTGATAAACAGTAGTATGAACTATACTACTATAAACAATTATAACTTTGTATTTTTCTTTAGTTACCTGTAATAGTTATTACAGTCAATAGGTATTCTACTCTAAAGAGAAAATCTTTATAATTCATAACTGTTACAACTTATATTTGTCATAAATATTAGTAGTTTTTAATATCGAGGTTTTTTAAATGTTATCATATAAATTCCAGCAAAGTGTTCAAGTTTGTCAATTAATTTTGAATGATAACTGATGATTGTGAGTGTGGCGAAGAATGTGTTTTTTTGCAATAATGTTTATTTTTAAAAGTAAATTATGTCAAGATAATACTTTAGAGAAAACATTTTTTGATTTTCCAAGCAGTTTTCATAATATTTACCTGGGAAGCCTCGGGAAAAAACGTATGAAAAACGGGAAAATGTACGAATATAATGTTTTTATTATTTTCAATTTTGTTTTTATTTTAAATCAGTTAAACATATTTTTAAAGATTTTAAATATGATCAAAAACCTTCCATTTTTTTTTTCTAGACATGGTAAAATTTTCAAACAGTTCAAGCCATTTTTAGCTATTTATAGTCATTTTAATTTTGTGAGTTTTTTTATGTATTTTTATTTGGTAGGTAATATCTACTGTTAGAATAAACAGAAATGCATGGAAATTCACAGGAGGTTCATTAAAAATCGTACTTTGTGGTAAAAAAATACTTAAGCTTATTTTAGTAGGTATTTTTTTTTTTATAAAGGCATTTTAATATTAAATTTTGAAGAAAATCGTTTAAGTAAAAAAACATGTAGAACAAATCTAGTTACTAGTCGATGCAAATTTTTCAATTTTGTTTTTTTGTTTAATGTTTTCAACATATGTATATTGCCAATTTAAAAACGATGGTGAAGTATGAATTGAGCTGACTGACTTAGATTCGAAATAATAGCTTTTTGAAGTTCTAATATTATGCGGATATTATATGTGTTATATTAAATAAAATAATAGTGTCAACTTTATTAGTGGTGGTACGCACCTGTTGTCATCCCAGAGATCGTAAGTTCAAATTAGTGTTCCGAAAATTTTTTTTTGCAAAACTACGTCTGATAAAAAAACAGAAATGGAACACATTATGTGTTTACTGTGTAACTCATTATGTTCAATACATATTTATTTTACTATAATATGGCGTATATATTGTTGAAAAAGCAATACTGTTAACCGAGCTCTGCTCAGAATCGTTTTCCATTAGCAATAATTAATCATTGCTTACAGATATTCATTAAATTTCCCTCTATATCCTATTTTCTCAACTTCTCATCTACCCATTGTGCGATTTAGGAATAAATTTGTTTCTTAAATCATTATAATATTTTGGATATAAATATTGCACATCTGCAAAAACACTTATTGTTGGTGAACCTTTAAGTAGGGCAATTAGTCGACGATACATACGAAAAAGTTCTACTCTAAATGTATGTTTTGGCTTTGTTGGTGACTCATCGCCAACAACACCATCAAACTCACATTTTTTGAGTCCTATTTGGTTTTCAGGTAAACAATTCACAAGGCTGTTCGAGGTTTTATTCTGAAAAATTGTAAAACCTCCTAAATAGTCAAACAATTAATACAATTAATACAATTTATTTACAATAATAAGAAAAATAATACAAGCCATTTCAACATTGTAATAGGTACACAAAAATATAAATAAAATTGGTGCCAACTTGGTCACACGTCTCGTATATTTATTTATGTCTGAATTTTCGACCAGATATTTTGCTCCAAAAATAAACATCAAGGGGGTTCCAGGAAGATAATATTGTCTAGTTGACAGATTAAACAAGTTATTTTTTCAAATTTCTTTGTATTTTTTTTTAATATTGGTTAAAAATTAGAAATATTGTATCGAAAACGGGGATTTTACGGTTTCTATTAAAATCCATTTTTTTTTATTCAAGTTCAAATTTATGAAAAAAATCGTTAAAAATAATTGTAATACTCGTACCTTATAAGAACAATTATCAATATAAATGTATCAAAAAATGTAGTTTTAAATCATTATTTGACTTGTGATGGGCCATTTTGAATTTTTCTGGATTCTGAAAAAAAAAACAAGGAGTGGATAAATTTAAAAGTTGTATAAAAAATATATTACATTTGTAGAAAAACCACAACCAATTCTTTACATTATAACCAAAATGGCCGGACAAAATTTGCTGGACATCGTTTTTTTTAAAAATATTATATTGGGACGCATCTCGGAATTTTCTGTATTTGATTTATCGACCAGACATATTGCTCCTATCAACAACATAAAGAAGAATGGTTGGTAGGAAATATTGTCTGGTATATGTGTTAAAGAGGTCATTTTTCGAATTTCTTTATAGATTTATTAATAATATGGGAAAATTAGAAAATACATAAGAAAAACGGGAATACTTTTCTACGGACCAATTGCCAATGCAGCGTCAACTTAGCTCCGGCATATTTCTGTAAAAAATCATTTAATGAAAACTTTGCAGTAAAAAAATTGTGACCCTTTCTTTAAGTTGTAACAAATATTATCAGTGCCAATTTGCTAGACGTAACTTTTTTAAAAAATGTTCACGGGGCGCATCTCTGATTTTTTTTTGTCCAAAAATTTTGCTTCTATGAAAAACATCGGGAAATATTTGATAGAAATTATTTTATATTTATAACGATACAGAATTAATTTTATGATTTTCTTGGGTTTTTTAATAAATTTGAAAACCGAAAAAATGTACGCAATAAAGGTGTTTGTTCATTTCGCATTCGCTTTTGTGTTTTAATTCAGTTATAGATAATCGAAAGTACATGCAAATTTCGCCGAATACTTATATTAGTCCTTTCTAGTCGTAGCAATCGATTCTGGTGACTTTTAGATGTATATAACTATCTGAATTTTATATTTTATTTTTTTATTTTTTACTTTTATGACTATAAAATTGTTTAAACCAATGGAAAATGGTCAACAATTTAACACCACGTTTATTGTAAGTTAAATAGCGTTTGTGATAAAAAAAAAAAAATTCGAGCTTTGTGTTGTAGGTAGATAGTTTTTATTATTAGCCTTTTAAGTATAAATCGTCATCATAGTCTTTTCAAATCACGGTTAACCGAACTTTGATCAAAAGCTTCCCAGATTCCTTCTTACATTAGTCGTACACTCAGCAGTAACTGTTTTAGATTCTGAGCGAAATGAGAAATGTATTGGTTTTATAATTATGTTTATTTATATTTTATATATCGTGTACAAATTTCTACCAGAAATCTTGCTCCAATTTTCAAGTGTAGCACTTTTTCTGAAAGGAAATGGTCCTGGGGTGGTGCTTTAAAAAGGTAATTTTAGATTTTTCAAACAATTTTAAAAATAATAAGAAAAAAAATGTATGAAAAATGGGAAAATTTACGAAAATAATGTTTTTATTATTTTAAATATTATTTTTATGTTGTAATTTAGTTAAAAATATTTATAGAAACTAGAAGTTTGTACAGACAGCTAATATTTGCCTTTTATAGGCATGGTAAATTTTTTAAATATTTTAGCTACTTTTGAGTTACTTATTAATAGACATTTTAATTTTGCAAGTTTTTTACAGTATGTATTCTGTAGATAAATTGTTAAACCAAACAGAAATATTTAAAAATTTAAAAGTCATGGTCAACAAGAAAAAGTCGAGTTTAATGTATCAAATATAATCAATGTTATTAAAAATACATTAAACTCCCTTCTATATCGTACTTTCCCAACTTCTCACCTACAACAGTGGCCCACCCATCATGCGAAATATGTCCGTCTTTTGTTTTTCACACATTGTACGTTTTATGCAAAATAGTTTCTTTGGAGTATTATAACATTTCCGATTGCATCATTAAGTATACGATCGTGCGGATTCAATCCAAATCGGGCGTTCAGACAAGCACGATCGATTTTATGAATATACGCGGCCCCGCGGTTTAATGAGATGCAATTTCCCCGATTTCGTATTGTACATTATAATATATACTTACGTTAGAAACTGTACGATATTAGAATACTATTGTTCCGCGCATGAAAACACGCGCACAATACTGCGGGATATCCATTAAAAATAAACGGCGTTCCATCGAATCGATCCGAATGCCACGAGATAAAATATTAAATACCGGTACGTTAAAACCGATTGGTAATTACCTATTTAAATTAATTCTAGAATTTATGAGTCAGCAATTATATACATAAAAAAAAACGGTACTTTTAACATTTCTTTTCCTCCCTTGCAAAAATCACCAGCCACGCGTAATACTATATTATTCACAATCGAGACTATTATGGATTTATGGTAATCATCTGCGGTCGTCTAGGGACGGGTGATCGTCGACGTTAATCGTTATCTAATTCATGTATATGTATGGTTCGTCTACGCCGGGTCGGTTTTGCTGATCGGCTTAACCGTACGACCGAAAAATTGCCGCGGAAAATGCTAATAAGCCGATCGGCAAACTTTGTCGACCGTGACCGAAGCCTCGGCTTCCCGACGGTTGTCGGCAAACATTGCCATAGCTGTTCAAAGATCGCCTTAATGTGCATTGCACATAATACAGGGTGTGGCATAATGGACTCTGATAGTGAGTTCTAAAAAAAAAACGTTTTATTTATCGGAAGTACGTAAGGTTACACACGATTTTTAATTTATAGTTTTAAAATTATACCATACAGATGTTGACCGTGACGGGCAATGCAGATATTATGAATCCGTTCCTAGAAGTTATCCATCACTTTTTGTAGCGTGGTCTCCTCGTTTTTCTGTATTGAACCCTTGTGAATTTTTCCTATCCTCAAACTTGAGTTTTTTAAACATCGTCCTCTAACCGTTTATATACTCAAGGACAGTCATGAAGAAATTTCCGAAATTTCTAAATATATACCACCAAACAGGGACCCGAACAATGGAAAACTTCCAGAAGCCGCACCATATTTGAATCGCTCGTCAACGTCAACATTTGGAAGATGTAATTTTATAAACTCAAAAAAAAAAAAAAACTATACTACATAATATGTATTTACAATAAATATAGTTGTTAATTTTTTTTCTATAGCCTGTACCATTATTTGTATAATATAATTGACTTCCGAAATATAAGATTCCGTTACGCTGCACTTTGTTTTATACTTAGGCGAAAACATTACAGAAGACAGAAATCTTCTTCTTCTACTCTCCGACGAATATAGAGGGGAATATACCTCCCGAAAAATCGGGATCGAAAATACCCAGTAACTGTAGTAATCATATTTGTGCAGCCACCCGTGTCCTCTTAAATACATCAACAAAATTCCGTCGTCTGTTCCAAGGTCCTTCATAAATTATCTCCCGCAAACACATCTAGCTATGACGTATTCAAAATGTTCTAACAATTTTAAAAAAATACCAGAAATTTCCGACTTAAAATCAACGTTAGAAAATATGCAGACAAAGACGATGGTACATGGTATGTAGACAAAGCATGAATTTACAATGTATAATACAAAGTAATATTGTGTTCCAAATACCGTGCGTTGGTACCACGCTACCTACGTCAAATGTGGCGTCTTGTCAAACGACCAGGAAGTCTGATTTTAAGATTTACCTCGTATATCCCCGGTATTCAACGGTGATATTTTACAGAATGTATTTGCGACAAGAGTTTAACGAGAATTTCAAACCTATTTGAAATTTCAACGTTAAATTGTCGAAATACTACTGGTCACACTCTACGCGGGTAGTTGTATAAATAGATGCGCGTATCGCACATAATATTATATTTTAACATAGCATATTTTAATATGTTCCTTCCCTCTCTATGGTGTGAAAACTAACAATATTTTAGATTCTTAGAATAACGGGGAATGTACTTACTGGTTATACTTTAGTGTATGTGTGTGTGTGTGTGTGTGTTTTTTTTGTACCTATAACAAGATTTCAAACGAAATACTTGTTCTCGTTAGAAAAAAAAAAAACATCAAGAAGATTCCCGCGGGTAACGATTTTTTTTTTTTATTTTATAAATCTTGTCTGAACGTTTGTAACGCTATCTTCTGAAATGTCCACTGTTTCATTATAGGGAAAACCAATATTCCGATATTTAATATAATGCAGTTACCGGGATATTATGACAACGACAGAGCCATAAACGTGGCGGACGAATAATAACAATAGGTGGATATAGTATTTGTAGCGTCGAATCACTATAAATTATAACTCAAACCTTGTTTTAAGGGCTTTTTAGAGCTGCGCGTCACAATGCCATTAGTAGGGTCAGGACGGAAACAATACAATAAAAATTGATATCTTGAAATTGTATACCGTTTTCGTTGTTATCGCCATTCGATACCGTTGTGTTATACGTTTCATATTTACGGCGATTATATAGATGTGAATTGAGCCGGCCAGTTACCAAGCAAAATTCGGTTGGGCCCCGATAAATTTTATATTTTTGGGCCGATGAAAATGCTTACATGCATATACGATGTGTCTCGGAATACCCGTATGGAAAACTGTTGCGCAAAATGATAAAATCATAATAAATTATAATGGAAACGGAATATAAAAGACGGTCATGCATTGCATACCTATCTAGTCAAGAGAAGTTGAGAAGGTAGGATATATAGAGGGGAATTTTATTTGTATCTGTATGCAACGATTAATCATTGCTAATGAATAACGATTCTGAGCGGAGTTCGGTTTTTCAGCGAATCATTGTAAAACCAATACATCGCTTCGCTCCAAATCTAAAATAAAACATATTATTATCAATAATAATTTATTATAAACTTCGCGAAACCATTTACAATAAACGTATTGAACGTTGTATCAATCAATTCGGTTGTTTATTCTATTTGTTTATAGTTTAATCAAAACTATTTGCGCACACGACAAAAGAAAGTGTCATCCAAATGTTTTAAGGAAATTAAAATACTCGATTGAGAGTTGAGCCGCTTCAAATTATAACTCGGGCCCGTTTTCACTCTCAATCCGGCGCTGTGTAGATTCTGATTATATTATTATCTAGTTATTAATTATTTCACTTATACCAATACATCTACCACGAACTTAGGGTCTGAAATACTCAGTAACTATACTCTTATTTTCGCGGCCCTCCGCCTCTTCCTATATCCATCACAATTTCATCACCATCGTAATAAATACAATTAGACGAGTTTGAGCAGTGTCTTTTATCTAAAACTTAGATACAATTGTATTTTGTATCACGTTACAGTTCTGGAAAATATCGAGTATCTTATAATGCAATACTGAAATAAATGTAGTTATATCGAGTATTTAGATTAATTTAATTTAATTTAATTTATAGATTGATTTAACACTTTAAAAATTTAAAGTGATTATACGAAAATGGGGAAATTGTTGGAGATCTCAAAAAATGTTTCAAATGATTATCCACCGTATTTTACAAAGTACTGTGTGCGTGAAAAATTGTATTTATATTTTAATTTTATTGTATCGAGTATCGAATATTTATAGACATTCAGGTTTCTTTTTTTAAATAAGAGCTTTGCGTTCTTTATGTAGAAATTAAAGTTTTACGCAATTTAACGTGCCACGATCGCACATTAAAAATATAAGTTCCTTTTGAAAAAAAAAAAAAATATCCGCTATATCCATACCCTATAATATAATAGCAGTATAAATTCACTTCGAAAAGTCGGACATTTTTTACGCCCATTCCAAGTACGATTTATGGTGTCCCCGCTGATGTATAATGATAATAAAGTGTACCTACACACACAAACACATATACGCGCGCGTGTGCGCGCACGCACATTCTTGGGAGTTCTTACGGGTCACGTATTAACGTTCCCTACTTGAAACAACCTACACGCACAAATCAAATTTTCTGATTGGCTAGATTCGTTATTCTTTATAAGCACTTTATCGCATAGAACTCAACATATACCTACCGAGGGTGTCGATTGATATTTTATTTGGTTCAAATCCGACGATCATTTGCGTTTGATTTCTTCGGGTTTTAGATTTACACTTAGGACACTACGATTTCCTTAGACCAGTATCAGGTTTTGATCAACACTCAACAGTGAAAAACAGTTAACAGAGTACCTAAACATAACATGTATATTATTGTTATCATCGAAATTATGTTATCGGCGTTATAAACTTGTGAAACGCAATCAAACAGCCATTCAGAGGATTACATTTGTTTCCGTGGTTCGTTTCGGATAGAAAACGTTTAAACGTGTCCGGGTTTCTCTGCAATATTCCCCGCAGGGGTGATGCCCGGCCGATGATTAGTGACGGTCGGGCCAAAACATAAAACAATGTCCCGACTACGGCCGGAGGAGGACGAGAGTGTAAGGACGTTGTTCGGGTAAAAAAAAAAAATAGTAATAATGAAACGGTTTTCATTTGTCGATTATTTTGTCGACCTCGTGCGGGCCCGGACGCGACGCGTGCGCACCGCAATTGAGATAAACCGCCTCGCCATGAACATTTACGCGATAGTGTAAAGGATCAGTTAAGGATCCTACACGATGCAGCGGTAGCGGTGGTGGTGGCGGTGTCAGCGGCGGTAGCGGTTTGTAAACTTTTGAATATTACAATAGTACTCGCATATACAATTTTAATTAAATAAAAAAAAAAAAAAGAGAGGAACTTATATTGTTGTTGGGCGTGTCACCGTTGTAGGTGGGAAGTTGGGTAGGTAGAGTATAATATACAGTTATTTTTAATTTTTATATCTGTACCCAACGATATATCATTGTTAACGAAAAATGATTCTCAGGTTAAATTTAAAAATATTAAATTCGATAGTAAATATGAATAATACAAAAAAAAAAAAACTAAACTATAAAGCTCCGTCGCTAAAGTTCACTATTCCCCGAATTCGCGTTACAGAAATATTTTTTGTGTAACAATAAACAACCGAATACTGTTCTAAAAACACTTGGTTTTGTTAAGCGGATTTGTAATGGGTTCAAGTTGATTAGTTCTTTAAACATTTATTATTACGCTTTTGTAAGATCAATGTTAGAGTATAATGCCATGGTATGGGATCTACATACTACATATGAAAAAAGTTATGTTAAGTGAGTGCAACGTACATTTTTGAGTTTTACTGCTTTTCTTCTAAAAATTGAACATGCTCCTCATGATTATCCCTCGGTATTAAATACACTGAACATGTATTCGTGAACAGGTGAACTGAACTCAACATAAGATTACTTCATAAATTAATTAGTGGCACTATTGATTCCGGTGAACTCCTATTCCAAATTAATATTAAGGCTCCGTCCTTCTACTCGCAGCATATTTATCCTTTTCATGTACCTATCTATCACCGACTACGTGCGCAACTAACCTATCAAAATAATGATCCGAATTGTCAACGAGGACCCACCATTTAGTTTCTGTTCACTGTCTTTTATTTATGTATATATCTACTACTATACCAATATTTGAACGTGCATTTGGAATGTATACATGTAAACCGTTAATTTCTTTGAACTGTATATCAAATTAGGCTCCAGCCCGTATTCTAATAATAAATATATAAATAATATATTATCTGAAAAAAAATCAATTGAAATTTGCGCATACATATAGTAAGAGTATAAATTGAAAGTTGAAATACCCAAAGACATATTATTGACACTAATTCTAACGTTATCCGTGTTATTTCGTATATAAAATTGGATCCACGCGGCTTCTTTCGGTATGGCTCTTCAATGCAAAAAGAAAAAAAAACACTCTCCTCTCGTAACAACACGTACGAATGAAAACCTAACCTAACTTTTATTGGAAAATTCGACAAAAATGTCGAAATGTTATGCTTGTCTATTTCAAGTGGAATTCAACGAATAACTAGTGAAACTGCGTGAGCGCATATTACAACCCAATGCGTTTTGTCGCAATTGCTAAACAAATAATAGATATAAATATTATATATTTAAGTTGAACCGTGAAATTCCTTGCGTATTTTAATTTTCAACATAAAACTGAAAAAGTCTATTGGAAAAGTAATTGAAATAATTTTGGTAAATTGTAAAAAAATACAGACATACTCGCACATAGGCGGGCTATTGTAGTAGGTGAGAGGTTAGAAAAGTAGTAGAGGGGAAATTTAATGTATACATGTACGTAACAATTAACCATTACTAATAAAAGAACGATTCTCAGTGGAATTCGGTTAATAATGTTGCTTTGTCAACAGTATACATATGCCATATTATGGTAAAATACTTACATGTGCATTAAACATATTCTTTAACAATATGTTATTAATATTTTTCCTTTTTTTCCGGTTTTTCCCATATATTGCGGAAACTCTTGGGAAAATCAAAAAATGATCTTCTTAAAGTTTCTCTCCAGTTAGGTTTTCTTTTAGAAAAAGTGCTACTATTGTAAATCGGAGTAAGAATTGTGGTAGAAAAGTTGTTCATGGACAAACATAAAAAAAAATAAACATCATTGTAAAATCTATAAATTCCTATACATTCCACTCAGGATCTAATATGATACAAATGGATAATAATTTTATTGTCAGTACGATGGTAGTCTGTGGAAGTTGATTGTTGAATAGAATAGGTAAAATCGGAAAATCGAAAACGATGAAATTTAATATCTACCGCAAAGTGCGGGGGAAACGAAAAGTTATATCGGGAGTATAATAAATGTTAATGATGTGAGTTTTGACAGAGACGCGCGTGGACAGTTGCGCAGACAACCGAGTAAGAGAGATAGAGTGATAGGGAGAAAGCGAGAGAGAGAGAGAGAGAGCGAGAGGTATTGAAAACGGCCGCAGACGAAAAGCCGAGGGAAATTCGAGGATCGGCCGTCCGCCGCAGATGTTTAAAACAATATTGTTCGACAGGAAACACCGGGAAAACATTGTGGATTTATACTAAAATAATACTATTATGTTACAATGATGATGGATCGTCGACGTCTGTATATATTATTTTAATAATAATAATAATAATAATACTATTGATTATTACGAGCGCGGATATTGGTTAGAAGCTCGGGGCAATGGGGCGGTGACGGTCCGTAAATCTCGGCGAGCGCGGTAAGACGATGAGCCGCAAGTACGCGTGTCTTGATAGTATTACCGGGAGGGGTTTCTAAACTAATCGTGTCGTGTCGAATACGATATGCTTTCTGATTAGCTCTATTCTATAAATCAATATGTTGTAAACAAAAATTAATTTGTTAAGCGCTATTGACTTATGTTATTGACTATGTGACCCAGTAAATTACTCTATCGATACATAGCGCTTACAAAACGTTATACTACCACTTCGATAAGGAGCTAACTGCTAATGACAATGATTATCATGAAAGAAAAAATATCCTATCCAACCACAGTGCGTAGTATATTAAAATAATTTGTTTATGCACCATTTTAATTTAGTTTTTATTTTAAATGACTTTGGATTTTCTCGTTCACGTCAAAAAAATACTGGAATATCCGCAGGGAGTCCAGAGTTATGTTTTCGTTGAAGGAAAGATCTACGAGTATTCATTAAGTCCGTTGATAATTCAGGATTTAAACGAAATACATCCATAAACTCTTTTCTAGATAGTTCATAAGGATTTCGTGTGTCACGTAAAATCCGTTTTTCCAACCACCTCTCAATTATCTGAAGTCTTTCCTCTAAGACCTCCAACTCATATCCCAAAAAGTGCAAAGCCATGTTTTGTTTTTAGTAATGTGATTTTAATGTGATGTAATGTAAACTCAACAATTTTGATAAAAAGACAAATAAACAACAATGAATTCATGAAGTCTTGACATAAATTAGAAATAATTGTTTAAAATCTCTTACATATTTTTAATTCATTTTTCTAACACGTATAAACTACAATGGTAACAAATGGTAAGTTTGTTCATTACCAATTAATCAGAGAACCACGCATTTTTACTTTTGCTGATAATATTCGATATCGATACCTTAATAAACCGGAATTATTCGATAAGGCCACTTACCGAGTTACAGAATAGAGCGGCTGATTGGCTCATCAGTATCATCGGTACAGATCGCTCCTACCAAGGTACTATCGTTACCCGGAGTAGAATATTATAACAGCATTCAGTGCTGTGAAATATAATGCTGGTCGCCATGGTAAAACTACAGTGTTGTATAAAGATAATGGTTTTAAATATCTAGAGAAATATAATAGATAATTCCTCGAATAATTATCTAAATGAAGATAAAAGATTCATAATAATTTAATTTTCATGATAAAGATAAATAATCAGAAACATTTGATTAATAGATAAAAAAAAAATAATAATTTCGTTCTTACATTAATCGCAAAACAAACCAGTGCTCAAAGTAGTAAAAGTGATTTACCAGATTTAGTAAATATTTTAGATTTCGGATAAAGATTGTGTGATCGATCAATCTACCAAACCGTATTAATATAAATTACCTTTTACTTTTCAAATATAATGTACGAGTATTATTATATGATTTTGATTAATCCGATAAATTTCGATTTAAAAATATATGTCTAGATGACTCAATTAATTATCTTAGATAAATAAATTTCATTAATTTAGATTAGATAAAAGATAAAATATATATATTATATAATTATGTAGATCAATTCATAGAGAAAAAAAAAACAACGCTACTAGTCATCTGCAACCTCCTCCTCTCAAGCTTATATTTTTTTTAAAAAATATATTCTGTAAAATGCAGAATTTCAGAAAACCATATACTATCGACTATTATATAGACACATTAGCGTGCGAAGGGGCAGGGAGATTAGGGGTCATATACTTCCGCCCTCTCTCCGTTGACTTTTTAAAACAACTATATGAGTATTTGTTTAGTAATCTTGAAATGCATATATTTCAGCCAAATTACAAGGAATAGTTTAAGTTATAGATTAAAAATCGGTTTTTCGGATCTGCCTAATAAATTCCTTTTGTCGAATTGGGTAAAGAAAATGATTATACGATTTAATTATGATAATTATTTGCTACATCTCCTCTCCCGTTAAAAATTCCTGGGTGCACCGTAATATAAACACCATATTAATGCTATCCCCACCCTCCTCAATCGAGTCCCTGCGACGGCCCTCAGGATCATCTTATCAGTTGTTTCGCACTAGAGTGTCACAAGAATGCATAATACTGTATATATTACATAAAATCCGAAAAATTAAATTCATATATTCAAATGCACACGACACGGTGATGAGTTATGAACTCCGCTTCTGGCACTTTTGGTAAAGCGCCACCGCGGCCTCAAGTCGAATTATGACTAATGTTCGCCACCGCGGGCAGACAGTGCCGAATCGGGAAAAGCCGTACCGGGTTCCGTCCGGCCCATTTCTCGTAGCCGGGACTGGGACCGGGAGTGACACGCGAGCCTTTTTTTTCTACACGTCGTACATCACGCGATCGCCTCGTATTAGCGTACCTATCGGGTTTTAACCCTGCGAAACCCCTGGATTACTTTACTATACCGAAGCCTCACGGGATTCCTCGATCCCCTGTTCCTTCCCCCCCCCCACCGGGCATTATCATTATACCCGGATGGGTATAACCTTAAGCTATCTATACGTGCGTTTTGTTAAACAACGTTACCTCATTAACTCCAAACTGTAGAAAAACTCCCCCTCACCCTCCCCTTCTGAATAGTGAGTGCGATATTATTATAATATATTAGGTATATACTATAAATTATCTATATGTTTTACGCGTGAAATTCGGCGCATTATTCTCGACGATTTGACCTTTGTTTTCCCAATAGTTTCACACGTCGCCGCCGTAACTTATACTATTATATATTATTATACCGACTATTTGAAGTACATGTTATTGAAACTTTATCCGGCGAAGCGTGTACACATGACTCGCCGAAACGAGAATAGTCGTCTAAATTCCTAAACAACAAACACTATACCGACTATGCTGCTGATATATAATATTAATATTATTGTTATTATTGTTCAGTCATCGGTGCAAGACAATATAGGAATATCCCCTACAGGAATATCGTGGAGGATATATTATAGCTATACACATAGCAGAATATTAGTAGAAAGGAGACGATAGGAGTGTCGTTCTCCAGTTATAAAAGGTGTCACCGAAAAGAAATTTTATGTTGTGATCCGACAGAGTTATAAGATGTGAAAACGATTAGCGTACGGTATGAAAACGAAATAAACCAAGACGATAAACGCCTTTATTCGTCTGCAATTATGTTTAAATTAAAATAAAATCTATGAAAAGATTCTCAACCTAACTTATCTAAATTAACTTAACAAAACAGGATCTACGTATTAGTCGAATTAAGATTTAAAATGTAACAATATTCGTTTAACATTAATTAATAATAATCTTCTTCTTACAAAAATATTACATTCATTTTGAATACATTAATAAAGTTAACATTTTACGATTAAAATATAGTAATGTATACTGTTTGTGGTGCTTTTTCGGTTATCATGAGTTATTTACCCAGTTATTTTTGAACCGCTTCCTAGAGTTTCTGCTATAGACAACTGACATAGATAATGATAATGACTGTACATAATACATCCATCTATCACGGCCCGCTTACCAATACAGATAACTTAATTTGATTATAATCGATAACAGTATAGAAGAAGTGATTGGATGTAAAAATACATTTTTTTTTAGTTATTTGTTTAATTCAATTTTAAAAACATAATGGAACCTCTTTGGTTGGGTAACAATAAAAACATTTTTTTTTTTATATTTTTCGTATTGAAGATAATTTGACAGAGATAATTTTTATTGGAAATATTTTGATGTAAAACCTTTTATATTATAGAAAATTTAAAAAAAAATGTATTTTTGTCCTATATTATATTTTATGATGATTTGTTTTAATGATGTAACATTTTTGAAACACCAATATGTTTTGAGGGTAGGGGTTATAAATTTTAAAATATGAAAAATATCTGAATATTGTGTGTTTTGATATTAGTTTTTTTTAATTATCTCCCAACCCCCCATAGCAAAGGTCTGGAGACCCCTGTATCAAATATAATTTTTATTGATAAAAATAATAATGTAATTACTTTATTTTTTTGTGGAACTCAGTAATAAAAAAAACAAAACAAGGGCTATAATAGGTTCTATATATATTTCTGGAAGAAAAGTTGCTCACAGGAAAAAAAAATCATACAAATATATAAGTAAAACCAATACATTCCTTCCTATGCTTAATATCTTAAAAAATGTTTGTACAATTCTTCAGGCCTTAGAAAATGTGATTTTTTTATGTTCTTACATAAGAAAAATTTGTTTTGTAACTTAGTTGTATGCAAAAAAAATGATGTAATACCATACCAACAAGGCAACAAAAATTGCATACTATGATTAAAATTTGGCAAAGCGAGTGATGTGGAAAATAAAAAAAACTGCAATTTCTTGTGTTTGGAATGTTGTACACTTTTTTTTTTTTATTAATTCATTTTTACGAAAAAATTTACATAGTTAATAGTGTAGGTACTAACAAAAATTGTATGCTATAAACAAAATTTGGCAATGCGAATACCGGGGAAACATTTCTCTGGCTCGCACATAGAAAAATCCCGTTTTCTCGTGTTTGAAATGTATAAAAATTTTCTTTTTTGTTGCCGAGTTGTGCAAAAATATATATAATACTGTCAAGGTTTGGTATTGCAGTTCAAAAGTGGCAGTGCTGGCGAAACGGAACTAATATAGGTTTCTTGTCTATTTTTTACACGAATTATAAACCCTGGTACCTTGCACTATTTTTGTATTACGAGTTTGTAGGTACTAGTTATTTACTCGAATTAAAAACCTCAGTAAATAACTATTGCTACAATAACGACTAATGATGTACCGAGACGGGAATATGTCCAGAGATTTCTGTTCGGCGAGGAGGAAGGCTGATAACAGCGTTTAATTTACAGGATTTTGCCTCGTATTTTTAACCGCCATAGGTTCCGACTATCGTTTTATTATATTCATGTGATAAGTAATTTAGTATTACTGCATACCAATGATAAATACTTTTTTAGTATTGTTTTTAATAAACACAGTACTAAAACCCCAAAACCCATATTATTTTTATTTAAAAATTGAAACCACTGTTTTCGAGACATTTTGGATGAGACGACAGAGCCCTATAAATGTGCTCCTGTACTAAAAGAATAAAACAAATATTTTTATATCGATCTGTTTACGTTTTTAAAAGAAACTATATTATTATGCACCTATATATTATGTAATATACTATAATTTAATATTATGCTGTTGTGAATTGTGTTTTTTTTATAAATAATAGGTATTTGCATTTTCGAAAATGAAGAACTTAATTTTATATTGTTATCTTTCAATTTTTAAAATCTGTTTAACGGAGATTAATTAAAAAATAATAATAACACATCAATATAATAACGAAAACGGTAAATTTAGGTATATCGCACGGAGCTAATGTTTTTCGTTTTTGTTAAATTCTTTGATACGTCAATCAAGATAGTGTACAGTGTACATGGTATATAATACGCCTGTATAGTAAAAGAGGGGTGAATAATTTCACTACCCTTATTATTTACGTTTAGGTTGGGTTTTTTTGTCCGTCCGTTCGCCGGCCCGCCGCCTGTAAGAGAGCTGTCGTTTCCAAAAACAAACGCGTCAAATAAGCTTTTAATTAAATTATAAAAGGAATAAGGTTAATCAATGTTTTTTTGTTTTTTATTTCTGCGGGGGAGTGGGTTTTTATTTTACCGTTTACTGTTCACGCAGTTTAAAATGGTAAATACACACGGATTTACCGAACCTCCGTATTATATGGAAAAAATCGTAAAAATATATTTGCCCCTCGGTTGTAGGTTATTACGCGCGTCTATTATATTTTAACGGTCGACACCCATTATTTTATTCGTGCCTAATATTCACTATCGTATCTATACACTATAACGTTTTCTACCGTAATGAAACACGCCCAAATAGTGACCTGGCATTATGCTCGTAATAAGTTGCAATATTTATCCATTTATATATTTATAGACTTTACGTTTTAGAATAATTATTCCATCCGAAACTACACATATATTATAAAAATGTTCTGTCAAACTATTTGTACAGCAGCCTAATACATATTTTTTTTTTTTTTGCTAATACTGAGAGTACGAGTTCGATGGTAAATTTTGAATATTAAAATTGCATTTTTAAATGTAAAAATAAAAACACCCGTGAGCAGCATGAGCTCTTCCGTCACCATATGGTGTCAAATTTTCCTCTACAATGACGCTATTTTAGTTTTTTAATAATTAAGGATACCATTTTTTCAGGCCAATTTTTTTTCATAATATTAAATACGTGCAGTCGCGTACCAACGGTGAAAGAGTGGGGATAGGGATTTAACCACTCTCCTTCACCATAAAGAAAAAAATATCTATACCTTTTTATTAAAATAATTACAATAACCTCCCCTCCCCATAAAATAATTTTGCTTACGCCACTGATTACATTATCGTACGTGTGTATGGGGTTGAAGGGTTATATAGGTATTTAATATTATAATGAATTCAAATTAATAATTAATAACTTTTCGCCTTTTGGTATGGGTAATATACATATAAATATTCATTAGGTACCGAATTTAACCAATGCAAATAAAATGCATATGATATATTTTATTTATTAACATACAATAATACATTAGATATATACGGTATACATTTAATTTTTAATTAATTATACTATTCTAATTTATATCTTCTATATTTGAATGATACCAAAGAATAATATAATAGTATTAACACAATTTAAATATAACTATATAACTATCAGTGGCGTAAATTTACCTTTGTAAATGTATCACTTGTATTAACACATTTTTAGTGTGGTGGTGTAAACTTATCTTTTTGCACCACCAGAAAATTACCCAAGTATCTACATATAATTTCCTCTTTCAAAAGTAAAAATTTGTTTTGTAGACGGGTAAAAAAATTGGAATTTGTATTATAATATAATTATATGATGATACAGTTACCATAGGTAAGAATGTGGCATATAATATAAAGTACGTCAAACTAAATGGTATTGTAAATTAGATCCACTGGCATTCTACGTCCATTATAGGTTATGCTCCCATATTAAATATAATATTTAATAACTATAAATGTTTTTAGTTATTAAATAGTTTAATACTAATTTTTTTATTTTGTATACAAAATAACAAAATGTTAGAGGTTAAAATTAATTATTCAATTAGGTATTTAAGTTTTAGTAGGTTGGCAAATTAAATATTTCACTACGCTCACCCCCAGAAATCGAAACCAATTTACGCCACTTAAAACTATTTCATTAATATTTAAAAATATATTTAGTATAATAATTATTAATTACCTTTTTTTAGAAAACATTTTATCTATACTGTAGCATTTGGATGATATTTTAATAATTTTTTTTCTCGTATAAATGAACAGCTCCATCATCTTTTCTAAACAACCTATAATTTCTTGTGAAAGAATAACATCCAAAATCATTAAATAAGCAACCTTATTATTATAATTATTTCAGCAATAACGCAATACAATCGGTAACATAAAATAAAATATCGCAATAATATTACAGCCAAACGCTGTTCTATTATTTACTACCTACTCCAATTGACTGCCAAAACGCGACAAGACTGTGATAAAATACGAATATTATCAAAACGTTAAGAACCTACTAAATTATTAACGTTTTATACATACCTATGTATTGTTAATGAGGCGTGAAATATATCCAGATTTCGGATTTTAGACAACGCAATTCGAAAATAACTGTGATAAATTTTAGACTTCGAAATACGAGATTTTCAATTTCGGATTTCAAAATTTACAACCATGATTAGTTTTTGAAATTGTCTGTAAATGCTTTAAAGAATCCAAAATACCAATTTTAAATACATTTCCGTATATCGAAAATTCAGATTATCTAACAACGGCAAATTCGGATTTCCCCCCCTCCCATTATAGTAGATACGCGTATACGAAGAATTGGTAAATATTCCTTGTATTCCGTTTGAAAATACGACATAATGAATGTATACTGCAGGGTATCCTACAGTATTATCCGAAGGTTAAAAATATGCTAATAACTGTCAACATTAATTTCTTTTTGAATCGGGTTTTAAATTATTGATCGAATATGTAAGTATGAATAATATATTTACAAATTGGCTATTTTGAAAATTTTAAAAAGTGAAAAAATAATGTTATTTTTTCAGTAATTAAGGAATATTATTTCTTCTGCTATTGTCAGTAACATTTTTTCTGAGTTTATTCACACTTCTTTCCCTTCTTTTACTTTAATTTTCACCAACGGTTCCATATCCCTTTTTTCGGCTGGTTTTTTTTTTTTTTTATATCCCTGACCTACACATCTCTCTATTCAGCAACCTTCTTCCATCTCCTTCTTCTTACACTACCCAATGTTTTGTATTTTTTCATTAATTGTTGTAACTTATTGATTTTACAAAATTTAAAAAAAAACCTGATTGAAAAAATAAAAATTAAAAATTAATATTTACAGAGTTATTAGCATTTGGATAACCATGGGGTATATACATGGATATACCATGTATACATTTAATTATTCCTACACGAGTTATTATGTAGGCTATTACGTTTGGTCATTATTTTAGAAAATACGGAGACCCAGTACACATTCAAACGATGAACCGAAAACGAGTTCAAAAGGATTTGAAAAAAAAAATTAGATCTCCAACTGTATATTACAGATCTACAAATAAATGTTGTGTATAAATATTGGCGCCGTACACTGCTGTTTACCTGCTGAAATTATATAAGGCGTTCACACAAAATTTAAAATTATATAAAATGAACACTGTATAATATAATTCTAAATAATTGTCAATTTACTATAGTTTAAATGTTCAATATCATAGATAAATGTGTATTTAATTAATTAAAATATTGTATTACGAGTACATTGGATATTTAAAATTATATCAAATTAATATGATATAATATAATCGGATAAAATTGACAAATTATAGTTTTTTTTCAAATTTCTGAACAAATAAAAACTGATAGGTATAATAGTTGTACAATTTTATTTTACGTAATTTTATACGTATCATAATTACATAACATAAACTATACATCGATATGGGTTTCGGATAAGCAATAACCATATTATTATTATCGGTCAAATGTTCACTGTTAGTAGTGTTTTGACTTTTGTTGAGATACGTTCGGATTTTCAAATATATAAGGAAACGGTAGAGTATAATAATTAGACAATTTTTCACGATTATATTATATAATATTAACTTTACATAATTTTAAATTTTGAGCGATTGATCCGCCCAATATAATTTCAGCAGGTAAATATTTCGATAACGGGCGCAAAACGCACGAAAAAGATAATGAACGCAAAACGCACGGTCGCAATGTACTCGCCACCATAAATATTATAATCGGATAACCTAATAATCGGACTGTTAGTATTGCGGTGGTCAAACTTTTTAACTTAATCGAATAGTTTTTTTTTCGCAGACTAATCGGCAATGCTACCGAATTAATAACATTCAATTTTTTTTTTTCCCTCCCCGTGTATTGATAATGATAAATTTGTACATATCGATATATTTAGATTCGGCGTAAATGCGTAACAAAATATTTCAACCAATATTTTATAACGATTATGTAAACACCATTTTATTATGTACATATATTAACACGATGATGAACAATACTGCCACTAAAAACTTTTCACTTTATTTAAAAAGGTTATCGTCAGATCAATTTGTATATTTCGGTAATTAAAAGTGTGTACGGCGTAAAATAATTTAATAAATTGCATTTTAGGATAGAAAGATACCTTCCTTTTTTTTTTTTTACTTTTCACAGTATTTATACAACGAATACAATTGTGTAATTAATTTATTTTTAGGTATAACAAGTTTTAAAATGATTAAATAATATTATTATATTCAGAATATGGTGAATATGTTCTGGGTACCCGGCTAACGAGTAATGACCACGGGTACACGGGCATGTACGAGTCAATAATCCTTGGCCCGAACGGGCCTGGTAATTTATTGGTGTAGAAAAGCTCTGTCCAGCCAGGTCTAGAATTTTTTTAAATTATTTTCCAATGAATTTACCACGTCATCGTCAGTCGTATATCCTCGTAACACTAATGGCATTTGGTTAAAAATAAAAATATAAGAAATGTTCAGCGCGCATTTGTAAAAATAAATTCCGACCCGTACTAAATTAAAATTTAAAAGCCCGGCCCGGATTTAAATTTAAATAGCCCGGCCCGGCCCAAAGCCCCAAATCCCAGGCCCGGCTTTTGCAGGTCTTTACAGCCGATACCATATTCTGTACCCGAGTAGTACTTGGTGTCCGGCGTGATAATATATTGTTTCACCGGACTATACCTGGTGCCCGGCTCACTATAATTTAACGGAATAAAAATAACATGTGAAAATATATCATTTTCATTTATCTAGAGAATATTAAAACAATAGCATGATAACAATGTTGTTTATTGAGCAAAATGTATTCGATTTAGTTGTATTGATTGATTGCCTGCCCATAATAACCGCAATATCACACAATTACACAATACGTCCGGGATATAGTCTTCAATTCATATAATTACTTGACTGCTAGTCTGCACGCCAGACAAATAGGGTTCGAAGATATTATCACTCGGCCAATACTCGATACCCGGTATGTATGTAAATTAGTATTCAGCCAATACTCGGTACCCGATCTGTTAATAAATAATCTACCCGGAGCATTCCTAATTCAGAATGTAACATTATGTGACAATGTTCAAGTAAAAAAAATTGGACGGTGTTTTTGTGATAAAGGGTTCATGTCCAAATTCGCAATAGTTCGGGAACAGCAGCGTGGTTGGGAATTTTGTTCTGGGGCAGGAATATATAATTTTTAGTGAAACACGTTATTTATTATTATTAAACAAATATGCTTCGAAGTTGGTTTTAATAACGTTTTCTAAAAATTGATCATTTTTTACATAGAAACTTAAACTAAAATTGTACAAGAAAAAAATTAAACATTTATCTTCTACGTAAGCTAACCAATTGGATTCCAAAAGTCATTTGTACGGAAACGCAATTTATGCTTTTCATTTTTTTTTTTTTTTTTTTTTTAAATATTGTGAAAAAATATGATTTAAACGCTGTGCCCACAAAATTGCGGGCACCGCAATAATAACTAAATGATGTTGTATTAAAATAAATTTAAAAACAAGCCTATACTAAATGTTTATAAGCATTACACAAATTATTTTTATCAGCAAAGCAATCAATATTATTATAGAAATTGAGTGCGTTTACTATGTTTAAGCTGTCATTCTTAAAAATGTCTATATTTACAGTACAATTTAAATAAATAGGTTATTTCATGTGCATACTGCATTTCGTGACACTAATTCATTGTATAATTCTTTTATTTTTTTTGTTTTTCGTGAAATAAACATCTATTGTATATTCTATATTATTTTCAATTTTAAAACAATCGACAGAACAACCGAATAAAACGTAATTATATATTAGATACATTAACCAAACTATTTCAAATCAGAAGATAATAACCTCCGCGGCCGCTCAGAAAACGAATAATACAGACATGAGACTTAATGTATTGCCGTGCACTTATATATACAACGTTATGTTCTGTTGTCATTCGAATTATTGTATACTGATTAAAATCGCGTAGGCCAAAACAAGGAATTTATCATCCATCTCACTCACAGGCGCATAATCAAGCTCTGTTTGGAAGAGACAGAAAACTAAATTCGATAGTGTTTATGATAATGGGCTCAAGCTTATTTTTCGTTATTTTGTGTTTACGTTGATAATCAACGGTAATATCATATAATTTTAAAGTTTGAACTTGAATCTTTAATCACGTGCTAATGTTTTTTGGCGAGACTTAAATATAAACACACATGAAAAATAAAATGAAAATTAATATCCATGATGTGTTTGTGATGACCATACAACCAATTAAATAATTGCTTACAAAATTGGAATCGTTTAAACTCGAAATGACGAAAAATGTACTCGCCAGCACTGTTTAATTAACGCCTCATTTCTGACCGTCAAACTATAAAAATTCCAAAAGTAAAAAAAAAAAAAGAAAGAAGAAAAACGTACAAATTACCACCATATTGTATGCGGAGCATTCCTGGGGTTGCGAACTATGCGAATGTTTACCGCCAACTCTCAATATTTGAAAATTGTTCGTGAGATATCCTGTGCAGCAGGTGTAACGTAATAATGTACCGTTTAGAAAAACGCGTATGCGCGCATACTTTATTTTAAAAACGATCGTAAATCCGTTAAAAATCTCTAACTAATCGTTTTTAATATAATATAATGGTATCCGGTTTATATACCTACTTTTATATAGTTTATCGACTTAATGGTAATTAAAGAAAAAAAAAAAACTGTGGCTTATAAACTACTCCGGAGTGATGACGTCTGGTTTAATACTGTTTACTTACCGGCGGCGGTTTTACCTTTAAGTGCAGCTAACCCAACCCCCGGCAAAATTTCTGCGATTCAAAAAATTAAAAATAATGAAAAAAGTTTCTTTAATACTGCATTGATATTATATTTAACCTCAGCGTCATTAATTTATCGTAATCCTATATTATGTTGTAAGTAATGTGCTTACCTGCGCTGTCTGAAGTTCGTAATTTGTTTACATGTAAACAAATATTTTATTTTATTTACTTGCAATACTCGTTTTAACCAGAAGAATAATATATGTATCATGTTCTTTTCGTTAACGAGATAAAACAACTTTACAAAAAAATAATAATGATGGGTATGCCACTTATTATAATAGGAGGGAAGTTGAAAGGGAGGATATGTAAAGTGATTTACAATTTCTATCTATATGCAATAACAAACCATCGCTAACTAAAAACGATTACGATCAGAGTATTATTTGTTGTATTAATTTAATTATTTTATAACCCAGAAATCAACAAAAATATTGTAAAAATGTCCAGTTTTTCCCATTTAATGAGAAAACTATCAAGAAAATTACCTACACAGTGTACCGACCAGATTAAAAATGCCACAAGAAAGTACCTATAAAGTTTTTAGTTGGTTTGATCGGAGCAAGATTCTTGGTAGAAAAATTGTTTACACACGAAAAAAAAATCCACCATAGTAAAACCACAAATACATTCATCGCTTCGCCCAAATACTAAAATTACAAATAAAACACAATTTGTTCAATCCGCTCTTTCGTAATGATATTATGTTATAATACACTGTAATACCGTAATAGCGTTAGAGTATAAAACATTTTACGAAGATTATATAAAATATTAGTCCACACGAGAGAATTTAAACCGCGGGACTCGTCGTAAACGTTTATCGAATTAAAAAATAATGCTGGTAGGTATGGAATAATTAATTAGCATAAAATATGTGTTGTACCCTTTGTGACAAAAACGCTTTAGAAAACACACACACGGAATATGCAAAACGTACAGCTAAACTCTCGAGTATTTATACACACATATTCAAAATGTATACGTCCATCGTTATTAATATGTATGTACGATTAACGGATTAAATAATATTTATATAGCTAACTTAATTCGAACAATTCGTTTTGAAAAAAAAACAAAACACAAATATTCGAGTTACATTCGAAAACACTTCATTATATATTTAAATATACGTTATTCTTTTTTTTTTTTTAATATTAATTTCAAAACGAATCGTTTTGCATTTTACGACGCATACCCATATGATACAATACGCGAATAATATTATTACGGTAGGTAATAATAACGTAAGCGCGCCGTTCCCGTCCGTTTCGTTGTGTCTGTTGGGCACCTGCGTATAATATATCGTATTTTTATTAAATTTTTTTTTTATTTTCCCGTAATTATACCTGGGCATATTATAATATAGAAACGACACTCGTCGCCGTTCATCAGTAAACATAATATTTTATAACATTTTCGTACTTATGACGTGTGTACACACCGTTTATGTACCTAGTATATCATGTAACAACAATAATAATATTATTATTATGCTCGTATAAATACATATGTGTGTGCACAGTAACATCGCGACCGGTTGATAGCGTTGGTTTTTTACGGCGGAAAAGGAAAAACTCCTCGAGTTGAAGTAAATAAATAGAACGCGCGCGCGATACAATATAAAAGAATATAAAATAGGGCGGAAAAAAAATAACGTATAACCACTCGGACTCAAACATCCGTTTTTTTTTTTTTTTCTTTTTATCAATGTTTATTATTGTAATAAAATGCCACAGTATACGGTTGTTATATTTTATTATACGCAGCTATTCGGTGGTGGCGTGTACGACATATGTAAATATTATAGTATGTTTTATATATGTGTATATATTAGCCAAGTTGGACTATTTAACCGAATTTTTTTAACCAGTCCAATTAATCCTACGAAGACGAATAATAATGTGACTTACAATAAGTTGAGCTATGCATTTTTAGGAAATATAATAGCTTTAAGGTGAAGTTAAAAGTTAATTTTTTCCGAAAATAGAGTATTTTTTACTGCTTCTTTAAACAGTTCCCTTTAGGCCAAGATAGCTCCAACTTGGGAATTAGAGTTTTTTTATTGGCAAATTAGTAGTGTTACATTTTTGGTTGAATTTCAATGCTACACTATGTTGTTGGGGGAAAAGGGTGTCTTTTAGCCTTGTACACCGCTAACAGATCTCAAATGAAGGGTTATGCTATTTTGTGTATACGAGGGTGTTTCATATGGTGATTTCAATTTTAAACCCCCTCCTCAACCATTTTTATGTTCAGATTTCATGTTTTAATAGGAAATATCAGGTTTTAATTACCCTTACATACTTATGGAAGTAAAAACTTGATTAAAATATGTCTTTATAAATATAATTATTTTTTGGGGTATGCCTTTAGAAAGTTTGAACTTTTGACCTCCGACACCACAGTCTGTATTTTATCGAAAAATATCGACTACATACTTTACCTATTTTTTGATAAAATGTTTTTGCTCAATTCCTTATCATTGTTTAAAAAAAAGAAAAACATGGAATATTGTAAAAAATCAGCTGGTGGAAAATTCGACTTTAATGACGGAGCTCTACTACTCATGTGTTTTTTTTAATTACCTACTATATAATATGCACTCATAAACGTATTATGTATATTATATACTCGTATAATAGAAAATTCATGATTAACCATTCAAGACTCGTGGCAAAAAATAAATACAAAATATTTATGTACCTGAAAGTTCTTTTACATGAATATTATTCTAAATAAACGACTTTTTAGAAATAACTTGAATTAAAATTATTCATTAAAATAAATAACTAAATTATTGATTAATTAGTTAATTTAAAATGTAACAAAACGTGTAGATAACTTAATTAATTTTTAACTTTTTTTAAACTAGTTACTAGTTAGGTAGTAACCTATCGAGTTTCATTTTGTTTGATATTCCCATATTATTTATACGGCTATTTAATATTACAATTTGTACGAACGAAAGTGTATACTTATAATTTTATGGCCCATAATGTTTCTTTTACAATATACCTTTCGTGTTTGATCGATATCAATTAAGTTTACTTATAAAAATAACACGCTTCCGCGCTTTAATTAAACCGAAAGTCGTATAACGGTAAGCGAAACTTTAAAGCGCATTTACACTATAAAGATAAAGTTATATAGGGACAGTAAAAACTATGCCTATAACGAAACTCTGCGTAACCGACGAAGAACATTTCATTTAAATTATATACTAAGGTTGTACTAATATAGGCCATGCTATGGAATTAAATTTTGAAACCAATTGAAATTATTTTATAACGATTGTCTTAATGCCAGTTGGTAGGTAACAACAATTTTCCCGGTCCAAAAGTGTAATTGTCGGGATACAAGGGTATGTAAATTCATCCCATGATTTTTTTAAACACATCTAAAATGTGTAGATGTAATTGTTAATTTCATATAATTTATAATCTAAAACGATCAATTTTGTAATTTTACAAAAAAATGTTGTTACTTATAAATTTACAAAATTTACTTATAATTTTAATAGTATTAAAAGACATAAACACCATTATTAATAATATTATGTTTATATTATAATAGTACTGACTCCAGAGTAATGATAGTTTTGCTAAATTAAATCATAAACGATTTTCATAAATGTAAGTATTATAAAATATATACTTGCATATTTATGTATTTTATAATACTGTTGTGTTTTGTTTTATTGTTTAACTTTCGAAACGTAGGTAATCTACTTGTAATTAAATTATGTTTATTTAAAATACCTAGGTATAGGTATTGTTGAGTTGTTACCACCTGATTTTGTTTTAACTTTTATTATATTTATTATATTATACGTAATATAATATTGTTTGTTCTAATAATAAACTTATTGAGTAGGTAATTTTTGTGCATTTATAAAATAAATAACCAATATTGAAATTAATTTGAAGTACGTTTTTGAATTGTATTATACATTTGAATATATGATGATTGAAAAATAGAGCTAAGTATGGAAATTATAGATTTCGTGCTTAATATGGTACGCGAGCGGATATCAAGTTGATATTAATTTCCAGTATAAATTTTAAATCCCATGAAAAAATATGAAATAATGTACCCTGTCCCGGCCAATTATTATCGGTACTTACACGAATTTATCACAAAGATTTAATATCTGGGCGGTAACTGCAATTAATCATTATAACACGTATAATGTATGTAGAGTAGTGGAATCGCGGTAGAGAAAGTTAACAACTATTAAAATTATTTTATATCTCTGTAATATTTTCTATTTCTTGTGTAATTTAAATAAATAGAACGCGGTAGTTTAAAACCACCATATTTTAAATGTAGATTTTCTTTCTTTTTTTAGATACAAGTCGTAGGCGATAAATATGTCGGTTTTACTGTGATGTGTCCGATTTTTTTTCTCTCTCTGTTAACAACCTTTCTGTTAGAAATCTTGCTCTAATCAAAAAATTACAAGAAATCTTTTTTTTATTTTTTGTATTTTGTTATAATTGGTGCATTTAGGACGTCATTTTTTGATTTTCGAAGCGTTTATCATAATAATTGAGAAAAATCGAGAAAAAAATGTATAGGAAAACTGGACAAATATTTACGACAGTAAAGAGTTTCATTATTCTCGATTTTATTAAACATTTTTTGAGTAGTTTTTTTTTATTAAAATTACGACAGTTCAAAACACGTGTAACCCAAATTCACTTAAAATCATTTTTTGTTAGTCTTGGTTTATCGTCACGTACAAGTATAAATTAAATAAATGTATCCTATCTTCCCAAATTCCCACACACTGTTGTTGCACACCCATTACTAGAATCAACAATTAATGGGAATCATAAAAATTTCACTCTGTATAGTTATAATGCAATATTTTCATATGAGTTTAAATGAAACGATTACTACTTTGAAATCCAATATTTATAGTAAATACCTATGGTTTATTAGCTAGTAGCTAAACCGATTTAAAGTTTTAAAGAGCCGACGGATTCGGGAAAGTATTACTTTTTCGTTTCACTGCACAATTATAACGAATCCTCGAGCAAAATATGTTTTGTGTAAACTGCAGTATCGTAATCCAATTTCACTTTATTTTTATTTTCCATTGGTTATTTTTTAGTATACTTTATCATTACAAAAAATAGCGTGTAAGAATTTTTGGTACTTTTTTCCTCCCCTCTCCCCCTATAAAACCTATTTCTGATTATCATATGGCGTATAGTGGATATTGGTATATTTGATGAAAAATTAAAATAATCCATCCTGTCTCGTAAAAACTTTTGATTTTAATCGAAAATAAATTATTGATGAATAAAAATATTTTATTCATGTGATTTTATAATATATATATATTTACATTAATTATAGTACTGAAATAGTGTATTCGATTTACTATAATGTGTGTTTCTATTCCGTCTGTAATCAACTTTCGACAACCGATCTTTATCCAACCATTAACATCGCGAAAGAGGTTTCTCGAGGGTAACGAATTTTTTCCCGTTAAGTAGGGAATCGGGGTGATATTTTTGATTTTCCTATTGCTAGTTTAAATAATCAAACCACCGAAAAAAACTGTAATGGTTTGTCGTCGCCAAGTCCGAATACAGGGGATGTCAGAGGTTCAACCTCCCTCCCCCCGGAATTTTTAAAATAGGTATTTATTTATAATATAACAAAGACTGACTTTTAACTTTATTTTAACCCACCCCTTCTCGAAAATTGATCCTGAATACGAGCTTGGTCATTGCATACAGTGCAGTATGTAAAAAAAACCGATTCTATGAATATCCTATTTTCCCGACATTCAACCAACAGCAGTGGCCTATCCGTGATAGCAGTATTCGCCATTCTGCACTATACTTGACGCACGCTAGAATATCTGTTGTAATAGTGACAATAATATTCTTGCAGGCTTCTATAATTAAACTTTTCCAAGAAAGTATTTTATGGCAACAATCGCTTGGGGGGGGGGATATTGCGTAAAAATAATTCGAGGTCTTGAAATTGAAAATACGAAATTATAATTAGGTACTGTTGGTACAATATACTTCTTCCGCCCGTATTTATTCTATATTTTCTTTCTTTTATTATTATTATTTTTGGCGGAGTGAAATATTTCGTAAACCTACTGAAGTTCAATTGAGCCAGGGTCTATTTTTTTTAATGTAATCCGACGCATTGTGTGTAATACGAAATAATGAAACGTCTAATAAGTGATGATTAAAGATTAACTCATAACAATATTATCAGCTAAAAAATCTGAAAACGAGTATAAAATTTGTAGAAAAATCATGAACCTTTCGTAAAATTGTAGCAAAAAGTGCCGGCTCACTAGATATTACTCTTTAAAAAATATCTTACCGGGACGCAACTCGGAATTTTCGTGCCCGACTTTTCGATCAGATATCTTGATCCTATCAACAACAATAAGGGTAGAGAATTCTGGTAGAAAACGTTGTCTGGCATACGCGTTAAAGAGGTAATTTTTCGAATTTCTTTGTACTTTTTTCAACAATGAGAGTAACCCGAAAATTCCGAAAAACAAGAATTGTACAGTTTCGGTTAAAATATAGATTTTTTTTCTAGTTAAAATTTATAGCATAATAATTCGTTTAAAATTGTTGCAATGCATAATGTAACTATAGTGGATAATATTTTCAATAATATAAATTTTAAATTTATTAAAAAAAAAATGTTTAATCGTATTCCTCTCAGAATCGTCGGTTGAATTTATTTGGCCGGTATATTTACGGAACGATGGTTTTTTTTTATTTTTTTTTTTTTAAATCGATTTGGTTTTATTGTAATTCAGCGAAAAATATTCCTAGATAAATTACAATTTCCATCGGATATATATTATATATTAGCACTTTGTAGAATTGGTACGGTTGAAAAAATGCGCGGACGTTTTACAATGCTTGCATAAAATTACAATATTATTAATTAGTTTCTGTTGGTGCAATACTATTTAAATATTTCGCCGTAATTTATTATTACTTACTTAATTGATGGAACGGAATATAGGCACGTCATCTCGTATACAACCTTCTGAGTTCGACCGAACAATATTATAAATAGGTACTATAATATACATACAATAATAATAATAATAATGAACGAACAAACAAAACAATTTATATTTTAATTTGAAATATTATATTGTACGTACATATTGTTGTTGTTGTAATACCTATATTGAAGTACTTCGTATAACAGTACTTGTTTAAATAATTTAATGAGGGTTTTACAGAAACGTATTTTTATGTATGCGTAATATATTATAAATTAATAAGTATGAAATAAAAAAAAAAAATATATTATGTTATGTATTTTTTTTATTTTTTTTTTTTAACGTTCCACATTATTTTATTTATTCACAGGTACGGTGATATGGTTCCGGAAACAATAGCCGGGAAAATTGTCGGAGGTGTGTGTTCGCTTAGCGGAGTGCTCGTTATCGCACTGCCCGTACCAGTAATTGTGTCCAACTTCAGTCGAATTTACCATCAAAACCAGCGCGCGGACAAGAGAAAAGCTCAAAGAGTGAGTGTTCCACATGCATACGTAATAATGTAATGTACAGATGTACATTTATTATTTTATTAATTAAAAACGCCAACGCTAAATTATTATACACTCCGATATAAAATAAAATCAATATTTTTCCACGACCTTGTAATAATTAGATTTTAGGTGTATAATATGTAACTACGCTTGTTACGCGTTTTTTTTTTATTTTTATTGCATTGTAATGTTATTCAAACGTTTCTTTTTTTTTGAAAGTTCACGGAAAATTAAGTTTATTAAAACATTTTTTTTTCGTTTTTAACTTTTGATTTGATTATCCACATTGTTCAATAGAACCTTTGGTTTCGAGTTGTAACGACAAGTTTCAATATAAAGATCCCGGTTATATATTTTTACATTAATAATCTAAGAATGTTCAATAATAGTTTTTCTTTAAAACACAATATCATTATTATCCGAATTTTTTTTTTTTCATTATTATACATATAATATTACATATATATGGACTAGCAAAAATTCTTTCCTCGATATTTAATATTGCCAAATACCAATATTTACGTAGAACTTGATCAAATCTGCAAAAAAAAAAAAAAAAAACCCGAACAATATTTCACTGATAAATATCTACTATATATTTTTTTCTTAAAATACATAATATTGTAATGATAAGATGATATTTTAGATGATCATGACGATGACACGTCAATTATTTTTGACGATTTATAGCAAGCATTTGATTTGTACTTACATGATAATATTATACTACGGTCGGTTGAACATTTTTGAGTTTATAATATTAAAAAATTTATCGACATTTTTACACTATATGCTTCGGATATCTCATATCCCGTGTTATCCCCATAATTCACAATTATCAATTTATCAATTTCTTATTCATATAATGTATAATAATCATTAAATTCTACTTATTACTGTAACTTTTTATACACAAAATAATCGACTAATACAAACCTTACGTAGTAGTTAAGTTTATAATCACCATTTTAAAAATCATCGAATATAATATAATATTGATAAATCGCCAGGCAAATGTGTTGTTCGAGGATAACGTGACACGTGATTTACTTCAGATTAAAAAATATGCTTGCGCCTATTTACTTGCCTATAGTTAGTAAACTACGGATTAAATCCGTATTGGTTTTGTCATATATTAATAATCTACATACGAACGATGTGAATAATTCGTGTTTTTACAGAAAGCTAGGCTCGCCAGAATAAGGATAGCAAAGGCCTCCTCGGGTGCCGCGTTTGTGAGCAAGAAAAAAGCGGCCGAAGCCAGGATGGCCGCTCAAGAATCCGGTGTAGAGCTTGATGAAAACTACAAAGAAGAAGATATTTTCGAGCTGCAACATCATCATTTACTTCGGTGTTTGGAAAAAACTACTGTAAGTAATTTGAATGTTGAGTGTTTACATGTTTTTTTATCCTATATTCGTATACCTATAATATACTCGTCTTCTCCGTATATTCGTGTACTTCACTTATTATAATATTTTTTCCCATACATATAATATTATTATTGTTAATTTTAAACTGCAATGTGCATTGCACGGGTACCTAATTATCATTTTCCTTACGCATATGCTACCGAAAAATCGCTAGTGTTCTCCGTTACACGGAAACAAATATAACCATTAGATAAGTTTTTGGGCTTGGAAGACTAAGTAAATTGAAGACATAACTGGATCAAGCCTGCTTCAATTTAATAAGTGTTCTCCCGTTCTCCTCCCTATCCCTATTTCCATATTCCCTCTCGTTTCAACGCTTAACCCAATATCTGCTTCCTTCTCTTTTTTTGGATGCAATTTGATGATATCTACATTTCAGTTGTGTATCCTGAGCAGTAGCACCCAGAAATGTATCTTATGTAAAAATATAAATATGCTCATTGATTAACAATTTTTTTTTTTTTTTTTTAGACTGAGTATTCCAAAATCTAATTTCCATTATTCTATAACTAGGTGTTGGTTATGATATTAAACGAATGAATTTACGCTATTTTTAAACATTGATCGAGTCACACAGATTCTGTTTTGCGAAAATAATAATAATTTTTTTTTTCAACTTAATAAAAATAAAATAAAAACGCTGAGAATATATTGTTATCTTAATAACTGATCTTTATCCAACAAGGATAGATGATTACGGTTTTTTTTATTTAAATAATATATGCATTCACTCTTACGTTTTGATAATGTTATAATTTTGTTGTTAATTTTGTGTAATTTTAAGTAAAGACGATTACTCCTAAACAAAAATGATTTTCATGCAGCTTAATACGAAATACACATCAGTAAATTAAATTAAGATCATTTGAATTCAAAATACCTTTTCGTTATATATGTTTTTGTTAATTATTATCGTCACTTACCTACCCTATTGATATGGTAGGTATATCTTTGGTGTTATAATACATTTAATATAATATGATGATGGTCTTCTTACGCCCAACCAGAAATAATCAAGTTCGTGTGGAAACTTTTAATTGCGCCACGGCAAAACGAAGAAAACTTTGAACACAATATTGTTTTAAGATTTCAATATTCATTAAAATACTTGATGTGAAAGATAAAATTAACGTACTCAATTAAAAGCAATCAAAAATTACTCCTTTAGAGGTCCAAAATACTTGCGTTTTTATAATTATGTACATTTTATAACTTCAGTATTGGATACAATAGTCGATTGTTGCTGCAATTATTGTAATATATTAATACAAAATTTGTGTACAGGTTAGGTACATTATAGAAAATATAAATTATTATTTTTCATTTTTCATTAATTAAAAAATTGAAAATTATCGAAATTTACTGCTCGTCCACTAATTTTTTTTTCCATGAAAATTTGAAAATTGAATAGGTTTTTTTGATAAAATGTATAATAATGTAGCATAAAAAAAATAATGTATATCTAGGTGGGGAAAAAATATTAGGTACCGACATTAGTATAATAATTCCCATTTCACATATTTTTTACTATTTCGGTTTCATTCTTACCCACTGCAGTACGTGTGTTATTTATTACATAACCATACGACGTACTTAAAATTTAACATGTTTCTAAATGATTAACACCTGACTAGCATAAAATAATTTCATTTCAATTCCATGCGTAATTTTAGCCCGTAGATATTTACATTACATTGCAAATAAATGTTATAATAAATCGTATTAACATGCATAGTATTATTGTCGATTTTACGATGGTTCTCGGTAAATAACTGTATACAATATCTTTTAGCATGCCATACTTATTATACGTATATTTGTATTTATATCTGCAAATATCATCCGAAAAATATGCATTTTCTTAGTACAATATCGATTTCAAACGTGCTTATACGTACGGTATACAGTTATAGTTGAATAAATAATAATAATTCTACCTCTACGTTTATTTAATGATTACTCATAAATTGTTGTTATTCGACAATTTCGTCGAAATTTATTATAGTGTACATTAGTTCAAATTACCTGCAACATATACATAGGATTCATTGCGAGAGCCAAATTATTCATGTTACTATATTATACTCGTATAAATAGTAAATAAAAACAAGAGGTAGAAACTAAACGATTTCTCAAAAAATATGTATTCGAGTTCTATTTTTACGAATTATTCCTTGATTATATTTTCGAATAGAATTCATAATATTTTATATTGTAAGTACCTATTTGTAAATAATACAAGAGCAAATGTAGGTATTGTAGTACCTATATATTTCTTAAAACAAATAAAAATACCGACTGCGTTAAATGAATATTATAATATAATGTAGACGTGATCAGGAATTTTCAATGGGAGGGGATGTAGCAAATAACAATCACGAAAAAATCGTTAAATCTCTATCTCGAATTCACGTGGCCATGGGCATTTGAATGCCGGATCCGAAAAAGCCGATTTCTAATCAATAAAACAACCTATTCCTTTTTAACTCGACTGAGTATATACATTTCAAGATTAAATTACTAAATAAAAATAAATATTCGTATAACTGTTGCATTAACAAGTAAATCGAGGGAGAGAGATATAACCCTTAACTTCATCCACAGCGCATATCATTGATATAATATTTTTACTATTATCAGATTACATATTATTTCTAGACGGTGTTTCTCTGATGAAAAAAAATATTCAAAAAAATTCGATAAATGATATACCTACCATTTTAATGATTAAGTTTCGCGGTTTTAACGAATCTTTATTTTACATTGTATTCCCACACTGTTTTTGGGCTGTATTTGTATCCGTTACATATTTCCGTTAGGGAAATTTAACACCTTTGTTTGTTATAAGTTTGCTGTGTTTAGAGTTTGTTTTAAAAATGCGAAATAATCGGATCCAGTGACATTATCAGGATTTTGTACTGGAGGAGGGGCTAAATACGTTTTTGTTTGAATCATCGGCTTAGATATGCGACTCCCTCCACACACAAAACAATTAATTAGAAAAGTGTATTCATCAACATATATTTTAATACAATGCTTTAAACATAAATTGATGAAAAATCACATAAAACTTAATGATGATACGAGAATATAACGAGAGTATAATAATTTATACGTCTTGACAAATCTTGTAACTATAATATAGTATATACTATACTATACAAAATAAACACCCCTTTGACAGCTCCATCCTTCTATATACGAACAAACATTTTAAGCAAAGGCAGTAATTATAATATAATTGTCATTAATGTCCTCTTTTTTTATTTATATTAACCAAAGCTGACTCACTGAGTCTATTTTCTGACACAGTACTCCTCTTTAAATGCGTTTTCATACGATTCAGTGTAGACAACTTTCTTTCGGGTATGAAAGAAATAATTAGAAACGCAGTTAACACGAAAATCGTAAAAGAGTACGCATACATAAATATTGCCTACAAGAAAGAAAGGGACTATAGTCTTCTTATCCCCTATTTCCTTGTTACGACTGTTTTTACTAGACCACTTGTATATAATAATAATATAAAAAGCTGTATTTTATAACACTGTATACACATATAAACCGCAGTATTTTTTGCAGTCAGTATTATAACCGTCCATTTGTTTTTTTCATTTTCTTTTAACCGCGAAGTAAAATCTATATTTTCGTTCTATACTTTTTATTCGATTGTGTGTGTTTATCGAACCTCGCGTTCCGGTTCTATTTTATTTTGTGATGTTTATTTAGGATTCTATATAGGTTACGTGTGTGGGTTACGCTGCAGAAAAATAACAACTGTTATTAATGATTAACCTCACCGGCAGTTTGTTTTTCTTGAATTAAGTACCTAACTATGGATTTTTTTTTTTTTATTTTTTTGTTAACATCTGTTCGACCGCGCGCACGGAAAAAACAAAATAATATTAGACTTATACAGATAAAATTAAAATTAAAACAAATTCATTTAAATTATTTATATTCTTGTTTAATTTTAAAGCTTTCAAGGTAATGATAATTTTGTAATTGAATTATTGAATTTTAATGCTGTAAACAATGGTGACAATAAAAACAAAAAAAACTACCGAATCTATGTGTTTTTAACATGAAAACATTGATCATTTAATTCGGTCAAGTTGGCAAAATATGATTTTAATATTTTAATTTTAAAATGAACGGGTACTGCTCACCTGCTCACCGGTAGGTCACTGTTATATGTAAGAATTTGGAAAATTATAAGTACAATACAATGTCTAATACATTTTAAGCAGCGATACACAATCGTAAACGAAAAACGATTCTGAACGAAATTTAGTTTAGCGATTCTCGGTTTTCTCCAATGTAAATGATTAGGAAAAGTAAAAGTAAAATGTAACAATAATCGCTCTTCATTAAAAGAGCATCGGTGGGACAAAATTAGACATCTTAAAAAAATTATATATTTTAGTAAAATCATATACGTTCCTCTTTTCACCCAGAATCTAAAAGTTATTACTTATCTATTATAAATAATTTGTTAATAATATTTTGTATATTAACTAAAGACCATAAAATATAGTTACGAAGTATTCCTAATGAAACCAGCTGGTCATCGGTCTGATCCCTTAGGATTTGATGCACGATTCAATTTGCGGTTGGTTATTGTGACAAAACATGAAGCCTCTTATTTTTTAATTTTTCCATTATTTTACAAAATTGAAATGACCCCAAAAATCTTGAAAATACGAGAACATGGTGTTGGGCATTTATTAAATCTATGAAATTTATTTGTGAAATCGGGGAGTCGAAAACATATTTTTGGTCATAATTTGAAAACGTGAAAAGAACGATGGAATTGTATTCATTTTTTTTTTTGGAAGAAAATATAATTTTATCAAAGCAAAGTTTATTTTTATTATTTTTAAAATAAATTTCGGGAAATATTTATTATAAAAATGAAAAAAATATATATTTGGCGTTCTCATCCCATTTTCAGATTATGGCGAAAACAATGTGAGTTCCCGATTTTACAAAAATACTGCAAATTTCCGTCTATATTTTCTCATAATGTCAAGATTTGTGGGGTTCCTGCATACTTGAAAAATTTTAAAAGATTAGATACATCCATTTTTTCGCAGAACGGCCTAAAAAATTAATTTCGCATCAAAATCCCAAAGGTTAGGCTACTAGTTACTCTTGAAATTCCCAATATATTTTTTTTATTAGGTTTTTAAATTTTATCGGGTAAGCCAGATGATTAATACAATAGCCATTATTTTGATTTCAATGGTTTTTATTGTGTAGTGCTAAAAAAAACGAATCCCGAGGAAACTCGAAATTAAAATCAAAACTTCCAGTTTTTATTTCTCGTCAATTCAAATACATATTTTATGTTCATTATAAATATATAGGTATTGTCGTTGTGTGTATATCGAAATGTTAATTTAATAATAGCTAGGTCAGATATTTATCTGTATGAATCATCATATATTGATTGGTTGGTCTAAATTATGGATAGTGTATACCAAAATGTGTTTCATGACCTAACGATTCTGTATAAAACATTTTATTTTACATATTTAATTCATATTTTAGTGTCCTGTGCAAGTTTATGTGAAAGATTTCATTCATTATTAAAATAATTTTTTTCATCGTTATTTATGTTGTTGTTTTTTTTTTCGAGCATATTTCGGTATTTTTAGTGCATATCTGCAATCTGCATTATATATATTTACAGGTTTTTAAGGCATATTGCATTTGCCCAATTAATAATATTTATTAAACACGACAACAGATGTGTGATGTTTACATTTCACACTGTACCTATATAGGAACCATGAAAGGGTTTACAAACCGTTTGAAAACTATCTCCCCAAAATACAACTTCGAAATAGAGTTTTTTAATATTTCTTAACGATATAATTATACATTTTTTTATATAACCCTGAACTTTTTACGCTGCCGAAAAAAGATAAATTGAGACTAACCTAATTATTCTCCATTTTTATGTCAAATTACTGTTTTTTAATTACAATTTTATTTTATATCATTTTATATTTAACGAAAAAACTAATTTCGTACCACTCTCGGACAAGTTTATTCCGTTTTCGTTTATAATTTTGCTCGTAGGTATAATTTTTCCATTATATGACCCTCCTCCCTACACACGGTGAATTTAAATGAAATAAATTCATTCAACACATATTATATTCGATCGTGGTGATGCGCAATATCTAAAATATTCCAAGATATTTCTTGTTTAAAACTTAAAATAAATTTGAAATCGAATGTTTCTTCCACGTCCTCAGGATTATTTCTCGGCAGTTCTGAATATCGTATACGCACTTATCTAAGCTTCTAAGACATGTGCGTATAAACAAAGATGAACATATTTTATTAAAATCAACTATAAAACATATTGTATACTGGGTGATTCTTTTTGTGTTATTCAGCGATAAACTTCATATCCATTTTTTTTCAATAAAATCCCATCTCTACTCCTGTGGTCTACATTTTTTACCTGTTATAATGGGTGTAATATATGTATTTAAAAAGATGGGAGTTTAATTTATCAAAAAAAAGGAGCTATTTAAAAACCTAAAGTGTACACTAGCTCATTTAAGGTATAAGAGGATTGGCGGTAAAAATTTGAAAAAGTGTTAAAATAAGTGATTTTATAGTGATTGGAAAAGAAAACCAGTAATAAAATTAGCATAAATTCCCCCGAGAAAATCACTAAAACGTAATAAAATAAGAATCGTCTTGTATTCGCCACGTAAGTATTTATCGAAAGAAACCGTTTCTAAAAATGTTTCTAAATGGAGAGCCACGGACGACATTTTCTGCGAACGTCCTTTAAAATTAATATGCGAAGTAGTTGAAAATCCATTGTCGCGGATTTAACTTTGAATAATGTAAGTACATCCACAGTTTGTTTGAGAATGAAAACACTTAAGTACCTACCTACCAAAATGTATTTCTTAAGTTCACTCCGCATTAAATGAAATGTACTTGAATATCTATAAGTTGGAAATTCTAAGTGAATAACAATTTAAAGTAGATTTACCTATAAATAATATACAAATGGAATTGGTAAAATTAATTTTAGAGCGTTGAAGAAGAATAAATTGATCAAAATGTATTCAATTTACATACATATAATACATTATAATTACAAAAATGAATCATTAGCTTCCTTAAAATTGTATAGATAGGTACAGATAATAGAACGCAGAAAGTTATTGAACACCTACCACAGTTTAATATACTGAAAATTTATAAAAACGGTCACACTAATAACTGTTACCACGAGAACACATTCAGCTATGGATATTGGATATACCTACTCACTGTTTTCGTGAGAAACGTGTAAGACATTTGCACAATATGAATTGTGTACAATAACGAGATAAAAATATAAAAAAAAATGAAATGTCGGTGAGAGAACGGAAATATTAATTCTGATTTTTAAACAAAAATATATTATTCTTTTTAGTTGCGACCGTCAAATTTGGCTATCTTCGTACTGTTATGTGTGTAATTATTATTATTTTTTTTTTTTGTTATATATAGGTACCTAAAACATTCTACATAATGTGATGCTATTTTAAAGTCTTCAATAAAAGCATATAATGTTATAATTATAATATAATATTTAGTATTTAAAAATGTCGTGAGATAATTTGCGGGTTACGCAAAATGGGAATATATAAATCTTCACAGGTCCAGCATAAATATATGCTTTTGATAACAAACTTACATTTTGAATGTCATTCTGTTCTATATCTTATAAACTGAATTACAATATATAATATTATCTACCTACTTACAATAATTGATATTATTGTTTCATCGTCTATATTACATTATGTCTTCTTATAGTTACTTTCTGTACGTCATCGTAGTGTTTATTATTTTTCTTTTTTTACAGTTAATTGTCTATAATTTGTTTTGTTTTATTTTTTATTATTTTTTTTTTTCCATAATTATTATTATTATTTTTTTTTGTGGATGTTAGGATAGAGAATTTGTGGAGCTCGAAGTGCCGTATAACGGTCAATCGAAAAGGCCGTGCTCACCGTCTCCCCTACTGAGCCCAACCCATTCTGCATTGAGCAGGGTGAACTTCTTAAGCTCGTGCTGTACGAGATGCTGTAATCAACGGTATCAGGTTTGCCAATTTCTTTTTCATTAATACTACATTAGGTTTGTATAAAATAGGCAAATCGATAACAATTTTAATTCGTACTGCAAATCAACTGCAAATTACAATTACGTAGATAATCATATACCTACCTATCTTGATTATTGTTAGATGATAACAAAAGCTCTCCAATTGCTTTTTAAATATTATAGTTTAGATTTGATAATAAACCGTAGTATTTTGTTCTTATATTCTTAATATGGTTTTGATAAAATTTTGAATTAATTATAAATAATAGGTTTTTTTTTTTTATGTAGACATTTTAGAAACTTTGTCTTGCATACCACACCGACCTCGTATTTTTAATTATCTAATTCATTTTATTTTTATGCTTTTTTGTATAAATTAAATTTTCTCTCAACAATCATCCCGTAGAAATTGTATTAATATTTTAAATTTGCATTTTTAAAACACAATTTATTTTTGTAAATTATTATAATAGCGTGATAACTAAAAATAATAAGCAATGGACATTATTTCCAAATATATTGTGTTTCACTCACAGACTGACAAATATGTTTTATCAAATTATTACGTATATATATATGTTACCGGAAAAGATCACATTCAGTTAATGTTAACAATGACTAGTCAATAACGATAATGCCTTATTTAGTAAGGAATTAACGTTAATAACTAGTCATTTGATAACAATTCCTAATAAAAGAAGGCATTGATGATAATCAGAGCCCGGAAGTTCATGCATTCGCATGTTTTTACTGAATGGCCTGAAAAATTGCTAGATCAGCTACAAATTTGAATTATATTTATACAAATCCAAATACAAAATTTTATTTTGCATATTATTGCATATTTTACAATTTTTTTGTTATTAACTGCATTTTTCAATCAAATATTATGTAATTGACAAAATAAATTATTTCTAAATGACCTTTTAATAAATTTCTGATACTTTCCATTACGATAACGATTCTTTCATCTTCTTGTAATATTATAGAATGTAGTCAGTTCTGGATTTCTCGTTTAGATTGTTTGGCGTGTTCCGTGAAGTAATATCGAGTGTCCGTCTTTTTAATTAAATTGTGTTAAAATGCCGAAAGTAAAAACATCAGCTACTTATAGAGGTAAAAACTACGTTACTGAATTCGGTGGACATATTTTCGCGTTTGACGGAAGTGTATTATTTTGTAAGATATGCGAGGTAAAGGTAAAGTACGAAAAAATTTTCAATGTCACTCAGCACTTCAGTACTGAAAAACATATAAGAGCCTCTAATCGTCAAAATAAAAATACAACTCAACAGCTAATTACTACTACACCAACACGAAAATCCGATTTTTCTAAGGATTTATGTGAAGCATTCTTAAAATCAAATATTCCATTAGAAAAATTAGAAAATCCTTATCTTTCTTCATTCTTTGAAAAAAACGTAAACAAAGATATACCATCTGTATCTACACTGAGAAAAACATATGTCAATGATTGCTACGAAGATACGATGAATGAGATAAGAAATCAAATACTTATTAAAATAACTGGCTGTCTATAGATGAGACCACAGATATAGAAGGACGATATGTTACCAATGTGATAATTGGAATCTTACTAACTGACAGACCAGGTAAAATATTTTTACTTGCATCGAATGTATTGGAAAAAGCAAACCACACGACAATTAGTAAATTATTTGATAAAACTCTTTTTTTCTTTGTGGCCTAATGGAATTAAACTTGACGATGTTATTTTATTTGCAACCGATGCAGCACCAAATATGGTGAAAGCTGTAAAATCCATTCAAACATTCTATTCTAAAATTGTTCATATAACCTGCCTCGCTCATGGTTTGCATCATGTATGCAAGAAAATTCATGCAGAATTTCCAAAAATTGATCAACTTATTTCAAATATGAAAAGAGTGTTCTTGAATTCAACGCCTGCTCGCGTTGAATTGTTCCGAAGAGAAGTCCCAGAAACGTCATTGCCTCCTTCTCCTGCCATTAAACGTTGGAGAACCTGGTTAAAATCCGAAATATACTATTGTGAGAATTTTAAACAATTAAAAAAAGTCGTCAATTTATTAAATGCTGTTGATGTGCTAGCCATTGGAAAAGTTAAACAAATTATGTCAAAAACAGATTTAAAATCAAATTAAGTTTTTATTTATACAAATTATGGAATTTTGGCTACGGGTATTACAAGTTTAAAAACTTAGGAAACTCTTTTAACTGACACAATCAAAACTGTGGAAAATATGAAAAATAAATTAACTACAGTAAAATGTTCCAAAGGCATTACAATTTATAAACAATTTGAACAAAGTATTCAAAAGAATCTGGGCTTTAAAACACTATCCAAAATTTTAAAAATTATACTGGGAAAAGAAATGACAATGGATAATTTACCTGAAGATGTTTCTTGTGATGATTTACTATACTTTAAATACGCACCAATTTTTTCGATTAACGTGGAGCGGAGCGTTTCGGTGTACAAAAATATGTTGGCAGATAACAGGCGGTCGTTTAAATTTGAGAATTTATCAAAATTGTTGATTGTGAATTGTAATCTTTAAAAATGAATATTAATTGATAAAATAATGTTTTTAATCACAAGTCAAGGAAATTGAAAAAAAAATCGTGAGTAGTAACTGTATAACTAGTCATTATATGATATAGTGATATATACATATCTACATATATCTATTGATATGATCATATCAGAAATAATAAGTAATAATGTTTTTTTTCCTCATATTTATAAATTTAAAAAAAATAAGAGCATATTTAATCACATATATTAGTATATTACACACATATTGTAATAATGTTTTTTTTCTTCGTATTTATAAATTTAAAAAAAATAAGGGCATATTTAATCACATATATTAGTATATTACACATATATTCGGTAGTTTTTAGTGCATAAACTTCGGGGTCCTAATGATAACATTAAAAATTAAGTTTCATATCGAATAATATATTATAATACTTATAACCCAATTTAGGATAAATCATAGTCTGTATCTTTATTGTTACATGGTAAACTACTATGACACTTAGAATTACATAATCTAGTAGATGTGCAACAAGCACATCTATTGGTTTTACACTGTGTTCTACAGAGGCATCCCGTAAAACCTTGCGATCCAAAAATGCTGTTATAGGCAGCTACTTCACGGAGAGTTATTTCCTCTCCCTCTTTCGATTTACTTACAACCGTTTCAAGATCTAGAATCTTCTTCTTGTATGGGTTGATTTCTATCCTGGTATACTTATATTTCTGAAATCCATTTTCTGTACCTACACAAACAATAATAATAAATAGTAAAAATACAATAAAATATTAAATAATAATAAGTACAACGAACTAAACGTAGTTAGGTGGTCTTGGTAACTCATTATAAATCGGAAATCATTTATACTCTATGATTGCATATCTATTAAATCCAGTTGAGCTCGTGAGTTGTATGCCGAATGTAAAATAGGTTTTGATACAAGCCCTCTTTTTGGATTTGAAGATTTTTTATGGCAATCAAAACATAGGCCATTAAATAAACCATTATTTTTTTTTTTGTCACATTCGCGTATTTTAATTTAAATTCAACCATTATACGGTCTCGGCCTTCGTGGCCGATTGATGTATGTGTAGAATGAATGATATCAAACAACTCTTCATTTTTTACCTAATAACGCACACCCTCTATCGCATTGATTATAGTTTTAATAAGACGATCTTTACCATTGACAACAAGAATATCGTACCTACAAACATTCCAATAATTTTTCGAACACTTTTTTTACTCCAGCCGTAGATAGCGTAATTTTAGATTGTTTTATTTCTTCGATCTATTCACAATATTCATCTTTATTGAAAAAAAATTTGTTGTCGTTTCGTTTAGTTTCAATTAATAGTGAAATTGCGTTATCAAATTGTATACGCATTTCAATTAAATACATTTTTAAACAGATTATTAAACACAATATCATTACACTTTGCTATGCACTATTTAAATGCACTAACAGTACTGTGCATAACGATACCCCAGCTATGTAGTACGATCATTTTTCATTTGTCAATTTTATTATAAGTTATAAGCAATAAAAACGATAACGTAAAACCGGGTATACCGTACATACTATAGGTATCTATGTTCCACAATCAGATCGATCACTGATAAAGCGGTGTTGATATTTGTTTCGATGCGGATTTATAACATTATCTAATATAATACGGACATCTTGATAAAACTACGAAATTGACCTTTCCAGTCGTCAACAATGACTGAATTATCATCTTTTCCAGTAACATATATATATATATATAGAGAGAGAGAGAGAGTTGAAACTAGAATATTAGTCTATCGTGTAGAAATCGTACATAAATAAATAAACTATTGAAATAAAAAATTATAACCATTAGGACAATATATAATGGTTATATATTTAAAATATATTAATTATTAGTTTGAAAAAATTCAATAGTCATAATTTTGATTTTTTGAATCACCCATAGTTAGTTTACAGTTTTTCAAATTTTTTACTCCAAACCGATCGTCATAACAGCTCTCGCGTCTTTATATAATTGTCTTATAAAAAAGTCGAGGGGGTAGTTTTTCTCTGTTCTTTTCCCCTCGATCATACCTTGCAGAATGATGATTTTCAATTATTCTTCCGAGTGTCTCATTACAATATGTCCGTTCATTTCCCATCAATGAATTTTAATCATTTCGATCAAATTGCGTTTCTCTCTACCAATATTCTCAACAACTATCTCGTTATGGTTTTTTGTTTTCCATCCAACAGAATATTACTATCCATATTTCTCACCATCTAACTACCACCGCATTTTTATTACTTCCGATTTTTTGTTCTCTTCGATTTTATAGGTCACAACGCTCTAGACGTAAGTTTTTATCAGAATTTATTCAATATTCTATTAGAATAATAATTAATTAAAACATAATATGCGTATAAATTATACAGTTTATTATGCATTTATTATTATTATTCCACAATATAATATACACTACACTACTCTAAACAAAATGCTCATTATAATAGAACAATAATATATTTTAATTAATTTTCTTTTTTTATAGACTCTATGCAGTATATTTTCAATTAGTAGTTATGATAATATGCATTGATGAAAAAATCAGTATATTATTGTTCATCTACATTACTAATTTTAATTAATTAAAATCACTCATACCACTATAACAGCTGAACTTATATAATATAATAATTGTTAATTGTTTTATTAAAATTAAACGAAACAATATTATTATAAATAACGCGCGAACCGCATAATTCAAACAAAACTGATTTCTGCAGGCCACTACTGCAAGTATATTGAATACTTTTGATTTGTTATTATTATGTCGCGTATCCGTTAATTAATAATATTTGAGTTTGTATAATAATAGTTTTCGAATTTATATTTATGTCGATATTTTTCAATAAATTCTTCCCTTTTAAAACACAGCAATTACAAATGTCTACATTACAGAATATTAAATTACACTGGCAATTATTATACTATTACAATTATTATATATATTATATTATTAAATATACATAGGATTATAGTCGTATAGGCATAATCTTTTTCTCTTTTTGGTCTCATAAATCCCCGAGAGCAATAGCTGCCGTTATCGTGGACAGTTTTTCTTCAACCTTCTACATCTAACATTCTTAGATCTTGATTTACACCAATCGCATTCTTGGTCTTTCATGGTCTTTGATACTTCTCGGACTTCTCTCGGCTGTTTATTCGCATCGCGTGTTCGAACCATTGCAATATCGGACCCTTTACGTACTAAAATTGATTACCTAATTAATTTATAATTTGCGTAGTTTCACAAATGTCATCAGCGATTATTCCCCAACGCCAGAGAACACTCTATTTTATTATCTTATACCTCAAACTCACTTAACAATTTATTCCAATATTAATTTTTCAAATGACAATTATTTATTTTCTATCTGTACTGCATTCATACACACCTCCTCGTAGCTATATGTAAACTTTCGTCTAACTATAGCTTAACCGTATACAGTGTTAAAGTTGATCTTATTTAGGTATAATACTTAAAATAAAACAATTGCCCTACATGGTACCATTATTTTAGGAATGGGATTTGTTTAAACATAACCTAACCAAAGGCTATTTGTATTTTTTCTAACCTAACCCATTATTAATGTATAACATATTCGGTAATAACATAATGGGCAGCACCTAACCTAACCTAATCTTTCGAACAACCCTTCTGACAGTAATCCTTGAATTCTTGAAGTATTCAAACGTATGTAATGTCAATCTCAAAAATAAAACTCTTATTTACATATTATGCCTATGCTTCTACACGAGCCTGCAAAACTCTGTGGGGATCTGCAGTTAAGCCCTATTGGACATTAAGCCATACGTTTCAATTTAAATGTCTCCGTCGAAATTATACGGTCCTATATATTAGGTCTCTTATTCTTCACAAATACGTCTCTATTCCGACAGTTTGTTAAAACGTTCTTCTATATACAACATGTTTACTCCAACTTGTCAAACCCTCGAAATCCTTTCTCATTTCCGACCTATCCCGAGTTAATCCCCGAACGTACCTAAATGGTATCGCGACTTGTTAGGTTTAGAATAAACCCACTCTTTATACATAGATCGGTCAATGGTGGATGGATATTATCTTCATATGTCTTCTTGTAGGATCAGGGGAAGCGAAATTTCACGTCGGAAATAGTTACTGTAGTTTTACGGACAATATTTCAGTTTTACAAGAATATTGATCCGACCGAAATGTTCATGCTAAAATAAAATTATTTTTCCTAAATAATACTTGAAGTATACTTCTAGTATACTTCATTTTTGTACATTAATTAAGTTATTAAGTTATTATTGATATATTGCCGTCTAATTAAACACATTTATTTTAGATATTTTTATTTTTCAAAAATATTAACTTGATATAAAACCTAACCAAGTCTAACCTATTTATACTTAATACCTTACTTTAATAAAATTTAAAACAATAAGAATTCAAATCGCTACCTATTCAATATTATTTAGCTATTTGAAATTAAATAATATAATACAACGATAATATTTGCAATACGTTTATTTCGCATAAAATATAATATATAGAAAACAAACTAATTATTGTAACATAATTTGTATTATAGCCTCATAATAATATGATTATCATAACACCAACCTTAATCTAACCCTATAGATATATTATACGAAATACTGTTTTCTGAAATACTGAATTTCCGAAGAAGTAAAAACAAAAAGGTTAAAAAAACAAAGAGGCTCTTCACCACGACACGAACATTATTATACTAAAATGTATAATATAATACAGCGTATCACGAATATCTGACAAACGCAAAAACGTTTGCCCTATTTTATAAAGTTTTAAAAAATAATAATTATTACACTCTTTTGCTCTACTAATTATTATAATGTAAAAAAAAAAAATACGCTGTTAAATATTTTACAGTTTTTTTTTTTTTTTTGAAAAATTTCAATTAGGTGGAAGGTAGTTCATCTTTTACTATTTTGTAAGGCTATTTTTGGATGCTTTCAACAGCTCCCTATAGACTAAATGAGCTCAATTTTGGAAATTAAAATTTTTTTAAAGGTGGTTTGAAGTGATACAATTTCGGTTGGATTTCACTATTTTTTTGCTTAAGAATAGTGTTTTTTTAGTTTGTACATTCCAAATGAAACCAGGGGATGATATTTTGTGTATTTATGGTAGAAGCCTCAAAAATGTGTCTTTTGGGGGTTTAAACTCTTAACAATCTCCCCAACGGTTTTATGCTTAAATATTGCATGTTTTCAAAAAAAAAAAATACTGGATTTTAATATCCCTACAGACAAATAAAGTATAATAGAACTCAGAAAATCGTAACTATTTTAGATCCATTATAAAAAATGAAGAAATATTTTAACAATGACAATTCGGCTGAAGGGAAAATTCGACTCTAATGACGGATCTCACGAGTGTTTAACTTTTATAATAATAACAAATCAATGCCACTAAAAATGTTATAAATGATTTTAAAATACCTACATTAGGTTAAAGCCCCGAGCGTCTTTCGTTGTTAGGACAAAAGCGTGTTTAAATTTTTAGCGCTCTTTCATAAGAACACATTTTTGTTTTTTACAAAACACTGGAATTTCGAGTTGCACACTTTACGTTTTTTAATACACACTTTGATCTCTAAAATACATTATTTACGTTCTGCTAAGCTAATGTAATCTCTAGGATGGACTTGATATTTAAAAAAAATCTGTTATTTTACCATGTTTTAAAATATTATGATGTCCTCTTAATATGTGGCACTTGTCAAAGCCAATGTCCCCCCCCTCCAAATACATTCCTGCGTTTAAAAATAATAATATGTAACATACTGAACATATTTTTAAAAAATGAATACTTTGACGAAAATTCTCGCAGGAAAAACATGTTGCCTGCTGTGCTTCCTTCCTACGCACACATATGATAATAATTATCGCTTTTTGTTGTTACCCGATTTGTCCAATTGTTATCATATCATAATAATACAGATTTTGTGTGTAATATTATTATTATATTATCGGCGTACGGCCCCATTTCGACATACAAATGACACACAAGATCGCTTCAAAATTACAGGGACGCATTACTACCGTATACCTGTCATCGTGTCTACTGAACCGGTCGAAATCTTAACTTTACCATGCTATTTCGGTATGGAAAATATTTTCGGTATGACAAAAAAACCAACACACGCGTACACACATGAAATTTAAAAAATTGTTTCAATATTCATCCACGTGGAATCTGTTTTTAACATTTTTTTTACGTTTATTTTTAAACAAAAATAATAATAATAAACCTGCTAGCAAAGAACCGAGAAAATCGGAAAAATCAGAAAATAATATGACGACGACGTAAAAATAAGACGACTGAAATTGCAATAAAAATTACGAGACTGCGTAGTATTACGCAACATTAAAAACAAAATCTAACATTTTAAGGGTTGAGAGGTTAAAGTTTACCGCCCGGTCGCTATATCACTCGCATTTCGCAATGCACCAAAAAGTACCATGTATATGTATATCGTATATAATGTTTGTTCGCTTTGTATAGTACAATATTTGTCTATATATCGCACATAGAATTATAAACTTTCCCTTTGAACATTTCCGTCCGTGACGATCTTGGCATAATATTACTATAAGTAATAATAATACTATTGTTGAACTTTGTATCGTCTATTGGTTTTCGACTATAAAAAAAAAAAACATACATACATAACTCAAGTCGAATCCTGGAGAACTTCAAACCACTCTCATCTAAAATCGATCCTCTAAGATCGATTTTATTATTTTATACTGTATAGTATCTATATATTTATATGGATACTATAAAGTACCGCGGTAGGTACACAATCAATATTATTATATACAATTCTATTTTGTTGTTTAATCCCGCGGTCGTCTTTGAAACGTTGCAGCATTTAGTAAATAATACAATATTGTTTATTGGTCAATGTTTGTTCAATTATTTATTATACACACTTGGAACCGGATTTATATGCAATTAAAATCTACAACAAAACTCTTAAAAACGTCAATGAAAAAATATTGAAAAAAAAAAATGAATTAAAGGGTTTTAAAAATCTCCTCTTTAGTAGCGTTAATTTGTATACAGTGAAACCTCTATATAGTCATCGTGGGCAATAATGAAATGTCCACTGTAAGGTGTTGTCCAGTGTTGAGTAAACCTCTACATAGTGGATATTAATGAGGAATTACAAAACGTCCAATATACCATATAGTGACTATAGAAAGGTGCTATAAGGAAAAATTATAAAATATATAACATAAGTATACAACCAAAGTTTAACACGCATTAAAATCGGTATTATTTATTATAGTTTATAAAAAGTTAACTGTTATTTTACTGTACTGTAGATGAATCTATTAAATGATATTATAAGTACGTATATACGTATGTATATTTGTGTATTAAAAAGCTAGTATTTTTGTAGGATCAAAATAATTAGTTACTTTTTTTGTCGAATTTTTCCCGAAAATAGAAAATATTGCATGGTATTGTACTATTTTATTTATTTATTTATTTATTATAATAAACGGGTTTGAAACCCTTTTGAAAATTTGTACAAACAATTATATAATTACATTAACGACAGTATATATATATATATATCTTGTACTAATTTTTCCCGATACATTTGGATACAACTTTTAGCGGCTCCCTCTGGATCAAAATAGCTCAAACTCGGAAATTAGAGTTTTTTTTTTACAAGCGGATTGAAGTGATCAAATTTTTATCGATACCCAAAATGAAACCAAGTTACGGCATTTTGTGTGTGCGTGGTGTTAGTATCAATGATATGCTTTTGGTGGTTACAACTGCCCCCTCCCCTTTTCCAATCATTTTTATGCTCTGATTTCATGTTTCCACAAGAAATAGCCGGTTTCAAATACACATCTTAGCTCATGACAGCAAGTAACTTGGTTAAAATGTGCAAATATAAATAGAATTATTTTCAAGAATATGTCAATAGAAGATTTGAACTTTTAACCCTCGGCCCCAATGTTTATTTGTATGTTAGCGAAAATCTCCAAGACTACTTTACCTATTTTGATAAAACATTTTTTATTTAATTCTTTATCAGTTATCATTATATACTTCTTCTTATCTTTCGCCTTCATCCCAACTATTCGGGATCGGCCACCTATTTTCTAAATTTCTACTTCATCCGATCTCTCACCTTGCACACAACGGCTGTCCTCATATAATTCTCAGTCGCATCCAACATTTTTCAATATACCTCTTCACCTATTTCCCGCTGTAGTTATTTTCATTACAATTCTTATTGCTTCAGATTCCTCTCTCTCCTTGACATGCTCAAATAATCTCAGTTAATTCCGCCTCATTTTGTCTACTATCGAAGCCACGCCTAAACTATCTCTGATGCGTACCTACTTGCCCCTTATCCTATCTTCTCTCGTCACTCCACTCATCCAACCAAGTATTCTTATATCTGCTGTACTCATTCTCTGTTCTGTTTTTCTCTCTACTACCCAACATTCCGAACCATGCAACATAGTCAGTCTCACTACACTTTTGTAGAACTTAAATTCAAATCTCGTTAGAATTCTCTTGTCACATAAAATACCTGACGCTTCTCTCCATTTTATCCAACCATAACTAATCCTGTATTTCACATCCTCATGAAAAGCACCGTTTTCTCAAAAACCTCTCTATCGTTTTTGTTTTCTTTTTTTTTTATTCCATTGCGTTTTTCAGGACTTTTTGACATTTTTAGACGTTTTTTTGCGGACTTAAAGTGCATATGAATCCGTTTCCTATATATTATATCATATAAACGGTCGTCTAACGATCATACCATAGACGATTTTCATTATGTTTAGTATAATAAACCGTCACAATAATAATAAATAGATATCGCGTAAATCGACATTACGTTATAATATTATCGTTAGCCGGGTCCCGCAATCTTTTTTAACGATCTGATAAATAGTGATTATGTGCACTAAGTCCGTCAGGCTTATATAACGGGTATACCGAGAGTAATCTAACCCGTCAAACGAAATAAGACCGCGGAGGTTTAAATTTTATCGTGAAAAAATACTTTCGTCGAGCTTTTCTCCGCGGCAAATTAATATATATATATATATTAAAAATAATTATCCGCGCGGTTGCTTTTTCCGGAAAAAACTTTCTTTCTGAAGAATAAAAAAAAAAAAAGAAAAGGAAAAGTAATCAAATTTAAAACTGGCGTCATATTATAAGAAAAAGAAAACTAATTCGAGTTCGGTTCCACCCTACTCCGATTTTAATTATTTACGTTAACCTACTACTTTCGAATACACACTACTAAAACTATTTTTTCGATCGAGTATTATTATTCGATTAGTATTCGTATACTATACCTATATACGCGTCTATGCGCATATTTAGACCAAGAGATGTGTAATTTATGTTTTTGGTAAAAAAAAAAAAAAAAAAGAATCTCCAACGACGTTGAGGGCTTTTCGACACTATATGTTATGTATAATCAGTTTGGCAAATCGAAAAATAATAATATAATATACATAAACGCACATACGACACACGTGTATAACATTCTCATATACGGTGTCGCGAGAATAAATGTATAAAATATATATATACATTTACCTACTCACAATTTGTCCGCGTTTACTTTTCGAAAGTGTTCATCGCTACACGTACTTGTACAGCGATACAGCGTAAAATTCCCACCGTACCTATTATTATTATTATTATTATTATTATTATTATTATTATTATTATAATCGCTAAACACGGTGTACGAATTTATTCGAGTGACTGCGTATTATAAAACGTAAGCGAAACGCACGTTAAGTATGAATTCGAGTTGTAGAATATTCTACGGGTAAGTACTTATTATACCTGTATTACAGAACTCTCGTATAGTTTTCGCGTTTCCTGCAGTTTTAACCGCCGAAAACATAAAAAATGCAAAACCCATTAGCTTATTTAGCTTTGTTCCGCCCCAAGGCTACTTTTTTTGTTTTTTAATCGTTTCCTCCGGAACAGTCACGGTTTCCTCGCCGCCCGAAAAACTCGTGTAATATTTAAAATGTACACGGTAATACGCATTAGTTCGATACTATTTTTACCGGCAAAATATTTGAAAAACAAATACGCCGCACCTCCCGAAACCACCTCCCTAGAATTCAGCCTGCATAACCTATCGTCATAGATGTATTCACCGTTGGCAAAACCTATTACAATGCAATCGCACCGTCGTGATACGTCTTGCACTCTGACGTTGTCGTTTCCGCAGCATTCACTTGCGTTATTTGATTAGATTTCTTTAGTTTTCTTCATTTCGGAACCGCTAGGTACCTGTTCATACGCAGGTATCCGCAAAACAATTCGTATTACATAATTATTGGATCTCGTGTGTTTTGTTGTCGTTTCAGAAGCACAAGCGAGAGAGCTCGCCGGACTCGTTAGGCGAACCGATCCGCAACGGAGAGCTGATCGAGGTGCAGATGGAACAGCGTCGTCCCGCCGTCAGGACGACGGGCGAGAGCAGCGGCACCGGCGGCGGCGGCAAGTCGAGTAACTCGCTCGACTACAACAGTTGCGACATGCCGTCGGCGGCCGGGGCGTCGTCGTCCTCGTCGATGTGCGCTTCGGCGATCGCGACCACGGCGGCGGCCGGAAGCAGTAGCGGCATCGTCGGCGGAGGCGGAGCCGGTGACGCGTCCACTTCCGCGGCTGGCTGCAACAATCCCAATTCGAGCGCGTCATCCGTCGTGGTCAACCTGCCCACGTCCTATCCCAACTCGGAAATTGAGTATGGGTCGGCCTCGTACCCGCCGTCCCCGTCGTTGTCGTCCAACAACGACAAGCCGCAAGTACGCATCACGTTCCTCTAGCCGCCGCGGAGGCTGCCGTCCTTCTCCGATCCATAGTTTTATGTTATTATTATTTTAATTAATTAACTATTATTATTATTATTATTTTATTATTATTACGTTTTCATATCTGTTTTCGTTATCGTTTGTTCGTCGTCGCCTTAGACTCATGATTACACTTAACTTAAATTAACCGGGTCGCGGTCTTGGAAGACACCGGTAACCAATCGCTACATCTCGACCGAATAACGCTTAATGTTGTATTAGGAGGTACCTATAGCTATTAAAATTCGGTCGCGTTCGGAAAGACGCTTGTGGTTACTACAGTGTCCCTTATTATTCGTAGAGGTCGAAAATTCCATTTCGTTTTTTTTCTCGCCTCGCCCCCTTGTGAACGATTATTAAATCAGATATTGATATGTACGCATGCTCAACAGTCGTACAATTGGACAAAGTTATCGGGTGCTCGAACGGATTCAAACTTAAAAAAAAAAAACAAAAAAATAGAGAATTAAAAGAAAGAAAAAAAAATCCGTTTCGGCACCCCGATAATAACTGTATTTTTCGGATTGCATACCAAAAATGTGCGCATATCAATATTTTATATATTAACCGATGTCAAGGGATAGGCGAAGCGGGAAAAGAAAATCGAATTCTCGACTTTTACAACTGGGGGGACGCTCTGTTACGTATACCTAAACGAGCATTCCGAACAAACTGTACAATTGAGATTGTAATAATTCGTTGTGTCCAATATGAATATGGCGCGTACTCTTTTCGATAAAACCCGCGTACGTTATGTATACATTTGGGTAACGGTGAGCTGCAGACGCAGAAAGCGTGCAACGCACAAGTAGGTATCTGCAGTCGCATACGCCCGCTAAGAGCGCAGCTCCGTAAACGGCCGAATTATCGGAGTGCCGACGTCCCGATCTCATTGTCTTCCGACGCCGCGGCTGTGTGTCGCGTGTACGCCCACCCGCCATGCTTATACGAGCAACTAACACCGTGAATCGTTCTAATGCAAATGCCGTTCGACAGCACGCTGCCACGGGGTTTCTCGAGAAAAATAACGAAGTCGCGGACTTCCTCGGAAACTTCGACTCCGGGCACACGCTCGTCGACAGCGCGCGGCGACGCGGCGAAAAACACAGCGCGGCCGGATCGCGACCATCTCGCGCGATTCGTCGGGTTTTCGTTTTTCCCGGGGTCGCGTTGACGCGGTAATTTGCGGGCGACTGTAACGGGTCCGCCCGAGTCGCGCGCCAAGCCCGCCGCTTAACATTGCAGAGGCCGTGCGGTCTCCGGGACGGAGTGGAGGGGGTAAGGGGGGGGGGCGGCATTATCCCCCCGACCCTCTCCAGCCCCGGCAAACTCGGTGCCGCCAACGACTGCGCGTCCAAGTGTATAACACGTTCCGCAGCGATACAAATTTATCGTAACAACAATCGAAATTATAATTATTTTTTTTTTTTTTTTATTCGCCCGCAGCCTTGCGTTATTATGTTCCGGCACGTCACGTCGGGGGCACGCACACTTTTCCGTTACGTCGCCGCGATAATATTTCGGTCGACTGCCGTACGCCGTGTAATACGCTCGTGTGTAATAAAATAACATAATAGCCGCAGCGAAACAACACTATCGCGTGCGACCAGCACACGACCGCGCAAAGGCCGAGTCATCGGAAGATAAATGGAAGCGTTCGCGCCTTTTTTTCGTTTTTTTTTTCTTTTTGCTTTTTTAATACGATACATTTTTTTCTTATACACGTTTTCTCTGTCGCACCTCTCTAACCTAACACCTCGACCCCCGAACCTCGCGTAACCTATATTTTATTTATTTTTTTTTCCCCCGCAGCGGCGTGTTTCTTATGTGTACGGCGTGTGTGCGCGCGCGGCTCAACAAATTACCCGACCGCCAACCGATGACTTGCCGGTCACTGCTGCCGACACCGCCGATCTCTTCTTATATGAACGAGAATCGGTGCCCGTAATAAAATGTTTTACTACTTCGAACTCGTATTGTTCCATACGGTTTTACGGCGTTCCCGCCCTACGATTTCGGCCGAGACTTTCGCCACTCTCCGTCTTGTTTTGTTCGTCTTTATCCCGCAGAGTCTGCTCTGATAACACTCGTGTATACTCGCGCCTCGGCGTTTTTGTATTTTTATCTTTTCAAAACGTTTAATGAAAACTGTAAGATTCGCCGGGACTCGTTCAAACGGTCACGTTGCAAAACCCGCAAGACGCAGTTCGGCCGCGGACACCAAACCGAGACATTTTTATTTATTATTTCGATTTTTATTTTATTTTTTTATCCGGCCGGATGCGCTCGGACCCGCGCGTCGGAATGTATTATCCCGTTAAAATTGCCCATAAATTCGTGTCGTAAAGCAATTAAAAACTTTGCGCGGACCTTTCCGCGCGTATACTGTACACGTTCGCGTTGCCAGGCGGGTCGTATTGTTCCCGGGCCAGACGACGAAACGGTCGGCGCCGTTTCCGACGACGACGACGACGACGACGACGGAGGTCCTATACGGGGTCGGACCGTCCGCGCGCGTGTACACACCGCAGTTTATGGCGAGTTTATGCCGTTGTTGGCCCGCGGACGAAAGGTCCGCGACGGTAGGATTCCGAGGGAAGAGGGGTGTATCGCGCAATCGCCGGTCCCCGAGTTTTTATTATTTTCGTGGATTTCAGTCAGTCGGAAAATGCACAATATATATTCGCATAATATAAATTACTGGTCGAAATTTCGCCGGGCGTTTGCCGCGAGGCAAACGTTTTTGTAAATTAAAAAATTGCCACCCTCGCACCCTGCCCCCGTGCGCAGACTGCAATAACGTAATTGTGGACACTGTGGCGATCTATACATAACAATATGTATACGTCTTTATTCCCGGGGCTAGAGTGAATTTCTAGAAAAAAAAAAAAAATGAGGAAAACAACGAAAATGGGAAAAACAACGAAAATGAGAAAAATAACAAAAATTACAGGAAAAAATGTATAAAAAAAAAAACACGCATCAAATTAACTTAAGTTCATCTTCCTTGGAACCAAAGGTATACATAAAATAAAAAAACTGACTATCAACGCTCGGTTCAACCCACGGTCTTGAAACTTGAAATTTTGCCCTGAACTTTCTCGTACAATGTAGACAACCGTCAAGAAAGGATTTTTAAAAATTCGAAAAATGACCGTAGAAATAGCTGGTGCGGCAAATCATTGTCTACATATTGGTGACGCGACTTATTGCCTATTTTGATCCAGTTCTTTTTCGATGTACGACTATCAAGAAACACCATCCACGCGCATTGAGAAATTATCAATTATTATTACATTATAAAACAATCGGGATGTATTTTCAGTCGGGTCGTACGATAGTAATAGCTATCAACTGTATATAAATATATATATATTTAGCACATTAGCCGAGTAATTTACGGACAACATAATGAACAACATTCAACAAATGGTGGATTATGCGCATAGACGAAAATAGAACTTGAAAATACATAAGGCCAGAGCTCAAAAGGATTTAGACCTACTAAATTAAATCGAACACTGTAGGTGGAGCTTGAGATGGCTCAGGGAAGACTAAGCCTACTTGAACCCCGTTGTCCTGTTTACGTCTATGACTATGCGAATATATCGGTCGCAGCAGGAAGAATGTAAACTCTATTTTTGACACTTATCGAAGAGAAGGTGTTGCGAAATTCAACGATTGACGAAACAATGCGGATTCAACACTAATATACTTAACTAATTAGGTATATTTTCGTTACGAAACTGCACACGGGGGGGGGGGAAATACTGCTACTGTAGGGCGTCTCATCGTTATATAGATTAAAAATAAAATATCGTTTTTCCTTTACCTCCACTCCCTTAAAAGCGGATAATTTACAAAATATTCATGTATATAAAATTTTAATATACAACCTGATCAAGTTATCAGGTGCCAAAGTTGTCTTAGATTTAAAAAAAATAAAAATAGTTAATTAAGGAAAACATTTAAAGTTTAGGTCCATTTTCGGCACTCGATAATTTTGCCCGATTGTACTAAAATATGTACGTATCAATATTCCATTTATATATATTAAACGCTATTAAGGGGGCGACGAAGAAAAAAAACCAAAATTTTATTCTTAACCTCCAAAACTAAGGGGTACCCTAAGTCCGCTGGTAATCGTGTACACTTACAAATGTAACCACCTAAAAGATACCTAACGAGTAGCTCGGTGCACTGTTGTCGGGGTAATCGTGCAAATCCGGTCGTATTTAATTTATCGTAAAAATGACAATAAAAATATCGCATCACTACGCGCAACCTACACACAAATCGCCGCCGCTCAACTACCTCGACGTTATTGTATTCTGAGATGTTGTCCAGTTATATTTACAGTTTTACCACCCACGATGACGTCAACGAATATCGGCTTGTAGCCAAGTCATTTTTTTCGGGTTTTTTTTTTCTAGTAATTATTATCCATCGGGTATCCTCAAGGGATGGTCTAAAAATAGATATAGTGTTCTGTCCGCTGTCTAAAACCGCTCTCGAACGCACGATTAAATTCGAAATTAGTTTTGTTAACGTACACAACGCAGGACGTAGTTCAAAAGTATAGAAATATCGATCAGTAAATACGGCGATCCTCGACGGTCCATCTACTCTAACTCGGAAGAACGTGATTTATGAGCGAGAAAAAAAATGCCCCGAAGTAACAAAGGTGATCGCGAGGGTATTACGGCGAGTTTGAGAAGTTAACGTAATAATACGCGGTGATTGGTATAGACGACCATCATTCTTCTATCCGTATGTGTGTATTTTATTTTCCAATGAAATTTCAATGATTCATCACCAGTGTAATACTTCAATAAAAAATTCTAGAGCCGTTACGTTCCGAGACAACGCACAAATGTCAACCCGCACTCGACGAGTAGCTACCTATAGTACCTACTATCCGTAACTCCGACAATATAGGAGGCGACCACGTTACATAGGACCACGTCCGAAAGTATAGTCACCGCACGATGGCTCAGATCGATCGACTTCCCCCCCACCATACCCAGAAATTGTATAATATTTTGTACACAAGTATACGTTGAATTTTTTATTTTTTCCTCGAAAACGCACCTTTTCACACAAATACGTTTATATTATATAATATTGTACGACGGGTCTTTTTTGATTGATGTCCATAATGGGTTTCAAGCGGAAAAGAAGTCACGACGGTCCTGTGAAATCGATCGCCGAACGATTATTAATGACTGCGCACCATAATATACCTATACACACAGTATCGTACGAATAGTATCTTAAATGGGTACCTTTTTTGTATTAATCTCTCGTATTAATAAAAATGGAAAAACAAATCTATATATAGGAACGAAACGGGAAGGTACAATTGAAAATGATTTGATGAGGTTACACCGAGTAATGATCCCAACTGGAAAGAAAAAATAAAAATGGACAGAGATAAAAACTGGGTGTTGGGTTGGAGATATTAAAGGCCTAGAAACTAGAGAATAAGAACAAGAAAAATATTAATTTATTATAATTAAATTATTATATAATAATTAAAATGGAGTTTTCCTTTTAAATAACATAATTTTACCATCGTAAGAATTTTTTTTTTTTTCATTATCTAACGATTCTGATTGGACAATTTCATTTCTCACGTCACATAATAATAATTGCAGTTTGACAAAACAATACAATACAACAAAACGAGGTTTTTTCAATAAATATTATATGTATTTGTATTTCAGAAAGAACAATACAACAAACATCTGCAATATCAATAATAGGTTTTTAATTAAATAACGTTCAACGATTTTCCAGTCGGTTACATTTTTAATTAATTTGTTGGATTTTTCCTTTTTTTTTTACGTTTGTTTCGGTTGATTTCATTTTACGGAAATAGGTACAGTTAGAACGTTTATTTTTTTCTCCTCCGTAAAACTATTTAGTACCTACCTATGTTTAACATACCTATTTATACTACCCCCTACCCCACCATTGATTTGTTCATTTCTATATACAAAGTGATTGTTTTATCATGAGGAGGATTTTAACGTTTAAGTGAATTTTGTTTCTTTTTATTTTAATCATTATGGAATCGTTTAAGCTTTATTTTAACACTGTTTTTAACTTTTGCCCCTACTCTTTACACCTGTAGAGAGTATCTAATTCGGATTTATTACATTTAGGAGTTATATTTAGGTTTAATGATGGGTAATAAAATATATATCTAAGTTAAAACGAACAATTCGTAACTCTTCCATACTCTTCTAGTCTAAAATTTAAACGGCTATAAACTTATCAATCATAAACAGTAAATCTGATATTGGTGTTATTGCATACCAGAATGTCTAGAAAAATATTCTCTATTCGAATCAACTGTTCAAAATCACATTTGATATTCAAAAATAAATACTATTTTTGAGGTACCTACACGAAACAAGAGTATAACATTAAAAACGGTTTTGAAATAAAACTTAATCGATTCCGCAACAATTAAAAAAACAAAACCCGAAATCAAATTCATTTGAAATCCAACGAGAAAATTGGTGGTGCGCGATGCGAGAATTATACATTTATTTATGCATATATTATTATATGTAAACCTATGCGACCGCAGATTATGGTTTAAATAAGATTCAAATAAGATTCACGGTGGCAGCACCAGCAGCAGGCAGCAGCTTTAACGCTGAATCCGCGAAATGTTATCGACTCGGGTATATATATATATATATATATATAAAAAAATAATAATAATAATCAAAAAAAAATTGGGGCGAATTCCAAAAACAATGCGGTATTCTGGCAAGATGCCTTCGGCGTGCGCGCACATTATAGTAGTACAGTAGTATAGTTACTTATTTAATTTACTTATCCGCCGTGTAACACCTGTTCTCACCCAAGGATTCTGGCACAGGTTTTATTACATTATCGTTACATTATTATTAGGCTGCCCTCCCCCCTCTTGGTTCCGTTTAGTTTATATATATATATATATATATATGTATTTTTTTTTATCGAGAACTTTTACACTGGTAATTTTTATTTACAACGATAATAATGAAATATATCGTATTGAAAATTTGAAATATTATCGTTACAAAACGCGTGCGATTTTAATCGCACGTCGGCTCCATAATACAATACACTAACATAACCGCGCGTACGCCTATAATACACGGACAACGGTGCTCCCATAAATTGTTTTGAGAGTATATTATTATTATTATTATTGTTATTATTAGCCGTATCCCGGTACCATACAAGTGGGATATTTTGTATCTTCCTTATGATTTATTATTGATACTTATATACAGTGGCGACTCGAAGTATTTTACCTTAAATCACCGATCTACTTTTCCGCCCACCCATTCCAACACAAAATACCCCCACCCTACTGCTAATGTATTGAAATTCAACCAACCCCAATAAAATTCGTCAAGTTTATTAATTTTCCGAAGTCTAAAATTCTTTTGATGAATTTTATGTTGTAAAAACACAATATCTTTTGTCGGTTCATTCCCACGTCGTCGATTCCCATTTTGCCGAAAACATTTTATTTTGTTAATACTTACTTGTGACGTACGTTCCTTGAAATACTCATAATTCCGTCCTACTATAGCTCATGACTTATGTTAAAACAACTCGTTTTCATTGTCGTTTTTGTTGGGATTGCACTAGTTTTCTACCGTTGGTTACCTATAGCTATTGTTAAAAGTGTCTGTTTTTTCAATAATACTAAATATATATATTTTTTTACTTACGCGTTTGCGGCGCTGGAATTTTTTTAGTAATAATAATTTCTTTGCGGCAATAATATTTCAATTCAAAATAATAAGATAACCGATTTATGTGTCGACGAAATGGGATGTCGGCCAAATAGGAGTCGGCGACGTGAGAAAACACGTTTTTGTCATATTTCTGAACACCTAGGCACCCATGACCCACCCACCCGTTTTTTTGTGAATCACGTAATTCAAATGTACCCTTTTCGGGCCGCCACTGCTTATATATACTATTCGTGGGGAAATAATAAGTGTAGATACACAAAAATTAAATCGAAATATAAACATTCGAAATGAAAATAACAATAACAATAATAAAGTTGGTTTTGCAAACCGTGAAAAAATCTTGAATTTTTCAATTATAATTACTGAAATGAATACAATTAATTAGTATTACAGTAATGCTGTACCGTAAACGATACGAATGGACAGCGAAAAGATATATCATGAGTCTAGGGAACGAATTTGTGTACACTTAAAATCCACAAAAAGGCGTTTGTAAACGGCCAAAAAGCACGTACAAAATATTTAAAAAGCGAAAATGGTGGAGGTTTAAAACTCTAACGGCTCTAACTTATTAAACACAATTGTCTAATACCTTTTTATATAAGTTTAGGGCTGTTTGAAGGGAGACTTTTATTACCCCTCTACTGTTATTGCTTTTTGAAAATACTCTTTTGAAGTGCATTCGCAGGGGTTTTTTCGACTGGTTTTAGCGCATTTTTCCGCATTAATGACGATTTTGCTCGTTCTAAAATCTATTCGAGAATATTCGCAGTATACCCGCGATTTTCCAACAGAACTATGAGTATACGGCGTACATTATTTACAGTGTACCCCGTGGAAAGCCCACTTTTGCATACCGCGTGTATGTATACCATATTAAGCAGTTTCTTCGTTTTATAGACGAACACGATGATATTATAATACGCATAATATCGGTTTATTACAATAATATTGTGGGGCGGATTTTCACGAAAACCAATTTCATTATTTTCGAATCACTCGGGAAATGCAATACAATAGATATTACAAAACATATATACAGTATATACGTATAATAATACACCGGTACGTAGGTATTACAGTATAGCGTGCGTACGTTTTGTCGCAATACTTGAAATATTGTTTCCGGATAACATAATAATTAGATTTATGCATATCAAAAAAAAATATGTAAAACTCCCGTGCGAATATTCATCCGCAATAACATAACACGAACGTTTTCGAGGAATACGTACCCATGATAATATATTATACCGGCTTTATGCCATCACAATGAAACACCATCGTCATATGGTCCCGTCTAATTTTATTACACTTAGCGTTTTCGACACACAATTAAAGTGAACCGTATGTAATTTCAAAAACTCATGTGGCATACAAGAATATAGATATTTTTTTTTTTCTGTTCGTCGACCATCAGTGTTCTAGAAATTCTACGATTCGATAATAAATTGATATTCTACACGTTACTAGAAACTTCAAACGCGCTGCAGTTATATGCGGTTATGTAGTCTTATACGCCTTCGGCCCGTGACCCAGCGGTGTTAACCAAAATTTTGTACCGGGTAGACTAAGAATGATTTTGCTTAAATCATGAGCGTATGGGTAACGGGAGGTTTAGAGGTGTTCAACTGGGAAAAATGTAAAAAAAAAAAATTATGATGAATTGTGAACATAATATTATTATGTGTGTTATCTGGAAATATCTTGCGGTAACTATTTTTCTATGTAAAACACCCTCCTAACAGCTACATCCTTCTAGAAGTATTTTGAGCAAAGGTAGTAATTATATAATTTACATTGATGGCTTTTTATTTACCTAGCCTAACTATATATAATATTGATTATCTTTTAATTTTTTTTTTTCTAACCTAAACTAATATAACCAAACTTATCTGTAATAGCGATTTATATACACGAAGAGTTCAAGGAAAAAAACAGGACTTTTTAGCGAATATAGACGATTTGTATGGCATATATTTTGATTATTATTATGCGTTTCGAACACAATTTAATTCTGTTTATTAAATTTCAAAGTTCAACTTAATCCGACATTTTTTAAATTAAAAATATGTTTTTGTCAGATTGTAAAAAAATTGACTTATCTGGTTTCTTCCTCGCGTCCTTATTTATACGTTGTAATACATATTTTTGTGTTTTACAAATAAAACTGCAACAATACATCTGCAGTATTCAGACTTAATAAATACTGACGGTAATAATAATTGGCTGTACGACAAAACAGTATGTTATATGTTTAGTTCGGGTATATTTACTTCTATTTTTTTTATGTATATAATTTACGTATATTAATATAATATTTCGGTTAATATTATAAACTGTTTTCGCATCTATATAGTATATATACATAAATAGATCTTAGGATTTAATATTAATATATACATTTGTATATTACCGCCTAATAATATGTGATAATATTATATTATTATTAGGGTAGAAAGAGAGAGAAAAAAAGTGTAATTATTAAATGGATATTAACTTTAATTATTTTATTTTTTATCAGAGGTAATTTTTTAAAAAAAATTTTTATAAGTATTGCGTGTCACATTGCGTAATACAGTTACGTGAAGTGGGTTTTTAGGCGAAATTAGCCGAACGTCTCGGGTCGTATATAGAATCCTGCATACGAGCCGGGACAGAGAAACAAAAAAAAAAAGTAGGTAAGTACCCAATGTATGGAATTTAAAACAAATTAAAAACTTTAAGGCAATAATATTGTTAGACCAAAAGTAAACATTGAACACCAAAAATTATCTTTGTAGGTAACTGATAACAGTTAAAAAGTTGTATAGAGAAGTTTGAAAACTGTCCCGGAGTTATATTATTATGTGCTTGACGGTATATGAACTTTAATATGTGAAAATAAAATATAATAATTATTGTAATAACATTACGATAAGTACGTTATTATGTCGTTCGCTCGACTTACCGTATAGATTCGTCTTCACGCGGAAAATGTTTGTTACGTTCGTAAAATCATAAAATAATTATTATAAAAAATGAAAAAGAAAAAAAAAATCTATACAAAGTCAATGTTATATGTTTGCGTCATCCGCACAATGGCAAATAAATAAAAAACACCACTATTTGATCATATCGAAAAATATTATTATTATTTTTATTATATTATATTAGAGAAGCAAAATGTATTTATTTTTATTAGTCGCCGAAATGTACTCGTAATTGTGTTATTATCTCTATTGTGTAACAACGTTAAAAATATATATCGTACATTATATAACACATTACATTAAAGAAAAATAAAAAAAAACGTGTCTCGGGTATACTTGTACATGTTGCATTGCGCATTATTTCTGACGGTACGGTGTACAAGGCAAACATTTGATTTCAACATTATTATAATTATTATTGTTATTATTAAACGAATTGACTTAGAATCCAATCAATCGCAATCAATATTGTATTATTAAACTATTATTATTATTATTATTAATTTGTATTAGAATGTTATAATTAACGACGGTGACGTTGTTGTACCATAATACGTTAATCGTCGATTAATACTCGTGATATAAGAGTATGATAATTTATACGAATACAATTATTAATATTATTGTTATTCCCGTCACGCGGGAATCGGTTTCGTTTCGACGTTTGAAAAAAAAAAAAAAAAAAAAGTCTGTACGTAAAGCGGTACGAGATCAACGCTCTTCGGGCGTTTAAATCTCGGTGAAAATATTCTAAATTTTTTTTTTTTCTCTAAACACATAAGTGTATAAGTGTATACCTAAGTACTATAATATAATATTGTGTCGTCCGTGTCAATGAATTTATTGTTGCGATACTGTTTTGTTTTTTTTTTTTTGTCTTTTTCGACTAGACTTTTATAATATAAGGCCATCATTATAATATTATTATGACATGATAATACTTATATTTCAATTGATTATAATACTACATAAATTAATAATAAACACTTTTAACAATAATTTTAATATTACCGATAGTGAAAAAAACAAAACAAAACAATTTTATATCATAATATTATAATATACATATTATATATCACGATAAAATAATATTTTTCTCTCGTTATTCAATACTTAAAATTAATTATAATACTATTAGTTTTGTCTTATATGGCAATAATATTATAGTGATTTTGATAACTAAATTATTATATTTCGTAATTATATATTGTAATAACATACTTGCTCTAATTCTCAAAGTTATAGATATTCTAAACTATACATTAATTTATTATGATATTATACAAATATACCGATAGAAAAAAAAAAATATTGATAAGTAAAACGTGTCAGTATGTTACAATGAATTTGTTTATATACCTATATATACCTATATATATATATTATTATGTTATACTATCTATAAAATATTCAAAACTTAAAATTCATTATTTAATTAGTCATTAAATCGTCGCGAACGGTGTACGTAATTAATTATGTATCATTTTTTTATCGCGGGTGTGTTTTCCATAATAGGTGATATTAATGTTATAATATCGTTTCACGAATAAACATTTAAAAAAAAAAAAAAATTGTTTTTTAATATTATAGGTGTCTTGTACGTATAGATAATAATATATATTATAATATTTGCAATGATCTTATTTTATTTTATTTTTTTAGTCTTATCGATAGAAATTATAAATACTGATCTAGATATACCTAATAATACTATTATAATAGTATTATTACGTATTATAATACGCCTATCATGTAGAATATTATTAAATACTATATGTACTTTTAATCAAGCAAAAAATTATTAAAATTTCAATTTGTCGTTATTTATTATATTATATAGGTATCTATGTAAATTGAATGGAGTTATGCAGGAAGCATAACCATCCAACAATGTTGTGAAATAACTAGTTTTGAATAAGCACTATAATGTAATATGTAATATATTAGTAAATAATATGAACATAGGCGCCAAGTTTTTAAAATGTCGTTGGGGGCTGGACTTTTTAAGCTAATTTAATTTGAAATATTTTTCCAAAAACATGAAATTAAAAACAAATTTAAAATATGCACTACCTATTTTGAATAGGTTTTGTCATTCAATAACAATTTAATTTGTAGGTAATACAAGTAAAATTTACTTTTGTCAAGAAACTATTATCATTTATCAGTTATCATCAATATGCACCCCGTGTATCACTGGCGTGGTATTATCCACGTGAAACTTCAAGTATTTGTAACCGTGTTATGAACAAATTATTCGTGATAATAGGGGCTGAACAAACAATTTTTATCGTAATAGTTTATTTTATCAAACAACAATAATATTTTTAATTTCTGGTGGTAAACTTCGTTATTTTAACATTAAGAATATATTTTTTACATAGTCGTTAGCATAAAAAGTACTTTAAATCACTAACACCTTTGGGGCTGAGTCCTGGCTCAATATTGTCAATGTGGGCTGCAGCCTCGCAGCCCCCGTAAATTCGGCGTCTATGAATACATATATATCCATCGAGTTTATTAGATAAATTAGTTATAACTTATAAGTCACTAATAACTAAACCCTCAATTATTCAATAATAAATTCAAATATTCAAATAGAACTTTTGTGGGATGGTGATTTTCTGTTAAACGCCATTCAATTATTATTATTATTATTATTATTGTTAACGATATTTTTGCATTTATGTTTAAAACGATATACCTATTTTAGTAAAGAGATATATAGATAACAGTTATTAGATGTTTAAATAAAACCAAAATAAAAATTATATTTATTTTACCATTATTATCAGGGTGTTTCAGGATATTCTGGCCAAATAATTTTCTATATTTAGATTGATTTTTTTTCTAAAAAGACAAAATTATTATAATTTTTTTTGTTTGTTTATGAATACATAAAAATATACTTAATTATAATTGTTAGAAACATATATTTATTTAAACTTTATTATATAGTTATATTATTGTATATTATTATTGTTTTTCATATAATTTGTGTGTTTGTACCTATCTACCAATATCTTATATAACAACTATCTTATAAAGTTATAATACAATAATAATTATTGTGCAATTTGGGTGTAACACTAAAATTGACTTTTCAACGTTCATTTTCGCTTGTGGCTTCTTACATTTCACGACACTTAAATTATTATTACCATTGCAATACCAAACTATAACGACTTAAATTTTCTATTAAGACGATTTTTCATTTCCAATTTTTTTTTTTGTTTTTCTGAAAGGTAATATTTTTTCAATAGTAATTTATATAACGATTTAATAGTTATGTTATAGTTTGGCCAGAATTACTTTTTTAAACATTTTATCCACAGTATGGCCCGAAAAGTTATATCACTTTCTATACATAAATAAATTGTTTATTAATTATATTAGAGGAGAACTTTTTTTAAAAAAAATATAATTAAATTCGAATCGATTTAGTGTCTTATAATATAATATTTAAGTATTTAAACTTACACGGTATAGTTCGATGTCCATTTGTGTTATCAATTAATTTAACCATTATTGCTAATGGCTAATCCAATCAAGTACATACCTAATAATAAAATAATACTATTTCAGATAAAAAAGCTATTTTCTCGCAGTTATATCTTTTAGGGCCATTCTGATTATTTGTCATCGATATAATAATATATAATCGTTTGTAATTAAATATTATTATTACATTCAATTTTTTTTTTTTTTTTTGAGCATGAAATCTGAAAAAAACGATTTTTTTTATAATAATGTACAAATTAAAAATTGTCCATAAAACATAATATACAACAGCTAATAATTGTTAAATATATTATTATAATATTATATAGATTGTTTTTAAAGATGCGATTTTAGAAGTGGTTATTTCGTTTTAATAAAAAATTAACTTCCTAAGATTACGGTTTATTTTCAATTTATTTTACACGATTGACATGTTTATTGTCGTATCACTCATCAGCTCTTTACCTTCAGTCCCTTCCATTTATACCAATAAGCAGCGATTAGTATCTATTTAGCAGGTAACCCTGCTTGTCTGCTAAGCTATCAATTTTTGTCATCACAAAATCGTTTTTTCTACAGAAGTAGACATTTAAAAATACGGTCTACGTTTTGTTCCTCAACAGTAAATCACACACACATGTTTCGTTTTCTTGAATCATCTGTTTAAAAATATAATCTACTGTTCTTCCTCTCTTAGTCTAGATTCTCTATTTCCTAAAAATAATCACCTACTTATTTTTCGTAGTATACAACGGTATTTCCACCCATCAAGATTACCAAATCAAATTAAAAAAAAAGAGCTGATACTGGCGATGGAAGCGATCACTGTTGTAGGTGAAAAGTTGGGGAAGTAAGATACATAAGGTTATTTCATTTATATCTGTTAGCAACGATAAAACCATTGCTTGATGACATACAATTCCCGGCACAGATTGTTAATACATAACTTGAAGTGTTGTAACTATTTTTGCGATTTTCGTTTAAATTTGATTTCAAAACGCTTATTAAAAAAAGGAAAAGTCGTCCGATAATATAGACAATTTTACCACGTCTAGGTAAGTACAATATAAGTATTATTACCAAATTTCAAGTCTCTACGTACATTTATAAACGCATGACAGCAAAAAACTCCCACAAATTAAAATTCTTTAAAAGCTCAAAAGTGACTCAAAAATATTGGCTATGATACTGTAAGAAAGTAAATCAAAAAGGCAACAAAAAAGTATCTTGTGATTTTTCGATTAAATTATTTTTTTCTGGTAGAAAAAGTCGTCCGTGTTTTTATAAAATAATAAAATTGTGAAATTATGCGTTTTTCTACGTTTTTCCCCCACTTAAGTGCTTTTATTTGAAAAATGGCGTCAAAAATCAAAAAATGACCCGTTCAAAGTACAATATAGACAACTTGAGCTTTCAAAAAAGTTAGTATACGTATAAATCGGAGCAAGTTTACAAGGAAAAAAACGTGTCCACAAAAAAAAATAAACATCTTAGTAAAATTAATAACTCCCTCGCTTCTAACTATAACTCCCACGGAATCTAAAAATATTAATATATCTATTATATCGATCACTAAATTTTTGTAGAATTTCCATCATAAATAAAGACTATTGGGTTATATTGTATCTATCTCGAGGTTTAGAATATTTTTTTTTTATGTAAATGGATTAAGCGATGCAATTTTGGTTGAATTTCACATGTTATAACTGAAGTAGAGTATTTTTTAGCTTTGTTTTTTCTTCCAGATCTTCAATTGAAGCTAAGGGAATGGCATTTTATGTATGCATGGTGATGTAAGTATGAAGAATGTGCCTTTTAAGACCTTTAATTTTCAACCATCTCCGCAACAACTGTTAAATAAATAAAATTATAAAATTATCAAACATTTCTGTTCAGACAAACAATTTTACCCACACTAAACCAAACAGAAACTAAAAAACTCAAAAATATCAAATGCCCTAATATATAGCTCAAGAATATTTTGAAAATTTTACCCCGTTAGTTAATAAAAGTTTAATATTTGTATTTTGTGAAAATTCCAGGTTTCTAAAATTATATTTGACCGAATAATTACAACATGATCGAGAATAGCAGAAACTGATATTGGGTACATTTTCTCTGTTAGGTTAAAATTACCTTCTCAATGCACCAACAAGATCCAAAATCCAATGAAAAGAATATTCTTGTGATTTTCCGATTGGAGGAATATTTCCGGTAGAAAAGTTAACCGACACAAAAAATAATATTTAGGAAGGTAGGATATAAATGCTAACGAAGTACGATTCCGAGTGAAGTTCTGTTAAATATATCTTAAAATATCGTGATTTTTACGATTTTCGTCAGAATTTGAACTCAAAATGATTATAAGAAAAAACTGCTATATTACGCTCAACTTTTTTTAACAATTATTAATGATAAATCAAATTTTTAAGCATTTTTGCTCGGCCAAAACAATTTTATCCACATAAAATAAATAAACCCTAAAAAAAACTCGAAAATGTCAAGTACTTATTATAATAACTCCGAATTTTACGGAATGTTTTGTAAATTTTATAAAAATATTGCATTATCAAAAAATAATAAATGATCGATTTCGTTCCTTATAATGTAGATATAGCCATTGTCAAAGAAAGTGTCATTATTAATAAAACTTCAAGAAAAATCAAAAAATGAATTCCTAATACACCAACTATAAATACAATTTTCTTTCAAAAAAGATATCACACATGCAAATCTTGAATAAAAATACTGGTAGAATAGCTTTTTTACATCAAGCGGAGAAAAAAATTTAATAATATAGGTAATCTATAAATATAAAAATGAATCCATATTTTCCTTGGTCATCGCATCACGGGAGAACGGCTTAGCCGATTTTAAAGCAGTTCTTTGTAAAATGGTCCGCATTATCTGGAGAAGGTTAATAGCTATTGAAATTCACCCTCTATTGAATACCATCCCCTAAATTCAAGTTATAAATAATTTTAGTTTAGAAATTAATTTTTTTTTTTGAATTAGAGGTTTTCGTGGTAACATGGATAACAAAAAATTAAAATCCATGTACTGGTGTAGGGGTATCTTTGAAAAAATATATTTATTCATTTCTTAGTGTACAGTCTATTCTATCTGAACATTTATCCAGTTTTGATTTTGTTGAGTGAGTTTTTTGAGAAGTGTTTGTTCATTGCAGTTAGTTCAGCGCAATTTGGTTCAACAAAATGCCACCAATTAGACGTACCAACCAGAAGTCACAGAGGTTGCGATTTGAGAGGAATGTGTAGTGGTGATGAAATAAATGCTAAATGATAATATGCTTTTTTTATTGTATGATTGCTATTGGTTTCAGATAAAAATAATAGTATATTGGTTACTATTGGTTAATCAGACATGTTTTTTGATTTGTATTATTTGTTTTCAATATATTTAGTAAAAATTGTAACGATGACTGATATTTGAACTCGATACCATAGCATTAATATTATAAATGTTATATTTATGTACTCTATTGACAAAAATGTAAAAGGTTGATCAAAACGTATTTATGATAATTAATAACGCACACAATTGAAAATAAAATCTATAAAAAAACTGTCTGCTTGAATATCTAGTTCTTATTGGCTACTGAGCTGGGAAAATGATTATCAAACAATGATTGTCATGAAATGATTATCAACCAATCTACCATTCCGGTTTAAAAAGCTCAAATTTTCCGTGAAACTATGTTTTTTTATGACCATAAATAAGGCACAAGGTCAAACATTAAATGTTGCTGGTTTAGAGTTTAGACCTAACTGTCCAATGTTTTTCCTGTGGTCAATTGTATGTAGCTCTATCACATATCACATGCAAAAAAAAAATTGCTGGCTCCAGAAGGTAAGACACTTAACGTGGTGTATCCAGAAATATTTAATGCTTAAGGCAAACAGTAATTTAAAATTTAAAAATATATGCAGTAACAGAATACTTTTAGTCTGTCGAAGGTGGACTACTCACTATTCACTTATTTGCTTTTATTCATAACTGATACTGTAAAAACCAAAAAGGAATATGGGTAAAAAGATAATAAAATTTGGCACGGGCAAGGGACAGCTAGTTCATAAAAAAACTAATACCTTCTCCTTGCGCTCGGGGTCATGAATGTTCTACACTTTTTTTGGCTTATCTATACATACTTTTGTAAGTCTTTCGGAGAATTAATTTATTAAAAATATTTCGAAAGATTTCTAGGAATTAAAATAACAGAGATACCTGCAGTACAACATTTGTGTTAGATACTAGTTCGTCTCGTAATATTATTAACTGTATCTAGCTTACATACTGTAAATATAAAATTGAAAAAATGAAAACTAGTTAAAATATACAGTAAACACATAATAGTAGGTGTTGTGTTACGATGGTTTTAAAATAATTGCACTATAGAGAAAAGAAAAAAAAAAGGAAACTCAGTGGTAGGTAACAAATTAGGCAATTACTAAGCGCCAAGCTTCAAGTACTACACTCGTTAAAGAAGAATTATATGTATATATACTTGTATATTTCTAAGAAATAATACTATACAGTATATACTTACATAAAAAAAGAAAAAGTTATCTGCGATTATGCTTATTATCCTAACGAATGGAAGGGATTCCGAGAAATTTTCAATTAATAAAAGGCTAAAAAAACAAAATTAATAAAATAAGTGCGTTTTTCTTCACCTATATACCTACACTATATGTATACACTAATATTTAGTCAAATACAATTTATAGGAAAAATGACTGGAGAATTCAGGTCGAAACTGTAGAGTTGACATGTAAGTAAATTAATTAATCATAGTTATAGTCATCAGGATTTTTTTGCTGGGATGTACAAAATATGTTTAGTAGGAGTAGTCTTTATAGTGGAAGGAAACTCATGCTGGATTGCATAAAAATCATTCCTTAAATATTAAACGAATGGCTCGTTAAAATTGTAATGATTTGTTTGAGAGCTAATGAGTTTCATGAAAATTGTATAATTATTCAAGGAGAATAAACATATATTATCTATACTCTTATCTTTTAACGACTGCAGCAGTCATATTATCACGGCGTTCATATCAGTAGATTGTTATCATAGGCACATATTAATAATTACCAGAGCTAGGATTTATATGCAACAGCTTGTTTTTTTGTGACATCTGATTGTTGATTTTGTCAGTAATTTCCACGAATCACCTCATGATGAGATAAGTGGCGGTGTTTTTATTTTGCATGTTTTTGCATATTTTGGATAAAATGCATATTATTGCATATATTGAATAAAACGAAT